ATTGTATAACTACTCAACAATTACACTATGGATATTTATATTCCTTTTATGATAAGCTTTATTTTGACCTATAATTTATTATTGTACGATTTACGGTTCTTAAGTTATGTTCAGTTTATTAACTACTGCCTCCCACATTCACAGCCACTTTTTGGCTTATTTGTGTACAAATATTATTTCCTATTTTATGGTACGTTGCGGTCTGTATGATTGATATATAAACCAAGTATGCCTGAAATAAACGATCTGCTCTGATTCGGAAGCTGGTATTTTGTTCTGGACTCAAGTGGAAGGGCTCGTAGGACATAGGACCAATAAGGACGCTAAACTGCCCACACCGGTTGAACGTCATTGGTTGGCCTAGTGTGAAGATTCGTATAAGTCGTATCCGGATTGGTAGATAAATCGCGTGATAGAAAAATCAGACATACAAGGTCATAACAGGCTTGCCTTCTTTGTCTTTGACCGGCCTCTCTGGTTTACTGTATTTCCCTGCTAGTTTCTTCGTTGTATCGCGAAGCTGTTTCATATTTCCTTCTCTAGCAGCTTTTTCTGCCGTCGTTGCTAGTTCTTCCACGTATTTCTTCTTGTCGGCTCTAATGCTTCTCTTCACTTGTTTGTTTGCTTCTATGTATTCAGCTTGTGCTTGGACTTTCTCTGCTCGTGTTCGGCTGTTGTTTATTGCTGCCTTCTTGTTCTTCCTTTCTTTGATCTTGTCCAGTGTTTCTATAGAGATCCATTCCTTATGATGGTGTTTCTTTAGGCCCAGAACATCTTGACACGTTGAAGTTAATGCTTCCTTGATGCCTTTCCAGTTGTCCTCCATAGTAGTTTCTTCTTCATTCAGTAGATCTTGTAAGGCTTGAAACCTGTTGTTGAGAGCTATCTTGAATTCATTGAGTTTGTCAGTATCTCGAAGGAAGGCTGTATTGAACCTTTGTATTGCTGTTTGTCCAGTTGTCCAGTTCTTTTTCAGCTTCAGTTTCAAATTGGCTACAACTAGGTGGTGATCTGAAGCTACGTCAGCACCTCTCCTGGTTCTCACATCTTCCATTGTCCTTCGGAATTTTTTGTTGATGCAAATATGATCGATTTGGTTCTCTGTAGTGTGGTCCGGTGAGATCCATGTAGCCTTGTGTATACGTTTGTGTGGAAATATTGTGCCTCCTATGACTAATTTGTTGAATGCACACAAACTTGCAAATCTTTCTCCATTTTCGTTTCTTTCTCCCAGTCCATGTCGTACCATGATATATTCACATCCGGTGTTGTCTATTCCGACTTTGGCATTTAGATCTTTAATCAGAATGGTGAGGTCCTTTCTTGGGCACTTCTCAATGATTGACTGCAGCCGCTCGTAGAACTGATCTTTAATGTCGTCGTTGCTATCATTGGTGGGTGCATAACATTGGATAATATTCATTAAGATCCCCTCCTTCTTTGTTTTGAATGATGCTTTGATGATTCTGGATCTGTGAGATTTTCATCCTACAAGTGCACTTCGTGCTACTTTGGATAGCATTAGAGCAACTCCCTGAGTGTGTGGAGCATTGTCCTCTTCATGACCGGAGTATAGTAGCATCTCTCCCGTAGTTAGCCTTTGTTGTTCAGCTTGGGTCCAGTGGGTTTCGCCGATTCCCAGTACTGCTAAGTTGTATCTCCTCATTTCCATTGCTATTTGACTGGTCTTTCCGGTTTCCCACATTGTTCGAACGTTCCATGTACCTATAAAAATTGTTGCTCTGGTTGTTAGAAGGGGCATCGGCCTCGTGGCTTCCGAAGGAACTCGGCTTTCACCATGAAGCGTCTTAATTCTTCTAAATGAATACCTAACTTTCAGGGAAGAGTTTAAATGGTTTGAATTAGTTTTTCTGGTAAGCGTTTTTTTAGCGAGTTAGTTTTCTACCGGATGGAGTCGCTAACCACATGCTCAACCCTCTTCCTTTACCCGGGCTTGGGACCGGCAATAACTCTGGAAGAGCTACAGGCGGAGTTCAGTATAACAATAATATAAGAAAAAGGAAAAATGGAAAAAAAACCGTATGAATACAATACGCAGTAGAAAAATTTAATCTTGCTAATTGAGGTAATAATGGTAATAGCAACCGTAATGATAATATTGGTGTGTGAACATAATATATAATAAGAGGGGTGTTATAAAGGTAGTTATGATAAAAAAAAGAATTCATGTGAATCGGGATAGACGAATGTGAAGGTTAAGATGTAACCAAAAAATTGGGAAGGAGGTAAGAGGTTTATAATACACACTTTAGGTATCCGGTACTCCAGTCGTTGGCCTGGATACATAATTTTGTTTTTCTGGAGTTGATCGAGATGGCTTCGGCCATATAGAGTAACCGTAATCTAATTCCTTGAGGTATATCCTTTGGAACCAGATATAAAACAGAGAAAGCTTCCTCTATTTTGATATGATGTTCACTATCTACCAAAAGAGAAAGAGTAGTACTGTTGATCGATTTAATATCTCCTTTCCCAACTATTCTGGTACATGTTCATGAATACTCAAGGAAAAAGCCCTCTGAGTACGGCCTATGTAACTAGCTCCACAGAAGCAGTTGGATTGGTATACACATATGGAGAAACCCATTATCGGCAACCTATCCTTGATTTGTCGTGTAAGTACTAGTTTAATCGAGAAAATTATGTGTAACTTGGCGGTATGAAAAGTCCTTTCAACAAATATTTTGGGTCGATGCGTTAAAATGTAACCCGCTATTTCCCTTTTAAAGTCTAGTTTCAGATATGGGTTTTTTTACTGACCAAGTCACAATTTCTTTTTTTTACTATCTTCTACGAGGAATTTTCTGACAAAATTATCTGGACATCCGTTATTTCGTAATGTGTTCTTTAGTATATCTATTTCGCTATCTACACTATCCTCAGTACAATATAGCTTGATTCTGTGACTGTGACATTTAACCCAATCTATTTTATATTGAACAGGTGTAAAGCTATGGAAATAAGTATACTGACCTGTCCATGTATTTTTTCTAAATATATTTGTTTTTATGGAACCATCTATCCTTCTAGAAAGTACGACATCTAAGACAGCTATACTATTGTCTTTCTCCTCTTCACTAGTGCATTAAATAGTTAGATGGATGTTATTAAAACAGTTCAACATCTCTTTTTTGTCAATATTTTCATCACATGCATTTAGTGTCTCATCTATGTATCGACAGTAATAATCTAGCCTAAGGATGATTCCATTTTTTTTCCATTTTGTTATATTACTATAATACTGATTGTCACTTGAAACTTTACTCCAAATCATTCTGATCTTTCTAATTTACAAATAATACAATTTTGAAATACAAACGTTCAACATTGTTAACAATATAACATTATCAAATTCATTAATATATGCCCTACTTTAGCCTTTATAAAATATCATAATATCAATCATTGAGATCATGAGTTGTTTTGAAGCTAGATCACTATAGAAAACTTGAAAAATTCAATTAACTGATAATCTTAACTATTCAAATTACTATAATCTTCATAAAACCCCATCTGATAATATCATAATAATGATGAACTTCTAATTCTGTATAAAACAACATGTTCAATAACTCAATCAAAGGTTGATAAGCATCCTTTTCATGTTACCGCCAATTGTATTTCTAAATTTACGTGTACCTTCCAAAACAGATACATTGGCCGAACAGAAATAAGGGCATAACTCAGACTTTTTGAACATGTTCCAAAATGCGTCAAAACAAGAGAAAGTAAGATTCTAAATAGTGCAATCACTAAATATCTTCTCGATACAGGATATCAGGTCGATACCCTACAATCATTCAACGTGATTAGTAAGCAGCCAAACTCCAGTCTTCTGACGTTTGTTGAAGCAGTTATTATCAGACGCCTAAAGCTTGATTTATGTGTTCAAAAGGAGATGGTGACTAATATTCCATTGCTGTATCTTAATATTTTTTTCCTTTTTCTTTAAACTCTTTCTTGCACTTATCATATCATTGAATTTTATTTTAATTATCTACCAAATTTGTAATCATATTTTATCAACTGAGCTCTACTCACTATATTCCTATCCATGTTTACTCATTATGTAATCACTTGTTTCTAGCCGTTTGGACTGTTGTTACCATCAATCTTGTAGAATGTTCTTTTACATAAGGTACAATATTATTATTATTATTATAATCAGCTTTATTCAGTATTATATTTTTGGTACAATATAGAATTCTCAGCGTAAAGTATTTCAACAAGTTTCCGTTGCTTTCTTCTTGGTCGGTCCTGGCGATAGATATTGAGTGATCACCAGTTAGATGTTAGCAGTTCAATAAATGAACATCTGAATAATGTACATTCTTTTCGTTGTATATTGCCAGCAACCACATTGTCTCTTATTGAGTTTTTTGTAAATTAGACAACGAAAGGTTGTACACTTTTCAGAAACGCAGCAGAATAGGTTATGCAATCAATAAACATAATGATATATTAAGACAAACACAAATAGATAACTTGTTGAAATATCTAAATGGCAGGAACAGGTAGCCCAGATGCTCAAACAGGCCACAGTCTATTCAATTTATTTACACCCTTGCTATATTCTACTAAAGTGTCTTCAATATGAACTTCCAACTAAACCCTCTCATAAAAGTAATTTGAAACCCATTATGTAATTATGACTCTTGAATATCACAGATTGTAAGCAGTTAATGAGAACTAGACGAAATAAAAATGAATTCATGCTATTCTACTAGAATGTTTGTTCTTGCTCTATGTAAAACCTAAAAATATTTTAGATCCTCTTTATTCATTTCCCTTTTTATTAATTTTTATATTATTTCATTAATCAATATTTGTACTTCTTTTTAAATCAATAATACGAGGGGGGGGTAACAAATTATTTAGGAAACTAAAACTTATTCAAGCTTATCAATGATTGGTTCTAATAATGAAGCATAAAAAAAATAACTAACCAATCATAAATAGAGTATAATAATTAATCAATAATTTTTTTAAAGGTCAAATGAGTTTGAAAAGAAGATACAAAAATCATTTCAAGGAAGAAAAAAAAGCTGAATCGAAATTTTCTCTGTATACACCCATTATTTATTGAATATTGAAGGGTTCAAGTTGAAAGTGATCGATTTGTTTGTTTATTTATTTCCCTATTTTTTTTTGGTTCTCTCAAAATATATTTTACACATAATCGATACAGAAAGTTTTGTGTTCTAGAAGTAAATTCACAAAAAGAGGGGGAAAAAAAAGGATCTTTTTGTTTTCTTTGAAAATAATTTTTACTTAAATAAATTCGAAGAAAATGAATTTCACTGAAGTATTAAAGAAAATTCCAACACCACAAGTTTCAATGCCACAAATACCACAAATGAGTAAATTTGGAATAAATAATAATAAAGAAGATATAGGAAAAGCTCCAATGAATATGACACAGGTTAGTTTATCTTTTTATTCTTTTATTTTTTGTGAGAAATGTCATTTATATATCAGAAGGGGTTTTGTGGAGATTTTAGAAATTTCAATAGTTGAAATCATGAGTCAATTGAAGCTAGACCACCATGGAAAACTTGGAAACACCGGCTCAGTGGTCTAATGGTTAAGCGCTCGCGCGCGAGACCGATAGGTCCTGGGCTTGAATCTCGTAAAGGGCGGGATCGTAGATGCGCAATGCTGAGGAGTCCCATACTAGGACGATAAGGCTCATGATTTCAACTACTGAAATATAGATTTTGATAATAAGTAGTATAATGATTATAAGTATTGTCAATTAATTTATTACTTTAAAGAGAGCAAGGACGAAGATCGGTGCCGAATAATAAATGGATTCATTTTATTTGGTTAGGTTCTCATCAGCTGTTTATAACCTAAAATATTTGAAAATCAACTTTATTATAGATATTGACATACTTATATATAAGAGGGTGATCGAAGATGTATCATGATGTAGCGAAGACTTCAACAGAGTTAATAAGGTCAGCAGTGCCATCGTACGACATCTCCTTGACACACGACATGAAATCGATACATTGAAGTCCTTCAAGGTGATTAACAAACAATCAAACTCCAATCTTTTGAAATTTGCCAAAGCGATAGCAATCAAACGTCTAAAACCAGATGTGTGTATACAAAAAGAGAAAGTAATAAATCTTTCTTTACACTGGTAACATTAAACCCCCTTACGTCATTCATTATTTCAACATTTTCCGAAGTTTATTTGCATCATTGTCATTTTCTTTAACTCATAACTAAATGATTTCAATTCATATCCTTCTTTATTATCATTAATCTATTTTCAGTTACTTCATGACATAATCATCTAATGTTGGTTACCTCCATGAGTTCTAATCACTAGTTCAATGTTCTGGAACTTTCCTCCCTAAACTTTATTTATCCAAAACAAACAATTTTATGACCCCATTAACTCTATCGGAATCTTCACCACATCATGGTACATCTTTGATCACCCTTTTATGTATAAATAAGTATGTCAATATCGATAATAACGTTGATTTTCATATATTTTAGGTTATAAACAGCTGATGAGAACCTGACCAAATAAAATGAATCCATTTATTATTATGCACTAATCTTCGTCCTTGCTCTCTTTAAGGTGATTGAAGGAAATATGTGTATGAAAAAACGTATTACTATTTATGCCCTATTGGTTAGGTTGAAGGTTCCTTAATCTTTTCTTTTGTGACATAACTTGGTCAGTGAATAGACTTTTTCTAATCGTTCTTATAGATCAATAATCTTAACCACTGTCCTAACAACTGGTTATCGTTTGGATAATTTTTCCGGTTAGCGTTTTTTTAGCGAGTTAGTTTTCTACGGGATGGCTTCACTAACCCCATGCCCAACCATCCTCCTTTGTCCGGGCTTCGGACGGGCAGCAGCCCAAGAGAAGCTCCAGGCGGAGTTAACAACAAAGTTTTGAATCAATATTTATTACTTTGGATATGAAATAACATTAATATTCATTTGAATGTTAATGTTAATGTAGATGCAGACTACTTGGTTGAGATCCGAGTGACTATCGTAACCAGTGGTTGGAGACTGTGGATGATATGGCTCAGAATCGATAACAATGGCGTCGGTGTATATACCCTTTGTCTACCCTTAAACCATAAGATCGAAATTGCTTTAGATCTTTCTTTCTACGAAATAATTTTTTCTTTCTGTACAATATCCGTACACGCAATCTTTCTTTTATATATTACCACCACTGAAGTAACTACTTCTAGGAATTTGGTGTTCATCTTGTTGTACTTATGAGGTATGGCAACTTGGACCGATGCATGTATGCACCTGATCCTACGTTGTAGCCCACTGACTGACTGAACATTCATTTGAAAAATTATAGTGACCAATGAATGATGTTTATCTGAGTACTTATTGAATGTTCAGTGAATTTGGTTACCTTATCAAATAGATAACACTTTCATCAAGGAAATATTATATAAAACCTTTAAGTTGATATCGGCAGATATTAAATGTTTCAATAATGTTCCATTAAATATGTACATTATGCTTAACCATCCTGTTAACTAAAGATACGATATTAACTGAAAACATGTATTTGTTCAACGAAAGAGGACAATTAAAAATATTGAAGGATAATAAATATGGTTTATTCCTTTCACTATTCCTTACATTACAATCTCCAAAAACGTCCATTCATAATTAGATATTTAGGAATTGATCTTCTACATCCAACATTTGATAACATTAAGTGATCATGATAAAGATTTCCAAAATAGATGGGCTGTGGTTAAAAGCACAATCTAAAATGAGGGTTTCGTCCTATTCAAGTCACGTAAACTGGATATAGCCGCATCCGAGTGTTGATGTTTATATTGGGTCTCAATAATGATGAGGAATGTCTTAGAAAATATTTAAGAACTGAAGATAGGCTATTCATCAAGGATCTAGCAGAGTTTTAACTCCTCTATGGTTTATATTGTAACATTACTTGACCAGAGATGATCAATACATTTCAGGCATATTATTTCTTTATTGTTATCAACTTATCTGTTTATTTCCCAAGTCATTTAATTAGTTATCACAAAACCCAAAATACTTTATTATTACTATGTCTTGGCAATGTGATTTATTTGTTGTACTATCTTATCAAATCTTTTGAGTCTTATTTGTATCCCTATACTCTTTATTACACTATACTTGTAGGTATTTAAGCTACTTGAGGGTTTGTTTTATACTATAAACTTGAAATTTGAGGTTATGGTAATGTTTCTGTTAACAAACTTTGATGGGAAATATAACCTTTTTTGACTAAGAGGTTTGTGAAGACAGCATTAGAGATATGAAATTATAGAAAATATTCATGTGATTAAACTGGGTTTTCCAAGTACCATAGTGTTTATAATTGTCAACAAAAGATAAAATGGACTTCTAGAATGCATGAATTGTGGCTAACATTTAGGTTGAAAACACGGGTTTCGTCCTATTTGGGGCTCTCCATATGGACATACCTATACCCAAGTCCTGTATTCTTACAAGAACTCGAACACCATGCTTTCCGTTTCAGGTGCCTACTTAAGCGATCCGCATGTATACCAACTAACACTGATCACAGTTCAGTCAAGAATACCAACAACGGGATAATTCAAACTGTTGCAAATTAGATCTGAACTTCTGTTTCACGTGAATGTGAACAACTTTGAATTAATTTAGCTTGTATTATTTAACTACTTTCAAACCTTACAGTAGTATATAAGTGTCTGTATCATTAGTTGTAGACCCGAAATTGGTATCCTTTGAGCTATCGTGGCCAAAATGTAATTACCGAAAGTAGACTTCAAACCGAACTTTGGCTGAAAAGTTAAGTCCTACGGATTGATCATTCAACTAGCAGAGGTTAGCCTTATATCGCTCCTACATATGTCAAGCACATATGGACGTTTTGTTTCTTTAAATTTACAAGCTTCTCACCTAAAATACTGTCAATGAAAATTAGATTATATGTCAGATGAAGAGTTTAATGATAACAGATTCGTGGAAAGTGGTGTCCTCTTTATATAAATAGGAATTATTTTTATCATTCAGTAACTCAGGTCTGATTCTCTATATGTGACAAAGGAGGTTCTGTTCTCTAAAAACGGTAAAGAGACTTTCTGATTTTTCTGTCCATAAGATTCCCTTAGTTGTGAGGTTTATGAAGACTCCTCATTTGGCAGGCTTCCACTCGAGAACAGAATCCTCATTTCTAAGGCTACAGAAACCATAAACTAACTTTAAGTATACAGTCATTAAAAGCCATAATGCATATGACCCATGTTTAGTCTGAGAATGGAATTTATTTTAAAACTAATAGTTATTAAACCCAGACATTTCAAACGTAGATGTGTTCGTGTCACTATTCCACTATTAGTGAGCTGGTATTCGATGATCTACACTATCCATACTACTAAAACCACGAATTGTGGTGTGATTACCGTCTAACAGTTTATCCACTTGACAGTATTACGAATTTGTTTTGCATTTTTGATAATTGTTGTTCAGCTTTTCTACCTTTTTTTTTCTGATTGATTTTTTTTATTGATAAATTAGGAGGATATGCAACAATTGATTCATTACATTGGTGAATCTGTTCTTATTCCAGAGGATGGAGCGTTTATTGCATTGTGGATTCTTACTCTGTAAGTCATTTATTTTAATGCCTCTCTTTTTGATGTGTTTATCAGAAGTTGAGTTGACAGATTAATTAATAAGCAACTTTGAGTAACTACATCATCCTAAACGATTATCGAAAGTTAATATGTTTATTACATACATATCTAATGCCTATTGTGGTGTATGCTACTTATGTTGACAAATATAAGTAGTAGTTCAATTCGTTACAGTGACTATCACACAAAGTTTAACGGAAGCCCTATCAATCCTCTATATATGTACATTCCTGTTTCTTGCATAAAAACATTATTTACGAAATCTTAGCAACATGAATGAATGACGTTGGGTTTTAAGTTTCTTTGGCTAGTAACATCATCTTATCGAGAGTTGAGTAAACTGGGTAAATGAAATTCTTTCTAAAATCTAGTTTGATCTAGCTAACTGAGCCTAGTCAGTCAGTTACAACGTAAGATCAGGCACATACATGCATCGGTCCAATATACCACACTTCATTAGCGCATCAAGATGAACACTGGATTCAAAGAAGCAGTTAACTCAATGTTGTAATTTATAAAGGAAAGATTTTATGCGAGGATATAGTACAGAAAGAAAGATATGAAATAATTTTAATCTCATCGTTTAAGGGAAGACGCCATTGTGATCGATTCTGATCCATGTCACCCAGAGTCTCCAACCATTGGTTACGATAGTCACGCGGACCCCAACCAAGTGGTTTGTTTCTACCAACATGGATCAGACCACAAGTTATTCACTTCAAGCAGATGCCACGTTTTCGTTTGGCAGCCCCCCTAACATTTTGTACAGAAGTTTAACTTGACAGTTTGTTTCGTATCGAAGAGTCTTATATTATCAATAGTACATTTGGTAGGTCGATGGTTACCTAATATAGTGTTGGGTACTAGGTTAAGCCCATAAAACTTATTATAGCTTCTGGACAGGTCAATTTATCTATTCTTCTTAAGTCATGTTATGGCCTTGTCAATTATTCACTTATCAACCTTGATTGTTTTTATATAAGCATGTGTAAGTACACCTTATCTTACTCATCACATGTTTGTAGCTTATTTTTGTATGATTAATTAACTTTTAATTAAATGGAGTTGGCTCACACTCCGTCTTCACTGTGCGCTATCTCGTTTCGTTCTGTTTTCGTCGCTTCATTCCTCCGATTGTCTGTTCAAATGTATTTAAAAATCCATCCTCCTATTTTACTTATTTAATTCCGTTATATTCACTAACGTGATCTAAGTTGATAATTATATACAAGAATTGACTATATATATGACTTCAACTAATCTACGGATTTGAATATATCCCCCTCTCTTCTCAGTTATTTCTCATATCCCCATGATTTTATTCATAATGTTTTTCTAATAACATCTTATTTTATTTAACCCTTCTATTATCTTTTATTATTGTGACAAAAACATCTAGTTATCTTACCACATTCATATGATAGTCCTGTTGTTAACTCATCGGTATTAGACTATATCGGACAAAGCGAACGCCCTCTTCATCTTCGCTTGGATGAACATCAATTAACAGTCAAACACCATGACATGCCCTCATTTATATTAATGCACTTGGACAACTGCGGACACATTCGACAAGAAAAATGTGGAAATTTTGAATAGAGCCAATTAAAAAAATACCAGAGAATTTTTAGAAGCTTGGCACTCAACAATCAACAAGCACATTGAAATCAATCCAATTTATCAACCAATCAAGAAAATTATGTACAAACTTAGGAACAGAAATCAGACCGATGGGAGATAAAACCAAACCAAATAAGTGAACAATGATAGGTTTGAGGTTAATAAGAATCAATCAACATCAAGGTGTACAACACAAGCTGTGAACCACATGTGAAAAAATTCGAACACTTCACTTCTATCTGAAGTTTGTACTGATGATGTCATTCAGAAGAAAGATGAGAGCTCCACGACCAAACCATCCAGCTCAGAGAACAAAACTTCAACAAATTATTACAAGGCTTTTCATTTGCATACATTGCATAATCTATTATTACTATCTTTCTATTAAATCATCATATTTATTGATTGTTCATATATCCTCATAGGATTATTAGTTAGAATTTCATACGATCTCACTGGAGTCAGGTACAAAGAACCACTAAACTAATATACAAATTTACGAATAGCCAAGGCTTCAATAAACTTAAGGATTCGTCCTTGACAATTTCTATACGACGTTCTAAAAGGTCAGTGTATAGGAAAAAAACCTGGACGGGACAATACTTAAATTTCCATAGTTTTTGTCCATTGAAATACAAGCGAGGCCTGGTTAAGTGTCTTTTTAAGAGGACTCAAAGAATTCGTACTTCTGACACGGTGGAAAAAGATTAAAAGTTACTGACTGACACACCAATAGCTAATGGTTATCCACTAAAGTTCATTAATAGGTGCAAAAGTCAGCTAATGCCAAGACCTCTTGTTCCATAGAAAAAAGTTTATATCAATCTACCATATAGAGACGAATCCAACAGCATAGTTTTAAGACAGAGATTGAAAGCAGCCATCGAGAATACCCCCTTATGCTGGTCATTTGGTTGTGATTGAAAAATCTAAGCCCATGATTCCTAATAGACTCAAACATTGCACTAATGATTACGTCACATCCCATTGTATTTACCAATTTACATGTTTGTGTGGACGAACAATGCAATCAAGGATCACTGAACATGTGCCTAGATGGCTTCAAAATCAATGTGTGTCAAATGAGCCGATCAATGTGGGAGGTAGAAAACCAAGTTCATCGATAGCGAAACATATAATTGAAACAGGGCACAAAATTGACATTAATACAGCTTTTAGAACGTTGTATAGAAATTGTCGAGGACGAATTCTCAAGTTTATTGAAGCCTTGGCTATTGGTAAATTTACCCCCCCCTATATATACAAAAACAACCTGTCGTAACCTTGAACCTAATATATAAATCACTGGATAAACAATTATTCCCTTAATGTAACCATGGATATTATGAGAATATGGTACTTAACCAAAACAATTTTTAAAAAAAGATTTACTATAAATGTTGCATATAATATTTCAAATATAATTTTGTAGCATTGATCATTGGAATAATGAACATGAACGTTTAATTGTATTAACTGAAAGAAATTTCTATATATTAAGATATGATTTTCTTCAATGTCGTGTACGTGATAGTCGTCGTGTAGGTCTTGGACAATTGATTAGTGTTATAACTGGACCACTTGTATTTCCAGCAAAATCATTAATGCCGTAAGTAATTTTCTATTTTTTCTATTTTTTAATATTTTAATTTATCCTTCAAATCAAATGACTTACATACTTACGCCTGTTACTTTATCCTTACGGAATCCTGCCTGTTGGTCTCAAAGTTGGGAGTCTACGGATTCCTTCATTCTGTTTAACAATACCCTGTTGAAGACTTTTCCCGGTATTGAGAGAAGAGTGATGCCCCTGTAGTTATCACACTTGCTGAGATCGCCTTTCTTTGGTATTTTGACCAGAAGTCCTTCTCAGTCTGTTGGTACTTGTTCCTCATCCCAAATCTTATTGAAGAGAATGTGGAGTATCCTTGCAGTAACCGCTACGTCTGCTTTCAGTGCCTCTGCTGGAATGTTGTCTGGTCCTGCTGCTTTGCCACTCTTGATTTGTCTGATGGTCGTGCTGATTTCTTCAATTGTTGGTGGGCCAACATTGGTTGGGAGGTCCTTGGGTACTGCTTCGATGAAACTACATTGAATTGAGTAAATTGTAAAAATTATTTCAATGGGAATATGTTTTTCATCAATCTGTAAAACTATGATAAACTAATGAGTACTGAATGGATGATTCTTCAAAGGAATAGGTCATTAGTAGTCTTCATTCATGACTGTGATAGGATATGAACTTAGGATATTGATGAATCATAATAAAATTATTACCCTTGAACTAATTTACTAGGATCTATTAGTTTATGGTTTCAATTTAAGCCAGTTCACTATATAGTGAGTATCATTCTATACAGACGATTACAAGTACCAAACGTAGACAAAACAGTTGACCGGTGTTTCTTAATTTCTAATGCGGCGAGACTCTAATTTATGGACGAGTCAATCAGAGGCGTTTTAGAGATCTCAAGGTTACGGCGCCAACTTTAGTGTTTGATGCTAACGTATGATCGGTTCACAAGGAATTTTGTATAAAACGTGATAATTGAGCGGCTATAACAAATAAAACGGTGGGACTATAACTTGTTGACGAATCAATCAGGTATAAGATAATAGATCTCGGATTTTAACGTGAAAGCCTTTCATCCATTTGGCTATATAAATTTCTGGCATTATAGCTGATGTCAGTTCGTGATGAAAACCCCATTTATAATCCCTAATTGAGGCAAATTACGACAATTAATGCGAACTGGATAATAAAAGCACCAGTAACACTGGCTGCAGCCAGGTACTACAATATATACGGATGTTTGGAGAGCGTAAAGTCTCCTAAATAGGCTTGGTTATGTTCATCGTGTCGTTATTCACAAGTAGCATTTTGTTCACTCAACAACCGGAGTGCACATAAACAATATTGAAGCCATGTGGTCGAGGCTGAAAGAGTATTTGAGACTTTATCATGACTCCAGAGGTCGACTATTCTGTAGCCATATGGATGATTTCCTCTACTGTATGCATTACGATTTTAGAACCTCTGAACCTCTTTCTAGCCTTGACAAGTTTTTGAACCACATATAAGAATTGTATCCACTTTATTTCTTTGGTTTTGTATAATATATTTTTACTCTATACTTTCTGTTTGCTGATTGGCTAATATTTCTCAAGGTCACTCAAGATTCGTTGAAAGGTCGCCCATAAATTAGAGTCTCGCCTCTAATGCTTCTTCAGTTTATATCAGTTTGTAATACAAATAAATACAATCATATTATTAAGTTACTTTATTGAACAAACGATAAAGGTTAAACCAGTTTTATTCTCTAAGTATCTGAAATTCCTAAATGTTTATTAAAATAACTTGTCATGGTAAATTTAACTTGGTGTCATTGTTAATTGAATGACACATTGATTTTTCTTGTATTCTGTGGATGATAATAGCAATATGAACTGTTGATAAAACGATACTGTACTTACTTACACCTGTTAACTTTCGTGGAGGAGCATAGGCCACCTACAAACATTCTCCGTTCAGCTCTGTCCTGGACAATCCTTTCCAGTTTTTTTCTCAAATTAATATTCACCTTTTTAATGTCTGCTTCCAATTCTCGACTAAGTATGTTCTTTGACCTTCATTTTTTCCGTTTCCCTTCAGGATTTCAAGTTAGCGCTTGTTTCGTGACGGAGTTTAGTGATTTCCGTAATGTATGCTCTATCCACTTCCAAAGTCTTTTCCTAATTTCCTCTTCAGGTCGAAGCTAGTTTATCCTCTCCCACATCAGGCTCTTGATGATGGTATCCGGCCCACAGATATTGAGTATCTAGACATAAATAAGGATAAATTCTTTCTTGGTTAACTGAACACTGTAATTGTGTGTATATAAATAACTTAAAATATTTTAACAGTTGAATTCACGAGCCAATCCATGCCAGATTATCATTGAATACCTGGAAGTACTGGATGGCCGTTTCATCCTTATGTGAAACTCCTCATCATTGTACATCCACGATCCCGCACACGAGAATTGAAGCAGGACCTTCGGTCTCAAGTGCGAATGCCTAACCTCTAGACCACTGGGCCGGTATCCAACGATGTTAATGTCTGACCCATGGTATTGGGCGACGCGGATCGAACTCCATTGGTTACGGCTTAAAATTTGTTTATTGCCACACTAACTTGAAACTGTGATTGTAAATTTTTACTGAATGAATAGTTCAGACTATTTTATGTAAAGCAGAGAAGTCGATGATAGGAAAACTTGGTAAATGTTCAACATTGAATCTTGATTTGTGATAGGAGACATTTTGGTTAACAAAGTATGAGTAATTCGAACAAACAGTAAAAGAAATACATATTATATCCTAGCGAAGATTAAATTACGAGTAACTTATGTGACTTATTAATGGATTTATATTATATACATATATTCCTATTGTATAATTGTTCAGTAACTAGAATATGTATATTTATATTCCTCTTATTATAAGCTTCATTTTGACCTATAGATTACTATTATATGCTTTACTGTTCATAAGATATCTTCAGTTTATTGATTACTTTCTCCCACGTTCACAGCCAGTTTTTGGCTTGATCTTGTTTAATTGTTATTGCCTATTTTAAGGTGTGATGCGGCTGTTTGGCTGGTAATATAAACCAAGTATGTCTGAAATAAGTGATTCGCATAGTGGAAGGTGGTATTGGTGTTCTGGACTCAGTTGGACGGGCTGAGCGATCAAAGACCAATAAAGACGCTAGGCTGATCAGATCGGTCGAACGTCATTAGTTTAGCACAGTACTAAGATTGACTAAGTCGTATTTCGATCGGCGAATAAATCATATAATGACTAATCGGATTTAAAGGCACAACAATAAACATATTTCTTTTAAGTATTAATTATGATATGGATGAAAGTTACGACTTCATTTACAGTGATTTCTTTGAAAGAAAAGCTTAGTCGAAAGTATGTCGAGGATTTTCAGGCACTTTTCATAAGTTATAAGCTAACTATAGATAACAGTTGTGATATTATCATTACTGAATGTAAATGATAGTTAACCATTTTTAGTACACAACTATAACGAATGTTACACATTGAAATGAATCCATTATTATTAGCTTTATTCACTATCATATTTCTGGTACAATATAGAATTCTCAGTACAAAGTATTCCAGAGAGTTTCCATTTCTTACTTCTTGATCCATCCTGACAATAACATATTGAGTAGTCACCAGTTAGATGTTAGTAGTTCAAGAATCGATATCTGAATGATGTATATTCTTTTCGATGTATAATGTCAACAACCACGATGTCTCTAGTTGTACATTTTGTAAATTGTACAGTGAAAGGTCGTGAACTTTTCCCAAATCTAATTGAATACGAAAGGCAATTAATTGACATAATGATTTGTCAAAACAAACAAGGAAACATAGTTTATACAAATATTCGTCAAGATTAGAACGAATGGTTTGACAGTAATTGAGCGCCGAGTATAGAGAAGTCATTATATGTGAAAATTATATTTGAAATATTCTCAGCGATTGAAATTTAACTAATTCCAACGTTTCGTCCAGCTAGCTTGTCTGGACTTCTTCAGGGTAATAATCAAAATCAAAATTATCAAAGAAATATATAGCTTTTAACAATCAGGATTATACTGTGTTAAACCAATCATATTTGGATGTTGATTTTTTTGTAAAATAGGATAAAATGAGTCAGTTAACTACAAATCATGTGATGAATTCAACTACATGGAAATACTTAACTGAGTAACAAATCGTATGTGTGTGAGTGTATAGGTATGTATGTATGTGTGAGAGATTGATATGAAGGAATAAATAAAGTTCAAGTTCAAGGATGGAAACTTGATAATGAAAGATCGTTTGACAAGTAAATTTGGAACCTATCTCTTGTTTAAACCTGTTTTTAATATCACATGCATCGTTATTATTATTGAAAGAACTGAATGAGTTTTTAAACAATACAATTTATGTTTTGACATGCACATCGATCTTTCATTATCAAGTTTTCATCCTTGAACTTGAACTTTATTTATTCCTTCATATCAATCTCTCACACATACATACATACCTATACACTCACACACATACGATTTGTTACTCAGTTAAGTATTTCCATGTAGTTGAATTCATCACATGATTTGTAGTTAACTGACTCATTTTATCCTATTTTACAAAAAATCAACATCCAAATATGATTGGTTTAACACAGTATAATCCTGATTGTTAAAAGCTATATATTTCTTTGATAATTTTGATTTTGATTATTACCCTGAAGAAGTCCAGACAAGCTAGCTGGACGAAACGTTGGAATTAGTTAAATTTCAATCGCTGAGAATATTTCAAATATAATTTTCACATATAAAACAAGGAAACAGATATTTTGTTGAAATATCTAGATGACGGTGTGGTGGTCGGTATTCAATATAATCCCTAAACTTCGCATACAGTACGTCTTGATAACCGTCACTAGATAACACCCCAACGGTATATTAATCAGAAGGCGAATACGCAGTGTTGATTACGTTTATTATGGGACCACACACAGATATCCAAAATTACAGGTGCGTTAAGCTAGCACGAAGGAGTTGTGCCGAAAAGCAAGCAGGCAAGCAAGCGAGTGAGTCAGCAAATACGAGTACGAGTAAGCGAGTACAAATAAGCAAGTTCTAATAAGCGAGAGAGCAATGAATATGAATAATATGGACATATATATACATAGTGAAATGAATGAATCATCGAATCAATTAAGCGGTTAGTAGTAAGGCTAGCAGCGTGAATAAATGCGTAGGCAATAAGCAATGCTCAAGTATGAGAGGTTCATACATTCGCAACGATAATAAAGATACAATGATATAGATAAGTTTTTGTTGTACGGATAACTGCAGTTCGTTAATAAGTTAACAAAATGACTTAATCGAATTAAATGTGAACAAAACTCATTGCTATAACAGAAACAAGTAGCCGAGATATTTAAGTAGACCATCACGAATAACTAATTCTAAATAGAAATTTATGGTATATATATATTTATAGCAGGTTGTTTTATATACTATGTTAAGTATCTGACTTATCATCCAAGAGATTATCATTTGTGTTATGGAATAGTATAAATTTAGTATTTCCTAACATTTCATAGTGTATTATAGTCAAACAATAGTGGTCTTGAGTGCTGTTATAAATATGAAGGCGGTTATCACTTCCCGTTGCCCACACCGTGGAAAGGTTCTTCTGGAGGTGCCTGAAAAAGAAAGTGGATTAGAGGTGGTCTTAGTGATCTGAGAGCGTGACCGCAGTGCCCAAGGGACAACTGCTTGAGGTCGGTCACACACGACCTTTTTATGAGTAATTTTTGTGTTAGCTCCGTACTTGTTGAAACCTACCGCTGGAGACGGATATCCGTGGGATAAGGCGAGGTATGCATTGTTAGGGTTGACCTTCTCTAACCCCACCCCTCCTTGTGGGAAGGCAGCATCGCTGTCATGCGGGTTGTCTGAGAGAAACACCTTACTGCTGTCACACCTCTGTGCAGTCAGCGATACGACTTCGCCTTCGGACCTTGAATTTGTTGCTTTTAGTCTTACCGCTCTTCAACCGACCTGTCTGGTATGGTAGGACCCTGAGGGACGATTGCTCCAGCCAGTATAGTTCCATTGCTTCATCAGGATAGGCAAGCCCGACCACCACGTCAAGGTAGCAACAACGGTCGGGTTATAGATAAACAAATGACTTACCAGTATTGAAACACTATGTAAGCCAGTTTTTAACATTATTTCATTATGTATTCTATCAATCGATTTTCAATATACCCATTTTTAACTAATTTGTACACAACGTTGTTTGTTTATGTATTTAGTATACGTAGTTCACCTGGTGTTCAGTTAAAATGGGGTGATGAAAATGATGTAAAAATTACACAAAAGTGGAATCCATTATGTCGTAGTTTACCCTATGCTACATTAACTCATCATCCACTTTATTCTAAACGTGATCAATTACCATCAAAACAAGTGAATGTACCAGGTGCCGGTTATGAAGATTTATCTAATCCAGTATCTGTATACGATGTGAATAATTTTCTTACAGCATTACGTGAAGCTTGTTCTGGTATGAATATTCAGGTAAAATAAATGATTTTATTTATCTTTTTTTTATTAGTATGAGAGGATTTGTGGGAAATGTAGAATTTTTATAGTTCAAGTACGAAATAATCGTCGTCAGGCCCAACATTGAAAACCTGAGAGCACTGAAGTCTCGTACTAGGACAAAACAACCATCTAGCTCTAACAAGTTTTCAGTGAGGATCTAGTTGAGGTCAATTAATGGTTTAAACTACAAAATACTTCTATTTAATATGTTTATTTATGATACGGAGAATTGTATGCATATATAAGCTAGCAAAAGAGAAAGTCCGGACTCGAGACATTTGAGAAAACAAACGTATCCTTTGAGGATTTATTTTTACAAGCAACAGATATGATTCCAACGTCAATCAAGGTTTAAAACCATGTTGGTTAATAGCTGTTAATAAAACGAGAATGGTGGATACGTCACAAAGTATCTACCGGTCAAATAACAATGAGAATCCTTACAAGAGCTTAAAGAAGTGTATACTCTAATCAAAAGTAAGCTAGGCAAAGGAGGAGAATTATTTTTACTGAAAAAGTTGATTAAATTGATAAAATGGGCTCATCATTGAATGGCATCACGAAATTTCTAGAACTTCTCTGCGATGTTGCCGACTAATCTTTTTGAAGAATCGGGATGCCTGAGGATAGTTACACCTTCCATTCATAAATCACGTAAAAATACTAGTTTGAGCAAATTATTATTGTCATTCAGTTACAAGGATCATTAATGACTTAATATCAATGTAAATTTGTGTAGTATCCGAATTGCGATGAAATAGGTCTACATTTATACATATAGTCTTTAATAGTTGAAATCATGAGTCAATTGAAACTAGACCACCATGGAAAACCTGGAAGCACTAGACAGCCGGCCGTATCGTTCTAGCATAGGACGCCTCAGAAGTGCACATCCACGATCCCCCCGCGAGATTCAAATTCAGGACCTATCAGTCTGGCGCACAAACGCTTCACCTCTAGACCACTGAGCCGACCGCCATCCAACGGTGTTAATGTCTAACTTTAACCAATCCACGAAATTGCACCACCGTCCACCATTGTCTTACAGCAGACCTGGTTGAACTCCACTGGTCACTGATTCTCACTAGAACTCCAGGAAATGTCTCTTGAAGTTAGTCACAAGTGAGCAGATGATTATTATCAGAAGGTGTTTTGTGGAGATTTTAATAACTTCAATAGTTGAAATCACGAGTCAAATGAAGCTAGACCACCATGGAAAACTTAGAGACACTGGACGACCGTTTCATCCTAGTATGAAACTCTTCAGCAGTGCGTATCCGCGATCTTTCGAACTCATAGTGGTCTAGCTTACTCACGAATTCATCTATTAAATTACTACAATCATCACAAAAGCCCTTTCTCATCAAAAATATTTGCACAAATTAACTTTATTTCAATTATTTTTTACTTCATTCTTTTCTATTCATAGTTTACCAATGGTGAAATTGTCATTGAAAGTTATGGTAATTTAGGTAGTGTAGTATTCAATCAAAGTAATTTGGGTTTTGCTAAACCAAAACCACCTACATCATGATGATCTATTATATAATGTCAATATTGATTGAATAAATTATAAAATAAAATAAAAACAAATGCATTTCCTATAAACAATAATGACATAATATTATCTACGAAAGTTCGTTATTCTCTTCAGTAATTTCTTCCTAAATAATCCTTAGTATTTTATCTCTCTGTTTCTCTCTTTCTTAATCAATATACATTGGATCATAATGGTCATGAATGACTTTAAAAATGTGATAATCTTCAATTTTAGTTTAAAATTTTATACTACTTATTTCTGAAGTCAGTAGTATCATATAAAATTACATATATATTGTGATCGTATTATTATCATTATTATTTAATTTTACTCAAACTGATGTAAAACAATTTTTCAAAATGAAATTGAAAATTGATTATTTATTTATTTGTTCATTTATTTATTTATTTATTTTATCGACTACTTATCATTGACATTTTATTTTTAACCGATTTCCTTCTATACTACTTATATTGTAATTGTGATTGTTTCATTTGTACTGTGATCTATAATAAATACATTAATTGATAAAAAGAAAATATGTATATCATTTAGTCAATCAACTACATACTATATATGTGATGTTAAACATTCTTTGTAAATTATTTTGTTTTAGTTATTCTGGGTACGTAATTTACTTTCCAAGTATAGGAGAGTGTAATCATCTTTTGTGTTATACTATATGAATGCGATGGTGGAGAAGATTTGAATCTCAAGTGGATGACTTTGATAAAGTTTTGTTCAATGAGTTGGATAGTTTTATCGCGAAGCTTTTTCATTGTTCTAAAAGACATCATTACAATAAACTTCAGATAGAAGTGAAGGTAAAAGTGATAATACTGTTCTACTTAAATCGTCATAAATGTAACGGATTCGAAACTGTTACCTAATGGCTAAAATTTGATTGATTTTGTGATGAGACTATAATATATGGACGACCTTTGAGCGGTGCTAAAGTGACCTTGAGAGTGTTCACCTAATAAGTAGGATCAAATTAGGGTTATAAACCAGTGCGAGGAACTAGAATTATGATTTACAGTTGATTGTTACGTTTAGGAATTAGATTTAGGGTTTTTCATCACGAACTGATATCAGCTGTAATGTCAAGACTCTATTAAACCAAATGGATGAATGAATTTCTCGCCAAAATCTAAAACCTGCTGTTGTAAACCCATTTCGTTCGTCCATAAATTATCGTCTCGCCGATTTCGTTATTAACTAATTTGATTTATCAAGAGATGTGAAGATATCCAAGCGCTAATTATTATTTTGCTTATTCTGAGGAAACTTTCATTATATATATTATATATAAAGTAAATAAATTTGTATGTCAGTTGCCTTTCAACCTGGAGCCAACGTATTTACTTGTAATTCTACATCTAAACTCAACTGAGGACCTTTTGAAAATCTACTCTTTAGAAGACTTTTGATATATTAGGTCTTAGTGATGAAATATATGATAATACTTTCCCAATGAGTAAACTGTCATTAACACATAATGAGTTGAAATCTGAATTAAATTAAATGACCGAATTGAGATCAGCATTAGTTTTCTTGATGAATCCATCCAATAAAATGTTCTATTAAAGGGGGTTTGCTTACTAAAAATGTCTTTTACTAGGAAGTTATTGATCGAATTCAAATGGGGTGGTATCGTGGATGTGCATTGATGAGCAGTCCCACACTAGGACGAAACGATCGTTCAGTACTTCCACGTTTTCCATGGTGGTTTCGCTTCAGTTAACTCATGCTTGAAGTTACTAACTTTTAGTCTTAGACATGTTGGTAGATGCAGACTACTTAGTTCAGATTCGCGTGACTATTGTAACCAATGTTTGGAGACTCTGTGTGACATGGTTCAGAATCGATCACAATAGCGTCGGTGTACATATTCTTTGTCTACACTTAAGCTGTGAGATTAAAATTACTTTATACCTTCCTTCTTACGAGTTAGCTCTTTCTTCCTGTATTATTACATTCCTATATGTAATCTTTCTTTTACTACCTTTGAAGTAACTACTATGAATTCGGTGTTCATCTTATTGTACTAATGAAGTATGACAACTTCGACCGATGCATATATGTGCCTGGTCCTACGTTGTAGACGAACGACTGATGTGTGTTTATTGCTTATCCTAATCATCGCATGTCTGCAGTTTATTTTTGTTTGACTATAAATATTGAGTCACGCTTTGTCAAGGTAAGACGACTCACTCGCCATCTTCGCTTCGATTTCCCGCCGTTTATTTTGAATGTCTGTTTAGATAAACTAATGCATAAAATAAATTCCTCCAATGTGACTCGTGTATGGTTTCTTACTACCGCCTAGGTAATAGACGAAGTTAAATGGAAGATTTCTGCGCATAGTATATTCATACGTCTATCCAGATCAGAGTCAAATCAGGGGGACACAAAAAGCTATCTTATGTTTACCATTAATATGATGCACTTTATGTTAAGAATATCGATGTTTTTATGATCATCAAAATGAATAATTGATTTAACTTCCTACACACTGAAGCAGTTATCGATAGAAATCAGTTATACCTATTAGATGAAATAGAATTTGTGCAATTGAATTCTTACTGTTTGTTATATTTAATAGATGGTGAATTTGGAAGTAAATTCGGTTTCATTGGTTGTTCGAAACTTCCGAACTGCAACTGATCTATCTCTTTTAGTGTATGTACATCCTGTGGTGTTTGGCTCAATATTACTTTAAGTCATTAGCATTATAACTACAAATGAATGGTAACTAGCAGTGGAATCCAGGTCACGCGTTTCCAGCTGACGAGTCCAAAATCAGATGAAACGCGAATCCTTAATTCCACTTCTAGACCTCATTCATCTCTGCCTATAAATTCAGTTTTCTTTGATAATCGTCTTTATATCAGCTCAAAGTTACGACCACTTGGATATTAGCTATCCGGTAATCTTTAGGATTTATATAGCCCACATATTTATTGCTGAAATACAATATTTTGCAACATTTTGACAATATTTTAGTAGTGGCGTTGAACTATTAAATGAGTGCCAAGAAAATTATATAATAAATCTTCAGTGTCCTAAAGTTGTCAATAGCCCTTTCCTGAGAATCAGGCTTTTTCAATTAAAATAAGTAGACTATTTTTCGTAAGCGACATAGTTGAAGCACAGAATGTCCTATTTCACCTTATTACTTTGCATTACCATTAAGACGAGAGCAATGAACAAGAATTCTTTGGAAGAGGCTTTTACCGCATAATTAAATTAAAACAATAGAATAGAAAGCATGCAAACTTCTAAAATCAAAAATATTTAAATTCTATAATATCCAGACAGGATTAGGTTTGTTGTTGTCATATCCGAAGAAGATTAAACTGTGGGTAACTTTCGGAGATTATTCATAGACTGTCATTATATATATTTTTATTGCGTAACTGTTAAGTAACTAGTTTATATATATCTATATTCCTCTTATCATAAGCTTTTATTCGATCTATTGACTATTATTATACGATTTACTATTCTTAAGATATTCAGTCAGTCAGTCAGCTACAACGTAGGACCAGGCACATATATACATCGGTCCAGGTTGCCATACCGCATTAGCACAGCAAGATGAACACCGGATTCATAGGAGTGGTTTGGTCAAAGGTGGTAATATATAGGAGAAAGATTGCATATAAGGATACAGTACAGTAAAAAAGAATAAGTTATTAGAAAGAAAGATATGAAGTGATTTTAATCTCTTAGTTTTAGGGAAGACAGAGAGTGTATACACCGACGCCATTGTGATCAATCCTGAGCCATGTCACCAAGAGTCTCCAACCATCGGTTACGAAAGTCACGCGGACCCCAGCCAAGTAGTCTGCATCTACCAACATGGCTCAGACTAGAGGTTAGTGTCTTCAAGCACTGATGCCACGTTTTGGTTTGGCCGCCCCTAACTTTCTTCCAACCATCTCTAACACCCGTTAGCATTGCACGACGTGGTAATCGGTGTTCAGGCATACGTAACACGTGGCCCAACCATCTCAGTCGATCAAGATTAACAACCTCATCAACTGATTTACCATCATTACCTAATACCCTGCGTCTAACCTCACTATTACTTACCCGGTGATCCCAACAGACGCCAGCAATATTTCTAAGGCATCTGTGGTCAAATACTAGTAGCTTAAGATATTCTCAATATATTACTTCCAGTCTCCTACAATCACGGTCACCTTTTAGCTTGATCCTGTACAATTGTTATTTTCTATTTTATGATGTGATGAGGTCTGGGTTGTTTGCATATAAACCAAGTATGTCCGAAATATATGATGCATATAGTGAAAGAAGATATTTCTGTTCTTGACTCAACATGCAGAACTAGACGAGAAGGACTAATAAGGATTCTAGTCTACTGGTTCTTGTCAACACGTCATTGGTTTGGCACAGTGTTAAGATTGTATAAGTCGTATTCTGATTGGCGATCATATCACGCCCCAAAAAAAACACAACATTTGTTGCTCGGTAATTTAAGACAATATTTAACCAAAGCTAAACAGTGAAATATAAGATGACTATGTAGCATTATAACAGACAATTCAAACTCATAGATAACATATGTGGAGAAAAGTATCTAACACTAACGGTTATCATATCAAGCTTATACAAAAATAAGTTCACAATAAATCAGAAGCTTTGAATTAATACCTTAACATCACTAACTAAAGTTGTTCACATATTGATGTTGTTGTTACCTTTTTTACTGGCAAGCAAGCTCATAGAGTAAATTAATGAGGTGAGACTATAATTTATGGATGACAATTTGAGAGACAGTAAAATGACCTTGAGAATGTCTACCTACCTACAAGGGATAAATAAGGGTTAAAAAGCAGTTTGAAGAAGAAGGATTATGATTTAAAAGTTAATGTTTAGGGTCAAGAATTAGATTTAGGATTTTCATCACGAACTGACATCATGCTAAAAGGCCAAGACTCTGTTTAGTCAAATGGGTGAATGAATATCTCGCCAAAACCTAAGATCTGTTATCGTAAATCCAATTGGTTCGTCCATAAATTATAGTCTCATCATTAATGAATACAAAATCTATTTGCAAGTTTATTACAGTACCAGATAATATAGTAGAGAACAGTTCGGCACTTGATGAGCAATGTATTCAGTTTTTGATGGAGTCTTTTTCTCTGAGCTGGATGATTTAGTTGTGTAGCTTTCATTGTTCTTCACGACTAAACCATTCAGCTCAGAGAACAAAACTCCATCAAAATCATTCACCTGAGCTATAAATCTTCTCTGCCATCTCAAATGTATTTAGTTAATGTTCATTAAGGAACATTGATAGTAGAATCTATGAAAATATAGAGACAACTTACAAAGAACATTAAGTAACCATCAAAACATTATAACAATGTACATTCTATCCATAATTCTACAAACTAAATCATAAATATAAATGAACAATTATTGGTTTATACAACACTGAGAATAAATCACATTCAAAGCAACATTTTATTGATATCGTATATGTATAGAACAGTGAGTTACATCATTTGGGATCTTCCATTTGACACAGTACTCACTTGATCAAAAAACTGACAGAGATAAGTATGCCTAGACAACAGTAAATAAGCTAAAAACTGATGAACATAGATAACAATATTTTAATGGGGCCCTTTATTTTGTAGTCATTCATATCGAACGATGTTGTCGAAAAGGTTCATCATTTTAGTGGCCCGAGATCTGACTCCAAGTAGATCATATGAATGATTGCTGTCGAAATGTATATGTCACCTATCCTCGTATATAATCATCGACTTCAATAGTGTTAGTCAATAACGGAATTAAATATGTCAAATAACGAGAATGGACTTTTGAACCCATATATTTTGTATATGAAACGAATGGAATAGAGAGAAACAAAACGACGCGCAGTGAAGATGACGGCTAAGCCAACTCCCATTTAGCCAAGCATTAATCAATATTTATAGGCACACAAAAATAAGTTACAGACATATGATGAATAGGATAAGAAATGTACACACAAATGTGCGCTCATATAAAAACAGTGAAGATTTCTAAGCGAATAATTAACAAGGTCAGAGAATGTGGATTAAGTAGAATGAATAGATTGGCCTGTCCAAATGCCAGAATATGGTATATGGGCTTAACATAATGACCGATACTATAATATCAACGAAAGCAGTTATACGAATAAATAGACAGATTATAGTAAAACAATAAAATGATAAACTATTTAAATACAAAACTATTATATCCACTTGATTCCTTACATAATTGTCTTAATAATCAACTGTATATACTATACGATTAATGTATATAGTAATTATTTATGCACAGAAATCTCTATTCAGTTCTTATTTCTATTGTTTACACTTTTGTTCATTAGACTTATGTATGATTTGATTGTCAAGTTCTATATTATGACATTAGTTAGATATATGTAAGTTTGATGCTTTCTATTTTTTCTTCTTCTTCTTCTTCCTCCTCCACTTCTTCTTCTTCTTGTTGTTCTTCTTCTCTATCGTTTCATTGAATCTATATTTAATCATCTTTCTCAATCTCAATTATTCCCATGAATACCATTACAATCAAATCGACAATTGTATTCCATATTGTTTTGATTAAGATTTCTAGTGTTATTTTAAAGTTTCACATATTATATAATCATCTATGGTAAATTATTGACTACAGAATTATTACATCATGAATGAAATAGACCATTACTACTATCATTAATAATATGCTTACAAATGTATTTATGCAATAATAATAATAATAATAATAATAATAATAATAATAATAGGTTGAATTGTGTTGGTAAATCTTTTGCAATAATGTTTATATCATTACATTCATTGCGTCGGATTATAGAAGTAGATATGAAAAGGATGAATAACAACTGTAAGGAGCTGGAAAGGATTGCCCAGGACAGGGTTATATGGAGAATGATGGTGAGCGGCCTATGCTCCTTCACGAGGACTAACAGGCGTAAGTAAGTAAGTAAGTAATGTAAAATGGATTGATTCATAGAATGTTTGACAATGATAACATTGAGTACATTGATTGGGTTCATACAACAAATTATCCCTAAAATAAATAAAATATAGAAATAGAATATTTGAATTACCTGTGATAACATCATTGTAAATAAACAATTCATATTTAACAATGATTATAAATATAGAGAGAGGATTTTATTGTTAAATGACTGAATCTTAACACATTAAGTAATATTGATAATTTTAATTGATAACTTTCAAATACATAATAACAAATTATAGTCTAAAACTAAGATTGTGATATATACTACTGATGTTGATCGATAATAAGTAGTATGTATCTATCAATAGAAAGTGAAACATTTGGAAGCAGAAAGTTAAGAAGATCAAAGAAAATAGAACGAGAACGAAGAATAATTAATGTGGAAATGAAGAAACAGTCAAGTTTGAGACGATTGATTGACATTTTGCATGTCTAATTATTTAATGTTTGGTTCTTAGATTAAACTAATCCATAGTGTCATTGAATATGAAAAAGAGAATTCAGTGAAGAAAATTTTCTTTTCGACGAAATCATTTATTTAAGCTGTACATTCGTATATAGAGTTATATATGGAAAACTATGTCTATAGAAGGATAGAAAGGATTGTATCACAAAAATGGATTCGAGACTAAATAACAAATGTGATGATTACGTACTAATCAAAGGGGTAAGGAAGAAAATAATTTATGGTTCAGATAATAGTCCAATTGACAGATATGAAGAAAAAAAATTTGTGTTCAAGTGTATTTGATTGTCCCTATTTGTGTTCTCGTTCACTACAGGATTCAACTATTAAAATTGGATTGATTGAAATCAGACATTAACACCGTTGGATCCCGATTCAGTGATCTAAGTGCTCTCACGCGAGACTGATAAGTCCTGGGTCCGATCTCGCGGGGGGGGGAGGGCGGGATTGTGGATGCGCAATGCTGTGGAGTCCAATACTGGGACAAAACAGTTTTTCGTGTTGGTCTAGCATGAATTGACTCATCATTTCAACTGTTGATATTAAAATTGGGTTAGGCGATTTCACATTAGTATTATCTATTTTCATATTGAAACAAATAAATGGTATAACAGTGAATAAAACAGGTACAGAACTCTTCATAGGTTATTCTGTCATACAAGTCAGGTTACTAAGCGGTTTAAATTTTCCAAAGTACCAATTTTCTTAGATTTATAACAAGTAAGGAATCAATGAAAACGAAAAAATATATATTAGTTGTTTCATTAGGAATTTTGTGTTTTCTGAGTGCAATGAGATGGTGGAGAAGTTTGTAGCTCAAAGGGATAATTTTGATGGAGTTTCGTTCTTTGAGCTGGATGGTTTGCTCGTGGCGCTTTCATCGTTCTTCTGAACGACATCATCAGCACAAACTTCAGATAGAACTGAAGTGTTTGAATTTCTCCATATGCGTTTCACAGCTTGTTCTGTACACCTTGATGTTGATTGTTTCTTATTGACCTTAAATTTTTCATTGTTTACTTCTTTGCTTTGGTTGTGTCTCCCAAACCATCCATCTCAGAGTACAAAACTCCATCAAAATCATCCACCTGAGCTACAAATCTTCTCCACCATTTCAATAGGTAACTTTCTTCAATGATTATACTCTTACCACATTTTTATCATCATTTAATTTATTCATTAATTCCATAGAAATTTGTTGAGATAATACATGATTCCAATAAATAATCTCCTGTTTCACTATATACCTTAATAAATAGAATGGTAAATGAAATTCTATCATTAATTATTTAAGTATAAAATAAAATGATAATGTTTTTATTGATTAAAATAAAATACAACAATCGATAATATTGATTATTAAAGTTTGTTATGATATTACAAATCAGTTCTCGGTCAGTCAATCAGTCGGCTATAATGTAGGACCAGGCACATATATGCATCGGTCGAAGTTGTCATACCTCATTAGCCCAACAAGATGAACACCGAATTTATAGAGGTAGTTACTTCAACGGTAGTAAAAGAAAGATTACATATAAGGATGTAATAAAACAGAAAGAAAGAGTTCACTGGTAAAAAGGAAGGTATAAAGTAATTTTAATCTCATAGTTTAAGGAGTAGACAAAGAATATATATATATATATATATATATATATATATATATATATATATATATATATATATATATATATATATATATATATATATACGTACGCCATTGTGACCGATTCTGATCCATTTCACACAGTCTTCAACTCTCTGTTATGATAGTTGCACGGACACCAACTAGGGGTCAGTGATTTCAAGCAGTGATACCACGTTTTGATTGGGCCGCCCCTAAGTTTCTTCCAACTGTCTTCAATACAAGTCAGCATTGTGCGTCATGGTAATCGGTATTCATGTATACGCAACACGTGTTCCAACCATCTCAGTCGATGAAGACTTACAACCTCTTCAACTGATTTACCATCATTCTCTAATACTCTACGTCTAACCTCACTACTACTTTCCCGGTGATCCCAGCATATGTAAGCAATATTTGTAAGACATATATGATCAAATACAAATCAATTCTACACTAATTAATATCTCAGAAATGACCACAAGATTTTTGTTTGATTTAAGATTTCTTTACTAGAGTTTATAAATAAAAACTTAATCTAGATGACTATGCTCGATTGCGATACTTTTGTAATCTAAGTCACTTTAATCCGTTGAGATATTGTAAGGATTACTTAATAAGCACTTTTTTTACGATAACCCGAAAGGATTGTTTTTAAGGCGGATCTTAATGGTTAAGCAATCTGATAGATTATGTTGTGATTATACGTCTAGGTTACAGTTTTCTTTATAAGAAACAATCAATAAGATACCCTATATTTCATTCACATGCTCATCAATAATTGTCCGTAAGCAGTATTTAGTGGGGCTCTAATTGGCGGTATTGTTACGTTATACATTAACAGGGCACATAGGCTACAAGTTAGTGAGGCAAATGTCTACTGCTTCTTGATTTTAAATGGTTACCTGATAAGATCAGTTCATGATGTCAATTATAACATGGTTATATAGTTGAGATACACTCCTTTACACTACTCTACATTTACCTAAGTAGTAGTTCTTTTGGATTAATACTGAAGATCAGTAATCATAATCAATAAAATGAACTACATGATTTCTAAATACATCAACAAAATTCTCAAAACAGCTAAAAAAATCTCTGACATATTTAACTTACTTTGAAAGATTTTCTGTCGTTAGTGGTAAAACATTTGGGATGTATTCATTAATTAATGCATTTGTAGATTCATTTGCTTGATCATAAGGTAACGAAATAGTTGTAAAGTCTTTATAACTATCTTCGGCTGTTTCACTTTTATCAGATTTTGATATATCGCTTAGTTCTGATCCCATAAGGCTAAGTAGAGTTGTATATCCGCGTCTTAAACGTAAGTTTAATCGTTTCTTCTCAGTATTATCACTATTCGTTGTAGAATATTTTTGAAACTCCATAATTGATTCTTCACACAGTTTATTTGACTGTGATGTTGGACTATTTAAGCAAACTTTTTTGAATGATAGTCTCATTGTTGATTTCTTTGATAAATCGGAGGACATTCTTCCAAGTTGCTCCAATGTTCTACATGTAAAAAGTTTACAATGACAAAAGAGATGATAATTATTATTGAAATATTTCACTAAAAATTGAATTTACAATTGCGATTTCAATGTTCATTATTATGATTGGGAATACAAAACACAGGACTGCTCCGTATGTTTAGATTCGTAATTGATTAGTTTCCATTGACATATGTGCATCCTTAGTGAACCGCCTTAACATCATCATCATCTAACTAAAGGTTTAATTAAAGTTACGTAGTAAGTGTCAGTAAAATACCGGAAGCGCTTTTCGTCGCATGTGTACTATATCAGTTAAATATACCTTCATTTCAATGTTGATACTTATAATAATACTTGTTTATGTTTGAAGAGAAAGACACTGGGTTCGAGTCCCATTGTAAATATCAACATTAAAATACATGTTCAACTAGTTGAAAAGTCCTCAATGAAAAAATACCATATTTCCTATTTTCCTTTACCAGATACAATCCTGATTTAATAAAGACTCTAGTATTATATAAAGTTGTCTAATAAGTTATAGCTAACTTCAATGAATGACAAAGATGACAGATTGAATAATTTTTTCTCTGGTTAGCGTTTTTTTAGCGTGTTAGTTTTCTACGGGATGGGGCCGCTAACCCTAATCTTCCTTCTTTATCCGGCTTGAGAACGGCAGTAGCCCCCGGAGGGACTCCAAGCGGAGTCAATTTGATCAACTTAGAAATATCTAGTTAAATCACAGCTTATATATTATAAGTATACACAAAGTTAATTACTGTAACTTACAATAAATAATACAAAGAATATTCTAGATATTATCAATGAAGATGGTTAGATATATCAAGCTACAATCTAATGAAGTCCTTAAATATTGTTTTCAAGAGACTAATCTGTTGTTGAGTTTCTATCAAGAAGATTGTATGGCTTCAGAAAATGATACTTTTGAAAGAAAAGATTCCCACATCAAATTATTTCATTTTATTTTTACTGACTTTATAGCTTCGTGTTATAAGATCCGATGAACAAAAATAAAAAAAATAGAGGGGTGGTTAATATCAGTTAACCATTTGATGCTATGTAATGTATTATTAATAACATACATCCTAAATCCAATGTTTTGTCATTAATCCTATTTGAAAGTATCTTTATTACACTATTAGTAATATGATACAATCATAACAATAGAACTACAAATCTGGGTATTCAATTACCAGCTTATGTATATTTATTTTCTTCATGGAAATATACACCAAATCTGATATTACTATTACATTATAAGAGATTTGGTTTGAAATAGTGTCAACATTAATATTAAAAGCCATTAAGTACTGAACTGATGTTTCGACTCCGTGTGTTATTTGACAGTTAATTGACGATTAGTCAGATACATTCATAAATATGTGATGTATACTACTTATGTTGTCAGATATAAGTGGTATGTAACGCCATTCAGAGGTGAAATGCCTGTCTAAAAAAGGATTGAGAAGATTGAACTGAAAAAAAAGTCAAATAGGGAACAGAAAGGAATTAGAATAAAATCAGAATTGGAAGAATCATGAAGAATGTAAGTGATTACTGATGGAAGATGTGCAAATGAAGTATTTATTGTATGGTTTTCATAATTTACAAAAACACTGTAATTGTAAACGACATATTAATTCTTTTGTCACCACCAAGTCCAGATATACTCTCTTTAAGATAAACTTATGAATAATCAGTTGAACTAGTTTATGTATTATCACAAACTCTAATATAATAGACGTTTCAGTTGTTTTTCAGATGACTATTTTCATCCTTTGCATTAAAAAAACCCAGTTCCCAGTTAGCAATATTATGCAATTATAGTAGTCAGATGTATACTGTGAAGACCAACTACACATATAAGCTTTTTAAGCTATTGCTCAAAAATCTGGATGCACTAAAGACGCTAATCAACAGTCAAACAATGATTGAGGTTGTAGTGGCTGTGCTTCGTTAACCAATCACTCTCATAACCGTTATCATATAATCCTCAACGGTGTTTGGAATCAGAAGGCAAAGAGAAGCAGCAACTACAGTTTTATTAACAGATAACTCAGACCAAAAAGCAGAAAGGCGAATGAGTAAGTTAGCGAGTCGTGAGTGTGTAGGATTATATATATATAAGCAATGCTCAAGCATACATATTTCATACAAGCACAACAATAATAAAGGTACAATGATATAGATACGTTGTTATAGTACGGAAGACTCTGCCCGCTAAATAAGTTAACAAAAGGGCTTAACCAAATTAAATATGAACAAACTCAATTGCACGTGAGTTGCTATAAGGTGTTTCTTTCATCAAATTAGGGTACTTCTACAACTGTTGACTAAATATTCAGGAGTAATTAACCGAGAACATACGTTCCGATGTTTCAAAGATCAAATTCGAGACTAGTCATGTCGTAATTCATTTTTAGCTAGTGAAATATAAATTGCTATTGTTGGAGTAGTTTTAGAATAATGAATATTTGGTGTCGATAAAGCATCCATAGTGTTGTTGTGAACAATATCACGGGTGGGAACAATCGAATGTACATGACAAAAACTTACAAGACTTGGTAACTAAATCTAACAATCATATAGTAAATGCTTAATTTGCAAAATGACCATCACTTGTCTCAAAATGACTTAGACTTCATTGTTCCTGCGTTTTCATACAAATTGCATTCTGTTTCCATTCGTTACTGTTCGATATTCTTGTCTCTCCCTTGCCAGACATTCTGTTCACGACTAACATCATATACTACTTATGTCGATATAAGTAGCACACACCACAGTATTTTTATGTTCATAATCGATATAATAATAAGATTAGATTTCCTTTATGTATCATGAAATTTTTCCCGGAAATACATAATTGATTATCATGTCATAGTCTGACACTTTTTTAAATGAAATTAATGATAGAAAGGGAAATAATTAGAAGACTGAGATTAATGTATATATCAGTAATCAAATCTATGCTATTCATCTAAAATATGTTTTTAACAAAACTATTTCATGAATTTTTGCCTGATATATTCTGTACAAATCGATTTCGAGTTTCAGTGGACGAATGTTAGACCACTATGGGAAACCCGGAAGCACTGGACGGTCGATTTGTTCTAGTACGATACTCCTCAGAAATTTGCACCCACGATCCCTCCTTTGGGACTCGAACCCATTGCCTTCATTCTCGTGGGCGAACGCTTAACCTCTATACTCAACAATCTCTACAACCCTACACTGATAATTGTCATGTGCTCACTAGTAACTGGCTTCAAGATGAGTTTCTTGAAGTTCTAGTGAGAAGCCGTGGTCAGCGGAGTTCTTATCAATTTTCGATCTGAACTCCTGTAGTTATCTGATAGAGTGCTGTGAATATATCCTTCGATCTCTGAATCAAGTGCATGTATAATTTCTAGACCATGGTTGTTAGGTTCTAACAAATTACTCAATCTAAGATTCTGTAAGATCAAGCCATTTTCAGGTATGCTGGGATTAGGTCCAGTGGTACTATAGGAATTTGGCACTGTATTCTGTGACCCAGTATGGATTCTACAAAAGACTTATCTGCAAGCAGAAACTGCTTATGACTCTCTTTATTTTCTGTTTCTGCACTGCCATCTATTTCTCGTCACATCCGAATAAAGCTGGAGTTTGGGGATATTTAATAAAACTTGAGTGAAAGAAAAGCGACAATTCTATTTTTCCCCCATGATGTAAACTATTTGGGAGAAATGTATCCTTTCCTTCCGAGAACGTAGACAGTCTTCGTGAAGAGGGATTGCCTCCTGGGACAGTTTGATGATTTACTTAATATACGCCATGCTCATCTTTGGCAACTTTTCCTAAATTCCTCTTCAATTGAAAGCTAACTTGTTCTCCTCAATAGAAGGTTGTTACTGATGGTATCCGACCAACGGAAATTCAGTATCTTGAGTAGATAACTGTTGAATAATACTTGTACAATTTTAATGACGGATGTAATTCTCCAAGTTTCAAATCCGTACAGTGAAACTGTTTTGATGTTCGTATTGAAAATTCTAACATAGTTGTTGGCTGGCAGACAGTTGTTTCGAGTTATATATGCTCTTCAACTGTAGGAATGCTGTCCTTGGTTTGGTAACCAATGCCTTCACACCCGTATCAGATCCTGTCTCTTCATCAACTACGCTGACCAGGTACGTGGGAGCTCCCACCTCTTCCAAAGTTTCGACATCAAGTGTGATTGGGTTGGTGCTCTCCATGTTGTATTTGAGGATCTTCCCTTATCTCTCGAGTATGTTGAGGCCTACGGATCTAAAGACTGCTGCTACACCAGTGGTCTTTATCTACATTTGTTTTGTGTATGAGATAAAAGATCTAGGTCATCTGCGAAGTCAAAGCCATCAAGCACCATTCAAGCTATTCATTGTATTACAAGCCACTCTTCATTTCTTGAGGCCTTCATAATCCATTCAACCACCAGAAAGAAGAGAAAAGATGAGAGTAAGCAACGTTGCATGACACCAGCTCACACTTGCAATCCATCTGTCAGATTTCCTCCATGCACGACTTTGCAGTGTACTCCATCTTATACATTCCGTATAGTGTTGAAGATCTTACCAGTTACTCACTCCATTGTGTCGAAGAAGGTTTCATAAAGTTCTCCTATCCACACTGTCAAACGCTTTCTCATAGTCAATGAAGTTGATGTATGATGACGAGTTGCATTCAATTGATTGCTCAACAATGATCCGTAGTGTCGCGGTTTGGGCGATATACAATCGATTCTCACGTAATCCTGTCTGTTGATCTCGGAGTTGGGCGTTTACCAAATGTTCCACTAAGTTCAACAGCACTGTGTTGAAATTTTTTCCTGTTACCGATATTAGTGTGGTGCTTCTGTGGTTTTCACAATTGCTCAGATCCCTTTTACTTGGTATCTTGATGAGGCTCGGACAGCTCAGTGGTAACGTCTCTGACCGTGAAGCTGGGTGACACGAGATCGAATCCGCCAGGGAGCATCAGTTCCCTCAAGAATACAGGTAAACCCTGCTGACGAGTACCAAGTAGCACGAAACCCGGGTCCAGGGTTGCCTGTTGACTACCTCCAACCACCATCTAAATGAGGTATCCTTGTTTCCAGTCGATCGGTGGCACCTGTTTATTCTCCAAAATCTTCCTGAATATAGCGTGGAGCACGGTTTCAGTTACTTCTCTGCCCGACTTTCGTGCTTCAGCTGATATATTGTCTGGTGCTACCGATTTCTCACTGTTGGTTTTTTTATGGCCATCCGTTTATTGGTGGGTGATATCTGTTTCTAGGTGCTGTTTCAGTGTCTTGTGGGTTCAGTGTGCCTGGTCTTTGCGAGAGTTCCTCGGAGAGTTCTATCAATCTGTTCAATTTTCTCCCATCTCAGTGATTGGCTTTCCTTGTTTATCTTTAACTTATCTCTCAAGTTTATGATTTTTCTCTGCTAGTTTGTTCGTTGCATCATAAACTCTTCACGGATTCAACTCTTTTGCAGATTCATCCGCTAGCATTGCGATATTTTCCATGTATTTCTCCTTGACAGCTCTAATTCTGCTTTTCACTATCTTGTTTACTTATGTGTATTCGGTATATGCCATAGATATCTCCGCATTTCTCCGGCTGTTGGTGCTTCTTACGACCCATAACCTCCTGACACGTTCAAGCTGGTGCTTCTGAGATCCCTTTTCAACTGTACTACATGGTAGTTTCTTCTGTAAGCGGATCTTGTAAGTCTTAGAACGTATTGCTGAAACTTGTCTTAAATTTGTCGAGTTTGTCAGTATCTTGAAGGAACCCTGTATTGGACCTTTGTAATGCTGCTTGTCCAGTTGTCCAATGTTTCTTGAGAAACCATCAGGCAGTGATTCGAAGTTATATCAGCTCCTCTTCTGCTTCTCACGCCTACCATGTATTTTCTGAATTTTTCTCATGCAAATATGATCGATCTTGTTCTCTTGAGTGTGATCCGATGAGACCATGTAGCTTTCTGCATGCGTTTGTGAGGGAATATCACGCCAACTATTACCGTTTTGTTAAATGCACATAAATTTTGATACCTCCCATTGTTGTCATTCTTTTCTCCCAATCCAAGTAGTCACACGATGTCTTCATGGGCGGTGTTATGCGTTTCGACTTTGATGTTCAAACCTCTCATCCTGATGGTCAGGTTCTTTCATGAGCGCTTCGCTACGATCGATCGCAGCCTCGAGTAGAACTGATGTTCATCGTCTTCATTGCTAGCATTGTTTAGAGAATAACACGGGATAACATTCATTCGATTACCTCACTTTTGTTTTGAAGGATGCTTTAATGATCGTGTGTCCATGAGAAACCCATTCCACAAGTGCTTCGTGTGCTTCCTTAGACATTATCACAGCAACTTCCTCGATATGTGGAGCATTCTGTTCTTCATGACCAGAATACCGCAACATCTCTCCCGAATCTAACTGTTTCTGTCCAAATTGGGTACACTGGGTTTCACTTAACACGAGCCCTGTCAAGCGTATCTCCTCATTTATCCACCTATTTGACTGTTTTTTCGTGCCTTAAGGTAACCCCCGTGCTATTGATAGAAGAAGCCAGACAAGTAGTGAATAGGTCTTTATTTCGATCTTCGCGCAGTCACAGTGGAGCGTTGGATTATTTGTTTAGACAAACAAAGCCTCCCAACATTCAATATAAGATAATAAGAAATGTAACGCCTACGCAAAATAACGAAGTGAATGAATACTTGACCTGTACTGTTTTGGCATATGCTTGGTTGTTTCAGGTCAACTCTTAACCAACCAACCAACCTATGCTGTTACAGGTTCTCCCGTTCCTCCATATTGTCCGGACATTCCACGTACCTATAATAATTGTTGCTCTGGTCGTTATCAGGGGTGTTTACTTCGTGACTTCCCAAGAATCTCCGCTTTCACCACGAGATGTCATCATTCTTCTGAATGAAGATCCTTCAACTTGAAGGACAGAGTTTGAATGGTTTAATTTGTTTATTCTGATTAGCGTACTTTAGCAAGTTAGTTTTCTACAGGTTGCTGACCCCACGCCAACCCTATTTTTTCACCCGGGGCTGGGACCGCTAGTAGCCCTAGAAGAGTTGCTAGCGGTGTCTACTGGTATTCTACAGTCACTAAATTATGATCGTAGCAGCCAGAGATTTCCTTCCAGAATATTCAGTGGGTTGACTTCAGAGTTAGTGGAAATGTTCTTAGGTGTTTGCTTGGGTTTGTAGCGTGGCGTCGAGTTGAGATTAACTGTGGACACCGCTACCCAGAAACACGTGCCAAGCGAATCAGAAGGTGAGGGTTGGACGTAACCAAATAGATCCATAAAATCCCCGAGAAGCCAAATATCAGAAGACAATTAATGGACCAAGTCGAGGTGTATATTTGCTGGCGATCTCGTGGCATCGAAAGGATACCGAGATCGTGCCAGGATACAACCTTGGTTACAGAAGGTAACCGAATTCGCGCGAAGTTACAATCGAAGTGTGTGTAAAAGAAAGGAAGCAAAATATAGCTGTCGTTAGCACAGTCAAACAAAAGCACGTTAAAACAAACACTGGCACAGTTGGTTATAATAATAATTGTTTTTATTGAACTAGTCGTGTTCTCGTGATAAATGTGAGTCACTACAGGAGCCCCCCGCTAGAAAGGGTTTACACTTTCGATAAATAGCGGTTTAAATCGTGGGACTGATCGGCTGACGGGCGATTGTAGGACGGAAGAATTGGCGAACAGGAAAGCGATCGTTGTTCGTGGAGTTGCCAACGAAGGTCGTTTTCGGAGAACGGTACCAGGAGCGATGTGCTGTATTTGTTGCTTGAGTTGGCATGCTACACGAGAGGAAGCAAAATATAGCTGTTATTAGCACAGTCAAACAAAAGCACGTTAAAGCAAACACTGGTACAGTTGGTTATAATAATAATTGTTTCTATTAAACCAGTCGTGTTCTCGTGATAAATGTGAGTCACTACAGGTTCTCACCTGGAAAAAGACTTCTGTTTTACGTCACTGTAACCTGAAAATATATTGCTTTCTTGGATCGTGTTCACAGAAGAACAACTAAAAAGGTACTCAGGCCAAAAAAATAAAGCAAACTTAGCTTTTATGGAAGCCCTCTGTTTATAACCAATGAAGTACAGTGGGATTAGTGAAATATAATCCAGATGTATCATATGGCACATTACCTGCTTTATTGTAGTATAACACTACTAGTTTCCAGTGACAACCCCTAATTAAGGGTCAACCCACTAAGGATATGAAATGAAAAAGCCCGCACCAAAACTCGAGCAAGCGTTTGTGGTTAGTAACAATACACTAAGAAACTCCCGACCAGTGACGATAGCAATAGCAGCTGACGAAGTTTCTTTTAAAGGACAGATTGGCTTATAATCAGATGGTGTATGCGTTGTGAGTGGTTACTCTGCATTAATCCATGGTCGCTGCTACTATTGCCTAATCTGCTTTCGCTCATGCAGTTTCAATAAGGAATATATGGAGTAGAACACTTCCATACTATAGAAATACATATCACAAGGAATCAATAGTCTACCGATTCCTCTATGCAAAGTTTGATGTTTGGGCAAAAATACAATATTGTAATGGGTATTTAGGATAGTCAGGTCAACCTAATTTTCATAGTAAAAATATACCGCTTAATTTGGTTAGCTGGATGTGACCTTGGCACATGTAACTAACTGGTCATTTTAGGAATGTTTCATTGTAGAAGTTGGCATTCAGTTTATATACAAAGCTTGGATTAGAGTAACTTTAATACCTAGTCTCTTACAAATGAGAGTTTATCAGTTCTCTTCTCACTGCTTCAGAATTCAACAGGCAGTTTCATGCGTTATTCGACTTAGCTTCCATAACTTCTGCGATAAACACCAAGTTATGGTCTGGTGTTACAAGATAACGGTGTTTTTAAGATGTAAATGGATGTGATGGTTGTTTTCAGTACCTGCACATCATAGTACCTGTTAGTCGGTGAATCGCTGACAACTTGACTTATCTGAAGCTTGTATTATTATTATCCTTCAGATTTGATGTATTCCTTACACTAACTGCCGTTTTAATTTCACGTCGAATCAAAGAACTCTGGTTGGCGTGAGGTGCTTTAAGCATCCTTCGTGAACAAATCCTACTTATGGTCACTAAATCAAATATATTCGATTTGATGATTAGCCTTGTTGATATTTTCCTTTATACAGAATCAAGTCTTTCACGGTTGGTTTTATCTGTGTCAGGCGTGTAGTTCGACATACCAGGTTGTAATTTCGAATGACTAAGAAATCATTATCTCGACCGTAATATTTGGCAGCTTAGTAATTTTTTGTATGCTTTTTTAAATCTAAGCGGATGATATTTTACATATAAACTCCAGTCACTTTTTATGAAAGAAATCAGTTACCTGTAATTCTAAGTTTTATTATCTGACTACTATCCATCGTTATTGGCAAATGACAAATATTCGGAAACTCATCTCCCTGTGTTTAAGAAGGCGGAGTCCTGCCAGTAATTTTGATCAATAATTGGACTCGTAGTGAAGTGACTCAGATGCATCCATTCCTTATTTTCTGGGTTTCGGGTTTCGTTGTTTCATACCTTCTATTCCACAAATATATTCGTACATTATAGAACTTATTCTTTATAAGTATGTTAAAATTGTAGATAATAATCAGTCTTCATGGGTGAATAAATGAAAAATATTTCCTCAAGTTCTAGTGGACCAGTGGCTTAGTGATTAGGACGTCTGATGCTCCCCTCCTAAATCACAGGTTCGAACCCCGTTTCACGTACTTCTGTTTTAGTAACCATGTGTTACCAGCCCTCACACTTAAAGAGTAACACACCTAAATACCTAGTAAACGAGCTAGTGAGGTAAGTAGGTATGGTCGATGGGGTTACTATTTTGACTTTTTTGTTTATCTTGTTGATTCCTCTTCACTGTATCGATATAGTTTGTGAACGTATACTGATACATTTTATCTTAAGTTCTATGTTGATTTCGGCTGATTCAACCGTTGAAAAGCAACATTACCATCGATATAACTTTAGTAAGAGTTTGAGTGATTTCATATTCATCACAAACTAGTTTTGAAATTCCTAAAGTATTTATATCTTGTTTGGTTCGAAGTGGGAGAATTGCTGATAACATTTAGTGTTCTGGGCAATAGCTGTATAAAACTGGCATCTATAGATTCATCAATACTTTCTGGTTTTTTTTTTAAATTTTGCATCTCAGTAGTGTTGAATGTTAACAGGGATGACATAAAATAGAAGCTTGCTAGAATCTTGCGGTTGTATTTTACTATGTTCTTCGTAAAAGTTGAATCAGTCTCCCAATTGAAGTGCATCTCTCACTAGCTACCGTCCATACCTACTTATTCATTCATTTTGTAACTCGCCGTCCTTCACAATACTACCATTCCACCTTGTTTAATATACTTTTTTGATGTAATATACCAAAATTTTTGTAACATTGGTAAACTATATATTGTTATCGGATATTGGTGTTATACAAGTTCTTGTGTATGTTTTGTTACTCCTATTTATTGCAATACCTGGTTCTGACGTAATAACTTTATTATAGTGATACATTAAGATAAGTGTGTTTGTGTTTCTTACAATCCGTAACTTTCTAAATAATTTCGTTGTATATATTGTAGATATTGATCGTGTTACTCTTGTACTTATTTCATACCGGGCTTGACTAATCCTGCATTGTTCAGAACCTATTTGATAGGATTATTTTGTCAAACCCTAATGGAACAAGCTTGTGTCAAGTCTTCTCAGCACCGTTTAGATGACTGGTTAATTATTCTCAAAGAACATCATATTTTAAAATCTCTTGGCGAAGAAAGAGAGGCGTTTGAGAGAAGTTTAGAACTTCCAACGATTCCTGAAATGATATTCGACCAAAATTCCTTATCAATTTGTTTCTGTCAACCAAATAATGAACAAATATGCAAAATTGAATTTAATGCACTTGATGCTCTTAAATTAGTCGACCCAAAGAATATAACTATAGAGGTGAGTTACTTAATACTAATCTCAACACACCGAAGGTACCATTTGCAAAGGACTGGAGAGATTCTCGAATTACTAATCAAGAAGACATACTGCCACATAAACCATATGACTGGACTTTCACTACTCCGTATACAGGCACTTTGTCTGGTGAGTTTTGTTTACGTTTATATACTCTTCTCCGTCATAGCATCCGTGTCGTCACCGTTCTAGGGAGTTGTTTCGGAAGTTTCGTGAATAACGAGCACGTTTTGGGGTTGCTAAAACAAATTTTTGAAATTTTGGCTGACAGATGACACCATGTGTTCAAACGATAACTGTTCATGAGGCCAAATTATTGGTGCAACCTCCCTCAAGTAAATGGTTATCAAAAAACAAGAATGTTAGCCAGTAGGAACAGTTCTTTTATCTGTAAAACATGGTCGTTTATGAAATATTATATAAAAGGATAAACGTAATGAGATTTCTGTTAGCAAATAAACCATCGAAGGATATGTATAGGTGGTCACTCTGCTTAATAAAATTATGATCTTACTGTCGGGCTTAATTCTTGCACGTTACGTAAATTTGGAGATAACTCATGGTGTTTTCCAAGTCCTAATTTGTATTATTCACCACACAATTCAGATGTGACTGATGAGGTTTTACATTTTTCACCCAAGTATATCAACTTATAGGATTGTAATCAATAGCACGATAGTATTCCATCTGGTTATATGACAATGTGCACTCAGTTTAAATAGCGTGACAATGATTTCGTGATTGGCAAATTACTTTCATTATAGGTCCCTGGAGTATATCTCCAACTTCTGAGGGTTTAGATATGGAGTATTTACGTCGGAAAGATCCTATTCGCTTTTTTGTCAATACAACGCTATATGAAGATGAACTAGGTGATAATGGTGTATCTATTCTGAATATAAAGTTCCGTGCAATGTCTTCTGGTTTCTTTTTATTACAACGTTTTTTCTTACGTATTGATGGTGGACTAATACGAGTGTATGATACTCGACTACAATGGCGTCAAAATGATAGGTAATTTTGAACTTAACGTATATTACATCTTATTTTGTTACTTATATTTGTATTATGGCTAATTAAAATCTACAGTCATCACCTAAATTATTTTAGAAAATTTAGCAGTTATGAATCCAAATCTATGGAGTCATACACCACACATCATTTTCAAACGAATATTATTCATTGTAACAGCCGAGTTCATGAGTCGATCTTAGCTAGACCACCGCTGAAAACCTGGGAGCTCTGTACGGCTGTTTTGTTCTAGTACGAGACTCTTCGGCCGTGATATAGAGGTTAAGCGTTCATGCGAAATCGATTTTTTAGATGTTTTGAGTATTAGCATCTGGTTTTTATTTTATGTACTCAAATTCATACTTAAGTTAACACAAAGTTGCTGAGTAGCAAATAAACACTGACTTTTGGGAATGAATGTGAGTCATCTAGAGGTTGAACGGATGTACATACGTACCAGGTTCTACGTTCTGACTGACTGAGAGGTTGATTTGCATAATATAATTCCCATTTCACCGATATTCCTGGTTGATCACACAGACGCTTATCTTTTATGCCTGGAAATACAATCTAAACATTTAAATTTCAGAACAACACCATAGCATCAAGTATGTTTGTTTATGTCCATTTCTGGTATATATCATTGGTTGTATCTAAGATCTAATCCATTATCAACATTGTTTCCTTTGGTGTTCACTTTTTGCTTTGATCGAGTCATCTATCCCAGCAAAATCAGCAGCTATTGACTAGTATCTACTCAACGCAATACTGATACCATATTGTTCCTGTATAAAGAGACATAAAATATACTTTTCTAACCAGAAAATAGGGGATGGATTCTCTGTAATTTGGACCATTAAAGACGAGTTTATGAAATACAGTATACTTCAATGGCTATAATTCCTATATTATAACCTAGACTTTTATCAGCTTTCCCTCCCCAGTGATGTGTTGTGACAACCTAGTAAAGTGTAAAGTGAAACATTTACCATCGATATTTAAAAAGTAAGATAATGTGATTCCTGTGATTGCTTGAAACCATCAATTACTCGTAACACATTTCCATATATTTATCTGAACGATATAAAAATGAACACTCTCTTTTATAAAGTAACTGTTACTTAAAATGGATGGAGAATGCTGGTGAGCGGCCTTTGCTCATCCACGAGGAGTAACAGGCGTAAGTAAGTAAGCAAGTACTTAAAATGAAACATCTATATAACTGCTTCCTCAAATTATTCAATTAGTATTGTGTAGTGTTGTTTCAAGAAATTTGTAAATATCAGCAAATAATCTTCTACTTTTTTTAATCCAGTTATTTAATTCGTGATATACGCCGAATGGAAAGTTCATCTTGGAGAGAAGATATGGTTGGCATCAGTTTAGAAATAGCAGATCAACTATGTGATACAGTTATAGAGCATTATACAGAAAAACTTGTACCACCATATGTAAATTCACCCTAAAATTATCAATAACTTATGTAAATAGTATTATGTGTTCAATTATTTCTATCGAATTGTTTGTTATACAAGTTTGTAAATTATTGAACATTATTTATACACATTATATTTGTTTTTCATAATCAAAGTGGTTGATTAGTTCAATGAACTATATACATTAGAGTATTAATAACGTGGATGCGCACTACTGAGGAGTCCCATACTAGGACGAAACGGCCGTCCAGTGCTTCCATGTTTTCCATGGTGGTCTAGCTTCAATCGACTCATGATTTCAACTATTGAAATTACTAAAATCTCCACAAAACCCCTTCTGATAATAATCATCTGCTCACTAGTGACTGACCTCAAGATGCATTTTCTGAATTTCTAGTGAGAAGCCGTGACCAGTGGAGTCCAACCGGTTCTGTTGTGAGATACTAACTCACTAAAGACAATGGTGGATGGTGGTGCAATTTTGTGAGTTGGTTGAAGTTAGACATTAACACCGTTAGATGGCAGTCGGCTCAGTGGTTTAGTGGTTAAGCGCTCACGCGCGAGACTGATAGGTCCTGGGTCCGAGTCTCGCGGGGTGGGGCGGATCGTGGATGCGCACTGCTGAGTCTCATACTAGGACGAAATGACCGTCCAGTGCTTTCAGGTATTTCATGGTGGTCTAGCTTCAATTGACTCGTGATTTCAACTATTGAAATTACTAAAATCCCCACAAAACCCCTTCTGATATTGACGTTTTAGTTGACCACTTCATCTAAAATAATCTATCTTCTTCAACCTAAATGATTGAAAGTATTGTCAGTCTTCTCATCATAATACATGTAAGTTTTGGAATACCTAATATTGAATTTAGGAAATCCATTTTAAGATAGTCATTCTTACACCTTAATGTCAGCTAGAAAACCAGGTAAAATAAGATGTAGCTCTGTATATATTCCTTTCTAACTTTAAGTTTCTCATCTATAAACACCTTACTAAATTACTTGGAATGGAAATTAGGACCTACAGATTGAATGACTATCAGAACAACTAAGTTTAAATAGTGTGTTGTAGTTCGCATCTGTTGGGGGTGTTAGATCCACAGAGCTCACTTGGTTAATATCCTATTTTTGTAATTCCATTTTAAAAATTTGAATTTCTTGTTTTTGCGCCAAAAGCGCTTATTTTACCTTCATGTCGTATTTCCTACTTGGGAGGATCTTAAACTCTATTGGTTCGTTGTTTCCTTTAGTACGCTATTTTGTGACGCTTCCAAGGACATTCTTATGCTGTATATCATACGCTTGATTTGTGTTTGTTGTTGTTGTTCGTGCTTCTGGTTGCTTGTGGAATGTATTTCCTTCTTCCGAACTTGAACGTCTCCCTCTAGTTAGCGGGGCTGGGATGCGTCGGAATAGCTAGCTCATCTGTCATTGTGTCACACTCTTCGTTCTGTTTTCAGATTAGGTGAACTAGTAATCTGTTCAAACATAGCAACACCCTCAATTTTATAATAACGATCATCCAGTTTCATCAATGATACGTGTATCACTTCCGGTATGTTCGGTTTCTATCTGTCACTAGTTCGTACTGAGACTTCTATAATCTATCTGGAATTTTTTTACTGATATGAGTCAATACCCATAAACCATCTAAGTATACGCTATAGACTAGTTATTACGTTGGACCCATTCATCACATTTGTTGTGGAGACGGCATTCTCAAATGCAACAGATGAAAAAGAAAATCAATATTAAGATTCACATATTGTTTTTAAGGTGATTTCTGTACAGTCAGCTGTCAACGCGATTTCGTCGTATTAATTTATTCACATTAAATTCTGTTCATTAGCAACCTGTGTATTTTTCAGTTGTAATTATTTACTGTTCACTGTGACTTCGTACTGTATAATAGTTGCCCAGTTCTGTAATTAATAACCGCCGTATAATGGATATATAATTGAACTAACTTGGATATAATCCAATTCTTCTGAAGTTTTTATCTAAAGCTTTTATATAAACTTGAACGTCTTACTCTAATTAACAGACAATGATGAAAAAGATAGAAGCAGTCTTGTTAATCATGTATAGAAGTTGTAATTGAAAATAATTAGCTATGTAAATAAACATATTGTACTACAACTGAGTTCAATGATCCTCATTTAGTAGAAACTTGATGGAGGTAGTCAACAGGGAATTCTAGACCTAAGTGTACGTGTAATTTTGAGGGAACTGATGCTCCCTGACGGATCCGATCCCGTGTCATCCAGCTTCACAGTCAGAGACGTTCCCAATGAGCTGTCTGGGCTGCAACTGATTTGTAGGACTGAGATGTATTTACAATTGATTGACCACCGGGTGGTGATCAATGTCATGTATGTCAGATCCTTCTTAGTGCAGACCAAGTCCTATTGACGTCCAATTACCGTCTGATCTCAACATAGTGCACGCAGTGTCGAGTCACCTAGACTGGTGGCCACATTGCAACTTAGTCGATAGGATTCAATCTACACTAAGAAGGGCTTGACTTACATGACATTGATCACCACCCAATGATCGTTCAATTGTAAATGGAATTATCTTGTTGATTTATAATTAAACGATAACTTGTAAACAGGTAGTCGATTTTATGGAACCGGCTGATAAGAACTTCATTTAGTCAGTTATTGCACAGTCATATTTATAATATGGAAAACATTCATAATATAAGTATTATTTCTACTTTGGAACTCAATATTTCTGAGCAAAGATATTCGGTCGATCGATGAAACTATAAACCTTCCCTGACCTACATAATTTTAGTATATGTTATGCATATTCAGCCGCAATCTGTCCAGATGACCAACATTGTCTGTTATACAAGTAGATTGGAAAAAATATAAATAGAGTAGTTCATGGATTTATTGACTGCTGGTCTGAACCATTCTCGGAGATGCAAATTCCCTGACTAGAGATATCGATTGGTAGTACCCTGAAATTTCGAGCTTGATATATACTAACTTACGGACTAGTTATGAACAGTGTATCCACGTTATTTTGAACTGTGAATGTTTGGATACAAAACATTGTTACTTCATTGGTAAAAGTATGCTTCAGGGATCAATCAGAATCGAGCATTTGGTTTGGTGCGCGAAATTCAAGACACCACATACATCAACCATTAAACATTCTTTTGGACACTAATTAAAACGTTTGAAATGATAGCGAACAATCATTTCCTACCATCACAGAGTGAAATGATGATAGTGTTTAATATACCAAGTGTCTAATTCTGTTCCTACAGATTGTACATAACAGGCAAATTGACACTATCCCTAAATATCAACTCTAAACCCTCAATTAATCCTGAAGAAAACCCTAACCTGATCGCCCTCAATCTTATCAACAAACTAATCAGATGTCACCTCTCATACTTTTCAATGAATTTTATTCATTAATGACTTGGGAATGATTTAGGATTTTAGCTAATATCAATTCGTGATGAAAATCGTATCTGTAACTTGGAAGTATGTGGGTACTGCTCAAAATGTGTTTGTGTATTCTTAAGGATTCGAGAATATAAACAATGCTCATCCATTAGAACAAGTTTATACATTGTTATTCTTTCGATTTATAAGTAGAAAGTCTTATAGAATACATTGATAGATTAGCTACTTCTATATAATTTGTTATCACTTTACAATATTATTACTTTATTTCTCCTAAACTCTTCATCTATAAAAGCTGTTTTTCTGATTAACTAGAAAGTCTCTGGTAATCTGTCGTAGTTGTTCTAAACGCATCACTATATTATACTGTTCCCATTTTGTTGAATAGTTGAAGTTATCTATCCATATCACTTGATACTTAAATTTTTATTCTGAGTATAATCCGTGTCGAGTAGAGAAAGGTGTCTACCTCAGTACAATGGAAGATGGTCGCGCAATTTGCGGATTGGTTGATGTTAGACACTAACAGTAGTCCAGTATGTTAAGCGTTCGCGCGCGAAACTGAAGGCCCTGGTTTCGAATCCCGCGAGCGGGATCGTGGTTGTGCACTGCTGAAGAGTTCCAAAATAGGTCGAAAAGGCCTTCCAGATCTCCAACAGTGGTCTAACATCAATCGGTTCATGATCTCAATCAAGAAGCGGAGCATTTGAAAAATGTGATTAAACTAGTTTGATGATCAAGAAGTTCGAACATATTGTTGTCAATACATATAACTAAGGTCATAAATTATCGATGAGAAAGTCTTAAGAGTTCAGATTTCCAACGGTGGTCTAACACCAATCAGTTCATGAACTCAATCAAAGACTTAATAATCTCCATAGTCCCTATACTGATAATTATTTATCATTATTGGATGTTTCATAAAAAACTGTATGCAAGTTATAATTGTTATTTTAATGGTACTGTTTCTCAGTGTTTATTAAGAATATTTGAAACAGAAAATTTTATCAATGGATAGATTGTTTCATCTTGGAAATTATTTGTAGGGTTACTAAGAGATTTATGATGTAATTTATTATCAAGAGTTGGATATAGTGTTGTTGCTGTGGTTGTTATTATTGTTGTTGTCGTCGTCGTTGGTGGTGGTGGAGAATGTAATACAGCTTGTCGATAATCTGATAAAATAAGATTTGATGATTGTTTATTATTTATGGTAGTATTTATATTGGCTAGATTAATACAATTAGTATTTTCGAATAGATTGTTTGTAGTTGTCATATTTATGGTAGATAAATTATTGAATTCATTAAACTCTCCATGTATACCCAATTTATTTGTTTCATCTATTAATAAAACATAAATACACATTAAGAAATAAAATGATCTTAGTATAAAATTCATATTACACTCTATTTTGTGGAAATGAGTTTAACTTGTAAGTTGTATTCGTCAGGGATTTTGATCCCGATTTGGGTGTTATTAAAAAGTAAATGGACTCAGGATCTTCATGTCATGCAGTTAACTCTTGATTATTAAAACCACTAGGTTGGCATTCATTCATGTAATATCGACTTCAATCAATTTGGAATATAGTACAATGACCATTTAATGTAATTGGTGGTAACTGTTTCACATTTGAGATCTCTAAATTCTACCAGTCATGACTTCCTACCAGAACTTTGGGAAAATCTTAATTTACTAGTGAGCTGATTATTATCATCTAGTTGAAGGGGATAATCTGTGTCCGTAGACAATACGCGTACTATACATGAAGTAAGGTTCTTTCTATCTGTTGGAATCAATGGACTAATGGTGAAGGTATTCGTCTTTTATCCAATGAGTCACGGATCCCAACTCTGCTTCACCTTACTTCACTTCTATGACATTATATTTGGTCATCAAACAAACAATGAGTCAATTCAGATTATATAAAAATGTACTTCGTTAATGCTATACATTATCATATATCTGTTAATAGTTGATTCTCGTACCAAATGATTGTGATGTGCTAAAAGTTTTTTGCTTTAGTTTTCATACATCTCATTTCAAAAAGATAAAGTGGGAGGCTTGTAGATGCAAGTGAATGATTCCTGTTTAGCTGTCAAAACATTAGCACTACTCTAGTCCAGTTTATGTATATTAAGGAAATATTTCTGTGGAAATTCAGTTGCCTGTTTTGTTCTCTCTACATATAATGGAGTAGTCTTTGAAACTGCAAGCATTTTAAGCTATTTCACATACACTCTAAATTCTATATCACATGCTATTTGTAAGGTGAAAGTCTTTAAGAAATCCGTGGTTAACGGATTTTCATCGTGTCGAATAAACCGGGTTTAGCATTACTTTCATAATAGCAAATAACATTGTTTACACTCTTGTACATCAGTTAAAACATTTACTGAAGTTTTATCCTTCAATCAACTGTAATATCAACAAAATTTACACTTTAGTTAAGTCTTGAAATTTGCTGTAACTCGATGTACGAATTTCTAACCAAAAATTTAATACACTCCAAATGACTAGGGATAGGACTGTGAACTAATCCTTTGTTTACATATTGAGATGATCTATAGCCTAAGAAGAAGGCTTTCGATGTGTTGTGACATCTGATTTAGGTGGTTTAGACTTGAAGTTTCCGTTGTCATTTATAGACAATATTACTGACACGTACTTCAAAAAGAAGTATTGATAGTGTTGTTTAGTAAAGCAATAAATACTTCATGGCTAAAGTATCCAACTCGAAAAATGAAAAACCTATATATATATATATATATATATATATATATATAAGACATGTCAAATTACGCATTAACTGAGTTGACAACGTTTACTTACGCCTGTTATCTCGAATGAAGCATAAGCTGCCAACCAGCATTCTCCAACCCACTCTGTCCTGGGACTTTCCAGTTCTATCCAATTGTTGTTCATTTTTCTCATGTATGTCTCCATTTCTCGACAAAATATGTTCTTTGGTCTTCCTCTTCTCTTTTGGCTTTGAGGATTCCATGTGACGGCTTGCCTTGTGACGCAGTTCGGTGCTTTCCTCAATCTGTGTCCTATCCACTTTCAGTGCTTCTTCCTGATTTCTTCCTCCTCTGGGATCTGATTCGTTCTCTCCTATAGTAGGTTGTTGCTGATAGTGTCTGGTAAACGGATTTGAAGTACTTTGCGTAGACAGCTATTAATAAACACTTGTATCCTCTGGATGATGGCTTTTGTAGTTCTCCAGGTTTCCGCCCTATACAGTAGAACTGTCTTGACATTTGTATTGAAAATTCTGAATTTGGTGTTGGTTGACAGACAATTTTTTTGAGTTCCAGATGTCCTTCAATTGTCAATATGCTGCTCTTGATTTGCCGATCCGCGCCTTCACATCTGCATCAGACCCACCATGTTCAACAATGATGCTGGCCAGATATGTAAACGTTTTTACATCTTCCAAAGTTTCTTCATCATGTGTGGTTCAATTGTTGCATGCTGTGTTGTATCGGAGAATCTTGCTTCTCCTTTTGTGTATGTTGAGACCTAGTGCTGCTGAGGCAGCTGCTACACTGGTCGTCTTCTTCTGCATTTGTTGTTGCGTGTGTGATAAAAGAACCAGATCATCTGCGAAGTCTAGATCGTCCTACTGCATTCTAGCTGTCAACTATATCCCATGCTTCCCTTCAGATGTTGACGTCTTCATGGTCTATTCGATCACCAGGAGAAAGAGAAAGGATGAGAGTAAGCAACCTTGTCTGAAACCGGTCTTTATTTCGAACGAGTCTGTCAGCTATCTTCTGTGTACGGTTTTGCAGTTTAATCCATCATATGAATTCCGTATGATATTGACTACTTTCTGAGGCACGCCGTAGTGTCAAAAAAGCTTCCATAATGTTGTCCTATCCATACTATCAAATGCTTTTTCGTAGTCAACAAGGTTGATGTAGAGTGATGAATTCCATTCAATCGATTGTTCCACAACAATAAAATACACGTAAACTGTTTGCAAAAAAAAATTACAAATTCTTACCCGTAATACTGAAGAATCATTTCCACAAAGAACAAATTTCTGTTCATTATTATCATATGTTATAAAGTTATGAAATCTGTTAGATAAGTTTATTAAATCATACCATTGTAATTCAACCGTATTGAATTGATTTAAATCTATCGTATTCATTCGATGTTTCAATAGATTCATTTGTTTTATATCATCATTATTTATTAGTTCTATATTTGAATTAAGAATTTGTTCATTTTGTTGATTGTTCAAGTGATTTAATAGAGATAAATGAATAGGAATTCTATTCATGAAATCATTTGATGATATCTTCTTGAATATAGAATTCTCTATGTAATAATTAAATAAATAAATAAAGAATAACATTATATTATTCTTATCAGAAAGGTATTTTATGGATATATTATAGTAATTTCAATAGTTGCAATCGTGAGTCATCATGGGAAATTTGGAAGCATTGGACGACCATTTCATCATGGTATGGAACTCCTTATCACTGTGCATCTACAATCACACCTTGCGTAATTCGAACCCAGGACCTATCAATCTCGTACGCGGACGCTGAACCTTTAGACCAATGAATCGGCTGGCATTCAATGATGTTAACGTTTGACTTCAAACAATCGGTGAAATTGCTTCACCGTTCATCATTGTCATCAGTGAGTTACTATTTTAGTGTAGGCCCGTTATTTAATCGTCATTTAGATCGAACAATGTTGTCGAAAGAGCTTTCCACTTTAGTGGCCCAGTGGATCTGACTCCAAGGAGATTGTAATGATGATTGTTGTTGAAATATATATATTGCCTATTCTCGTATATAATCACTGATCGTAATCGCGTTAGTCAATAACGGATTTAGATAAGTCAAATAACGAGAATGGACCTTTTTTTTAATTATTATTAATGGCTTTATTCAATATTGTATTTTGGTACAATATAGAATTCTCAACACAGGGTATTTCAACAAGTTACTTACGCAAAAAAAACAGTGACAAATACAAAAAAAGGAAAAAAGGTTTTAAAAAACCCCGGAAAACTGTACAACTTTTCAAATTAGGGACATATTAAGAATGCAGGTTATTGACTAGGTTAACTCTAACAACCTGTTCGTCATAGAGTACATTCGCTAGGTAAGGTATTATAGAACTTTTATACTCTAATTTGCGTGCATGGATTTTAATGTAATTACGTCTCGTCCTACCAGAAGAGATACAAGGAGAAAGATAAGAGTGAAGGGGATGGTTAGTATCTGATAAAATAACACCTGCCAGGAGTTTGCATGATTTTAGATGTCTATCCACAACCATATTAATTATGACCTCGAAAGATTCCCCACACATCTTGCTAACTGTCTTCACCGCTCTCCGCAATACAGCTAAGTCTTTTCTCAAAAGCCCAGGAAAGAATAATGGAGAGCAGTAAAGAATAATAGGCAATATGCAAGAATTGACAAATTGTTAGAGTAAATGACGAGTAATCCAAGAGCATGCAATCTCTTTATGTAGTAAGTCAGACGGAAAACCTTCTCCGACAACAATAAAACATGGGAACACCAAGAGAGACAGAGGAAAAGGTGACACCAAGATAATTGACCTTCGACACTGTTTATCAAAGAGTCTCCAATGGAACAAGCATTATGGGATCTCAAATTGGTGTTTAGATTCCGTTCATGTCTCATACTAAAGTTAACAGCTTGACATTTAGACGGATTCAGTATGAGACCATTACCAACAGACCAACAATCAATACGGGACAAAAACTCACTCATTTCTATGGGATGTAAAGAGGAAGAGATAGGCATACATACAATGAGATCATCTGCATATTTCACAAGTGTTCTCTGTGGAAGATGGTAGATCATGCAGAAAAAAGAGAATACGTATATTTTGTATATAAATAGAATGAAATAGAGAGAAGGGCAACGACACGCAGTGGAGACAGTGGGTAATGGCGCACGAACGCTTAACTTCTAGATCACTGTGCCAGCCGACATCCAACGATGTTAATGTCTAACTTCAATCAAACCAATTTGGATATATGATTGTAAAACTGATGAGAAATTATTGAAAAGAATATCGTTCGTTCATATAATTGTGTTTAGTAGAATGGGATTTTTCAACAATATAAGTTTCTAAAAAATATCATGAATTTAATTCTTGCAATTTCTCAGTATACATTGTTAAATGTAACTACAAGCTAAACATAAATTGACCTTTCTTCTTCTTCTTCTTCATTGAACGCGTTTGTTGAAGCATTAATATCTTTCGCTGAGGTAGGAAATAGTGATTATGAACCTTGGAAAATCAGAAAGCTAACCATAACAATCATATACATTCTAGTGTTGTAGCGTTTTCAACGATAGGTTCTGAATCTTATCATTTTATTTTCTAACTATCTAACATCGGGAATAAAAATGTTAGGACCATTTTAAATGTTCCTCAAGGTCATCAGTACATTATAATTTCTTCCAATTGATCTTTAAGCATCATTTGTCATTAGTTCATAATCAGAAATATGAGAACTAGCTTCTTTTCATTTTATCCAGTATGATTTATAACAAATTCAAGATCTTGATGGCGTTTTGTTCTCTGAGCTGGATGGTTTGGTCGTGGAGCTTTCATCGTTCTTCTGAACGCCATCATCAGCATAAACTACATTCAATATTATATAACATGGTATTCACGTTGTTGTTAGAAGTACTGCCTAAGTGATCATCATTCTGATTGTTTTCATACACATTTGGTTAATTTAGTAAAGTATCCATATAAAATTCTAAAACAAACTCATATGAAAAGATGATGAGTTGAGATCTAACTGATAGTTACATCTTCTCTTCTGGCTTTTTTTTAATCTTTAAAATAAATTCCTATATGATATTCATCAATAGCATGTTTATTACCTTCACAACGATCCATTTTAGGATTTTCTTTCAAACCGGGTCCACAAACATGTTTACATTCATAACTTCCATGAGTATTAATACATCGTTGTCCATATGGGCAAATAGTTTCATTATTTCCACTTATAGAGCATTCATCAATATCAATACAAGAATGTCCATCAACTGATAAGCGATAACCTTTATGACATGTACATGTATAGTAAGGTACAGTATTTCTACATACATGATCACATTTATTCAAATTTGGAAAAGCGCATTCATCTACATCTGAAAAATAAGAATAAAATACAAAACATTCGTTATTTCAACTACAAATCACTTACCATTGAAAACTTGGAATCAATGGATGGATGCATGTGCAATCGTAGATGGGAACTGTTGAGGAATCTCATGTTAGGACGAAACAACCATTCAATTCTTCCAAGTTTTCAATGATAGTTCAATATTGATCGTTTATTGATCTCAATGAAAACCTAACACTCCACAACTTTATATTGATATTTATTAAGTTTGGTGAGTTAATCAGTGTTAGGTAGATAAAAATAGAATAGAAGAAATCAATTGCATTAAAATGTGATTATTTTATAATTAATCTGTTATTTTCCACTTGAAAGTTTTGATGTTAAGTCATTTTATCATATCTGGTAATCAGTCTAAATCTGAGTAAATCGACAAGTTCCATATATTACTCAACTACTATAATGTTTCAGTAACATTAATCAAGAAAAACTAAAATAGACAATGAACACTTAACGTTGGCGTTTTTTTAGCCAGTTAGTTTTCTACGGGATGGGGTCGCTAACACCATGCCTAACACTCCTCCTTTACCCGGGCTTGAGACTGGCAGTAACTCTAGAAAAGCTACAGGCTGAGAATCAGATGCAGATGTAAAGGCAAGGATTGGCAAAGCAAGGGCCGTATCCTACATCTGAAGAACATATGGAACTCAAAACAACTGTCTGTCAATCATTATCAAAGTCACAATCTTCAATACGAACGTCGACATAGTCAGTTCTACTGTACGCAGCTGAAACTTGGAGAACTTCTACAACCATCATTAGGATGGTACAAGTATTTATAAATAGTTGTCTACGCAAGATACTCAACATTCATTGACCAGATACCATCAGCAACAGCCTTCTCTGGGGGAGAACAAACCAGCTTTCAGATGAAGAGGAAATTCGGAAAAGACTATGGAAATGGAAAGGACATACATTACTCAAATCATCAAACTGCATCACGAGACAAGTGCTAACTTGTAATCCTCAAAGGAAGCATAAAAGAGAAAGACCAAAGAACGTAATACGTTGGGAAGCAGATTTGAAAAGAATAAATAACAACTGGAAAGAGCTGGAAAGGAGTGCCCAGGACGGTGTTTGATGGAGTATGCTGGTGGGTGGCCTATACTTTTCCACTAGGAGTAACAGGCGTAAGTAAGTAAGAACACTCAACGCTCAAATTATATGATATTGTTTATAACTACGGTAAGAAAAAAAAATTAGATGAAATAGTGTTAAATATGACATTTACCTTTACAATAATCTCGTCTTCTTTGTAATCTAATACTTGTTCCAGTGATTCTAGCTTGATTCAATTCAAAACCAGATGGACAAACATCTGGACCAATAGGTTTTTTCATGATACTCTCAGCGTAAAACTCAACTTGTCCAGTTTGTAAATTCACTTTATTTTCTATTCCATTGATATGAAGTTCTTGAGTTAAATAAGTTTGTCTTCTTTCTGGACCAATTTGGATTGTAGAAATCCATGAATAAGGTTCCATTTGTGATTTTTCTCTCTCTAAATTATAAACTGTGAATGCTCTGGACGAATGGCTATGAAGACTACCTAATGAGAAAGAATAATAAAGAAATGAGAATATAATCTTTCAGAACAATATCTAAAGAGAGATTGTCAATTACGAATATGTGTTATCACATATTTTCTAGTTGTTTTTGCTAAATCAAACCCAAATTATTTATCAGAAGGGGGTTTTGTTGAAATCTTAGTAATTTTTTAATTTCAACTCATGAGTTAATTAAAGCTAGACCACTATTGAAAACCTGGAAGCACTGGACGGTCGTTTCATCCTCGTACGGGACTCCCATAGATTGGTTGAAATTAGACATCTATATCGTTGGACGCCAGCTGGCTCAGTGATCTAGAAGTTAAGCGTTCGTGCACGAAACCGATAGGGTTCGAATCTCGCTGGACGGGTTCGTGGGTGCACACTGCTGACGAGTCTCACAGTAGGAGGGAACGGACGTCCAGTGCTTATGAGTGTTTAAAGATTGAAAAAACTAACAACATCGGCCATTAATAACACGGCCTGAAATGTGTCTAAATAGAATATACATAATTCTGAGTCAATCAGCTACAACGTAGGACCAGGCAAATATATACATCGGTTCAAGTTGGCATACCGAATAAGCACAAGAAGACGAACACCGGATTCATAGTAGTAGTTAATTCAGTGGTGGTAATATATAAAAGAATGATTGCATATAAGGGCATAGTACAAGAAGAAAGATTCAGTACATAGAAAGAAAGATATGAAGCGATTTTAATTTCATAGTTTAAGGGAAGGCAGAGAGTGTATACACCGACGCCATTGTGATCCATTCTGACCCATATCACACACAGTCTCCAACCATTGATTATCATAGTCACGTGGATCCAATCAAGTAGTCTGCATCTGCCAACATGGCCGATTCCAGAAGTTAGTGCTTCAAGCACTGATGACACGTTTTGATTTGACCGCCCCTAACTTTCTTCCAACAGTCTCCAATACAAGTCAGCATTGTGAGTCTTGGTAATCGGTGTTCAGGTATACGCAACACGTGGCCCAACCATCTCAATCGATGAAGATTCAGAACCTCAACAACTGATTTACCATCATTCCCTAATACCCTGCGTCTGACCTGAGTGAATCTTAGACGCATTGAAATAACTTAATATTAATTATCGTAAGTAGTTCGTTAGTTTTTATGCAAAACAAAGTTACCTTTTTGAGGACTTAATTGTACCAAGTTTTCATGAAAATCATGTAATTCAACTTCAGGACTTGAAGTTGTTTTAGAATCAATTAAAGACAATGTACAAGATCCAGATAAATAAATATCCGTTGTCAAATAGACAACAGATTCACTTGAAGATGACATAATTGAATCATTTGATCGTAATATACGTTGGCTCATTTGTATTGTATTGCCGTCAGCAAATTGACCAACTGATTCCCATGTGATTCCGTTTAATGCACCCATAATTGTATGACCATTAGATGCACCAGATACCTATACATTTCCAAGAAAATGTACAGAATAAAAGTTCAGATACCTTACTTAACTACTATTCTGTATTGAAAGATTTTGATATGTGATTATACAAGATTTTAACAACAAATCGCTGTTCTTCAATCTATTAGATTTTTGAATACACATTCCTGGTATAAACCAAAACCCAGAGGGTTTATAAAATCTACTACACAAACGATAGTATATGTTACTGGCATACGTCATTACAAAATAACTAGAAAAAGCAACTAGAAACTTAGATCCCCACAAGAAGGGGTGGGGTTACAAAAGGTCAAGCGTTAAAATACACACCTCGCCTTATCCCACGGATATCCGTCTCCGGTGGTAAGGTCTCAACAAGTACGGAGCGAACACGAAAACTACCCATAAAAAGGTCATGTGTGACCAACCTTGATATTCATGACAGAATTTTGACCAGTCCTTGTTGACTTATATCAGTGTTGTGTTTTCCACTTCTAGACACAAGTCATATATTTTGAAATATTAGAAAAACCTTTTCCATACCAAGATCATTTAGTCAAGATATACTTACGATGGAAAACACAGATCAAAATTTTGTCCTGGATACAAACCATTAGTAAAATCAAGAAATATTAACATAATTGACAAATTTATGAATCTTTCTAATCGAACGAAATGACTCACCTCTTTTGCTGCATACCAAATGCCAGGAAGATAAATTTCAGTTAAAGCTTGTAAACATTGACTACGTTCTATTGGTACATTAGTTAAATGGAATTCGTAATTAGTAGAACGATTTGAAGTAGACCAATTAGCATTTAGATGAATTGTTCCAATGTCCTGATTATTCAATCGGCCTCGAATAGTTCCAGTTAACAGTCCTTTGTTAACACTATGTAGAGTATCTTTTAAATTTCAAGATTTCAGACAGTAAACAAAATTGTTAGATTAAAAAAATACTGCTAGTTACGGAAAAATGAACAGTGAATATCATTAAGTGATAAAATGAAATTCAGATGGTAGGCTCCAAGTGACATATATTCGTCTTTTGGCGATGTATACTGTAGGCGGGGCCCCCAAATGCCCCGGTACGGCCGAGAGTGAGGAGAGTCCGCTACCTCTCTCGAAATGCTCTCATATCGTCAAGTGTATATAGCTTCTGCCTGGAAAGTCCTACTCACTGCCTTCTCGTGGCGGGCGTGTTGTTTACGAAATTGAGAGGACGAAAAGCGGATGTCCGGCGCTCTACCCGGGTTGGTGAACATAGAGATTCCACCCAGGGGAGGTGGAAAACCCTGATTCCAAACTGATGGTGCACATGGGCTTTAGGATTCTGAGGGAACAAATGGTGTATGAACTAATTGTTGGTCACCGGCTACCATGGGAATGCATCTCCTTAAGTTGCTCCACTGCCTTTTGGATTACACCTTCAGGTCGAAGGCTCCGGGTGTGGCCCCCTAAGAAAACCACGTCCTTCGGTTTGGGCACCCGGGCAGTATCACAGCCCTCACACATATCAAATGAGATCTGTGTGGCGCATATATATTTGGTGCCTCCTTGTACCAATATCTATGTGTTAAAATAAATAAATAAACTGTGGGCAGGACTCCTTAATTACGGAGTTTACACTATTGTTCTAGACTTCAAAATCATCACTTACCTTCATTTGAAGTGACTATGGAACAAATATTTATATGAGAGCCGGTTAGAGTGTATTCGTTTGCAGAAGTTCCAATTCCTAACCCAATGATTAAAAGCAGAGTACTTAAACTACTACTATATATTGGTTCATAGCTTGTTTCAGTAAAATTTGATTATGTTTTATATAACTAAATATATGATTCTATTATACAATAAAAGTACTCACAAAGTTGCCAAATATAGAATGTTTACATTTTCACCGTCTGACAATATAATGACAATATATAAGCATTCACTGTTTATGTAGTGACCTTTGAGCGACACTAAAGTGGCCTTGATAATGTCTACCCAGTTACTAAGGCTAAATGAAAGTTATAAACCTGTGTAAACAATAAGGATTATCATTTATAGTTGATGGTTGAAGTTAAGAATTAAATTAAGGGTTTTCATCACGAATCGACATCAGCTAAAATACAAAATGGCTATTTAGCCAAATGTATGAATGAATTTCGCGCCAAAATCTAAGACTTGTTTTCCTAAATCTGATTGGTTCGTCCGTAAATTATAGTCTCTCTGTAAATACATTAAAATAGTCGGTTAACAATGAGTAACATTAATCAATTCATTTGATGATAAACTAAGACAGTTTTTTGGTATAAAACATGTTTCCATCATACAACTAAATCCTACCTTGACATTTATCTAGTTTATATTCAAGTGTACAATCTTGAATTTCTTCAGCTGGACCTGGACATCCATGGGTTGACTCATTTTCAGGAGATAAAAGTGTACATGTTCGTTCACGACGTTTTATTCCACTTTTTTCCGATATTTGACCAGCTAATGAGCAATCAGGTTCACATTCTGACCAAGAAGACCATTCTGACCAAGTTGAAATTAGTCCAGGTTCATTGTTTGGACAAAATTCTGAACTACCACGTTTTTGTGTTTCACATGTTCTTATTTCTTTCGCTGATCCTCGGCATAGACGTCCACCAAACTGAGGTTGTGGTTGAGTACATTCACGTTCTCTAGTCTGCAGTCCAACACCACAAGTACGTGAACAGGCTGACCATGATGACCAGTTCGACCAATCACCATGAACTAAAGAGGAAAGTATTGTTTTTTTTTCCAGAAATCTTTAACAACTAATAATGAAATATATTCACAAATAACCAAAAGAATTATTCAGTTAAATATCTTTGCATAGATGAAAAATTCTGTTAGAGAGACATTGGGAACCAAACATGTGAATGTTTCTGTTTTATTGAGTTTTAGATATGAATAAAATCAAACTCTCTAGAACATACTTGGACACGGTTCTGACTGACACTCAGAAGTTTCTGTACTTCCTGTTGGCGGACAATCTTCACCTCCATATGCTGGAACCGGACTATCACATATACGAGTACGACGACGTTGACCTCCACCACAGCTATGTGAACAATGAGACCAAGAGCTCCATGTTCCCCATCCTCCATTTATTGGACAAGGGCCATGGTTACAAGCACGTACCTACATTCGGAAAAATTTTGGAACATTGAGCTTTTGTCACTATAAAAACTTTTAAAATAAATCATTATATGTTTTGGATTTATTATTTTTAAAGATAATTTAGATGTACATCTCTAAGTTCAATTGCTGTTGCATGACAGGTTACACTGGCTGCACAGAGCAAATACTCTTTAAACTCATTTCAGTACATTTCCTGTCATTTCTTCTAATAATGAGAACCCAACATAATCACTGGCTTGATACAGGAATATCTCACTAACTTTGGTCATGCTGACTCAAAGAAATCGTTATTCAAATTAATCAACACAGTCCAAAGAATGGGATCAAAAGTAAGTCAAATTTCTGTGGCGTTGGAAATTCACTATTCCAAATCTAAATTCGATATGCTAAAACAATACGTACAACCCTATAATCTTTCTATAATCCTAAAACCTCTTCCAGTATTATTTTGTCCCTTGTTTCTTATTTTTGTAGTTCCCTTGTTTGTTTTAGCAACCGGTTGTTACTGATTGTTATTCATTTCCCAATATAACTTTTATATTGTTCATTTCTTCTTTATATCTGTTAAGTGAACAGTTTATGTGTCAAATTTCTGATCCGTAAGATTATTTTCATCCTCCTATTCTTCTTTGACTTGTCACTCATTATATAACCCTCTTTTGATATTTGAAATTTCGAATCACTTCTTTTTTAATTTCCCTATAGACATATATATTTATCAAACCACTGTAGACGATAATCAACAACTCAAGTAAATGATTTTTGTTGCAACTTGTGGGTTGGTGCCCCTAACAATATATGACGTAATGATACCGGCAATTAGAGTGCAGTGAATTATCGATAGTACCAATGACGCACAAAACCCATACGAGCAGTCTAGATTCCTTATCGGTTCTGCTTCCTGCCTAGACCTAACTGCCTGTTGAGGCCAGAACACCAATCTCAGTCTCTGCGATATGAATCATGTATTACAAACATAATGGGTTTATATATAAACCAGATAGACCACATCGTACCATAAAACAGGAAACAACATCTGTACAAGATTTAGTCAAGTGTGGCTGTGAATGTGGGAGATGGTGTTTGATAGACTGGGTAGAACTCAAGAATGGTAAATCGCATTATAATAGCCTGTATGTCAAAATAAAGCATATGATAAGAGGGACATGAATATGCATAGTTTAGTTACTTAACAACTATACAATAAAAATATATGTATAGTATTAGTTCAGAAATAGATTCCAATAATTACCATTCATTATTCTCATCGGGGTATAACAATTTCTTAAAGAAAATTTTCTATACTGAATTCCCTTTATTCAATGACACAATGGGTTAGCTTCACTTATTAACTCCTTTCTCATAGTCTATACAAAACATAAAACTGTTTAAATAATACTAATTATCAATATGGGGTTGTGCAGATTGTTGAGGTTTTGATCAAGATCATGAATCAATCAATGTTGAACTGCCATTGAAAACCTGAGCACTGCTGAGAAGTCCCATACTTGAACAAAACAACCGTCCAGTGTTTCCAGGTTTTCAATAGTGGTCTAACATTGATCGATTTATGAGCTCAATCATAATACTAACTGTTACGATTAAACTTGACACTGATTAATCATTTCATAATAAATAATGTGGTAATTAAATTCTACAGATAATGTTGCAATATGATCACTGGTCTAAGTGATTCAACAATGGTTGTTTTATATTTTGCATAAGTTGATGGTTGAAAGTAACTTCTCATCATGGAACTAAACTATTTCGGAAATGATGTTTGTAAGGATGCAATGTTTTGGTTTATTCAAGAGTACTTTTAAGAAGAAGAGGAAGACCAAAGAACACATTACACCGGGAAATGGAAATAGACATGAGAAAAATGAACAAGAATTGGATGGAACTAGGAAAGAAGGCCCTGGACAGAATGGGTTGGAGAATGCTGGTCGACGGCCTATGCTCCATTAGGAGTAACAGGCGTAAGTAAGTAAGTAACTTTTAAGAATTATCAGAGTTATAACGGAGTAACACATACACGTTGATAAATGAAACACTAATAACATTGTTCAAACAAATAACAGAATGGTTACTTCATTGCTTGAGGTTGTTAATAAAACTTCTTTACAAAATATATAATTATTTAAGAGTAATAATGAATATGTTAAGTATTTTGTATACTCAAAAATGGATCAATAATCTTTGATACATCGTTGTTATTTCTATTGAACCTACCATCAAGTCTTGCCCTGGACATGATCTGCCACCATTTGACGGTGTTGGATTATCACATGTTCGTTTACGATTTTGAGTTCCTCCTATTCCACAGGTTGATGAACAATCAGACCAAGGAGACCATGGTGACCAACTACCAGAGACTGGACATGGTGGGAGACCTTCACACATCACATCTTCAACAGCTTCACCAACACATGACTTAATAAAGACAAATAAAATTCAAGAAATACATGATTTTCATGTACTCAAGTACAGATTCATGATTTGATAAGCACCGAAATACGCAATTGTGAACATTAAGAGAAACATTTATTTATTAAATCTGTTAACTGATTAGATATGACAGATGTGGTTGTAAACTGTTATAACTTCACACAGTCAATCACATCATATTAATGAAATACTCATTTAGTGAATTCGAATAATTGCTAAGTAATTTGAAGATTATCAAGATAAAACTCCAGCACATTATATAGACAATTACATTGCTATTGAAAGAGAAATAGTATCATAGATCCTACAAAGTATGGTATTAGAAGATTGATTAATTCATTCTTGTCATCTACAATAACATTTCGCCTCATACTTCAGAGATATGCTATAAGTAGGAGACTGTAAAATCCAAGAATTTCATTTTGTTCCCGCAAATTTTTCATTGTTAAAATAATCTTTAAATACTAGAAGAATAACATCAGAAACAGTGAAAACACATAAGACAACAGACTTTGAACCTACATAATAGTAACTGTGTCGTTTGTATCCCCCTCACCAGTAAAAACTTACAGAGAATCCCATTTTATTACACTAAACTAATCATTTTGACTCACACAGATTTTTCACGACACACTAGAGATAATCTTTTAAATGAAACTCAAACACTGATGTTAAGTATTGAATATTGTCGATATATAGTCTATAAGCAATATGTTGAAAAAAGCCAAAAGATCATTGATAATGTAAATGACCATTCCCAGAACAGTGATGTATATATTTTCCTATCTAAATATTGATATTACAACTGAAAATTGATTTCTATTCATACCCATTTTCATAGTGGTAAACGAATGAATTGAATTTGGTGAGCTATTTGAAACTAAACTATAGATTGGTCATATTTAGGGAGAAAGCATGCTAGGATTCACGCGTGAGACTGATAGGTCCTGGGTTTGAATGTCGCGAGGAGCGGGCTCGTGGATGCGCACTGCTGAGGAGTCCCGTACTAGGACGAAACGGCGGTTCAGTGCTTCCAGGTTTTCCATGGTTGTGTAGCTTCAATTGACTCAGGATTTCAACTATTGAGATTCAATTTTATTTCATTGAAATCGGAAATGACTATAAATTATTCAGTGAATTCGTGAACTCCCACTAAGTCGTGTAGCGACAAGATATGCAATGAACACCTAACCCTCCTTATTACCCTAACTAATACTAAAGTGAACCAAACTATCTTGCTGTTTCAGTTTATTTTAATTTACTTCCCAGTTTGGATCCGGAACTGATATCAGTCAAGCAAATATTGTAAACTAGAAGGTACTGGACTCTTGTTTCATTCTAGCTCTAGACGTCTCAGTAGTGTTCATCCACAGCCTAACCGGAGATCAACCATGAGACCTTCAGATATCGCCATGAGAGCATAACTTTTAGACTACTGAATCAACATGAAATGGTTTACGTTTCCAACTTCGTTGTAATATTTAGAATCTCAGACAAATGATATTATAATATCCTATTTCATATTTTATTCAAACCATCAGTAATAAAAGTCTAAGGTGATAAATATAATGCTTAAAAAGTTGTCACACTACTTAAACATTACTTGAACAAATCACAAATATTATAGTAACATATAACCTACCCTTCCACCATTGCTTGGAGGTGGACTATCACAACGTCTTCGTCTTTGAGATAAACCTACACCACATGTGGCTGTACAAGCAGACCAAGGTGTCCAACTACCCCATTCACCATCAGTAGGACAAAATTTTACTAAACATGGACGAATATCAATATTTTCTTCCGTACAATGAGCACCTCCATATTTTGGAGCTGGATTAGTACATGTTCGAGTTCTATATAAAAATGTAAAAATATTTGGAAAGAAATCAGTTATTTAACTTATAGATTTAAACAAAAAATGCAATGTACCTAATCTGAAATGAATATTCAGAACTATAAATAATAATTCGTCAATTATATTGAATAGCCGTCCTATCGCATACACATGAACAAATCCAGGTAAAGACAGTCAATGTGGCAGAAGTCTCTGCATTAGTAGGCCTCAACATACACAAGGTGAAAACCAAGCTTCTCAAATTCAAAACGAAGAACGGCAATCCAATCACTCTTGATGGCAAAACTCTGGAAGATATAGAATCCTTCACATACCTGGGAAGCATCATCGATGAACAAGGAGGATCAGATGCAGACGTAAAGGCAAGGATTGGCAAAGCAAGGACAGAATTCCTATAGTTGAAGAACATATAGAACTCAAAAACAACTGTATGTCAACCAATATCAAAGTCACAATCTTCAATACGAACGTCGACATAGTCAGTTCTACTGTACGCAGCTGAAACTTGGAGAACTACAACAACCATCATCAAGAAGGTGCAAGTATTTATAAATAGCTGTCTACGCAAGATACTCAACATCCATTGGCCGGATGCCATCAGCAACAGCCTTCTGTGGGAGAGAACAAACCAGCTTCCAGCTGAACAAGAAATTCGGAATAGACGATGGAAATAGACAGGACATACATTACTCAAATCATCAAACTGCATCACGAGACAAGCCCTGAATTGGAATCATGAATGGAAGCGGAAAGAGGAAGGCCAAAGAACACATTACGTTGGGAAATAGAACCAGATACGTAAAGGATGAAAATAACTGGAAGGAGCTTGAAAGGATTGCTCAGAACAGGGTTGTATGGAGAATGCTGGTGAGCGGCCTATCCTCCTTCACGGGAGTAACTGGCGTAACTAGAACTAGAATTATATTGGACACAATTTTATCACAAACTGACCATACGTTTACGCTATTAATTTACTTCAAGTGACCATTAGAAATGTATATCTTAGTGTATGCCTGTTAGATTTTCTAAAACTTTTATCTAATAGAATAAGAAACAGAAGGGATCATGAGTTGAAAAATTACAAACTTAGAGAAAACTATGATATCATAATAACTCACCTTGATTGTGTTCCATGTCCACATGTTTGACTACATTCTGACCATTGAGACCATTCCGACCATCTACCATCTAATTGAACTTGTAAAAAGGCAGGTGGTGAGAAATCTTCACCCAAACTTGAAGAAGCAACGCAATGATATAGACCATCATCATCTGATGAGACTCCAACAATCCTGAAATATTATGGTATCAAATAAATCAATGGTAAACAAAATAACAAAATGCTTGACAAAAGATTATCACCTCTTAGAAACTAGTAATGTTACAATCGATCCTATAAATCATAGAGAAAAGTAAGTAAGTCACTGACTTGTTTCTTCGAAAGATTTGTGCACAAAAATTAATAATTAAACACAGTCTCTATTTTTTCAACAGTGTACAATTACAACTTTATGTGAGATGAAACCAAGAATAAAACCCATCAGGTTCCGAATAAGAATCATACAATTACCCAGATCTCTTTGGTTTTCAAACATTCTTCAGCTCATATCGTCCTGTGACGTAAACTTATCCTCAAATAAGCACTGATTCGTTCAATAAAACTATAGATTGAGACAATTAGTGATAACATTTAGATAAGTAAACCATCCAATTTCTATGAATATATTCATCAAGTTATAGCAGTACGGTATACAACAAATACTGGCAAGTGATTGGATGATGCTGCGTACTAACATGAAACGTTTTAAATAAATATGATTGAACCCCTATCAAGTACATTTCGATCACTAAAGTATTTCTTTCTTATTATCATTTAGTTACCTTAAAGAGCCATTATTAACAAGTGAACGATGCCCACGAAGAATTATTTGTTGTTTATCTTTATACCATGTAATAGTTGGCTTAGGTTGACCTTCTGCAAGACATTCCATAACGATTACACTTCCAATTTGAGCTGTCATATTATTTGGATGATTAACAAGATATGGTTTACCTAAAAGGAAAATAAAGGAAGAAAATTAATAGTCGTGAATTGAATTTCTGACTCTGTTTTTAATGATTCACAAATTTCTATGTTGAACAAACCACATTTTTAGCATTTTCGTGCACATAAGTGAATTTAAACTTCACCCTATTACACTAGCAAGTGGCTATTAGGACTCAGTAGGTAAGTGGATAAAGCGATAGCGTTTGAAGCGAACGGTACTGGGTTTGGGTCCCTGAGTGAACATCAACTCTGAGGTGCATGTACATTCAATTTACGAGTCCCAAATAGGACAAAACGCGCCTCCTGAATTCCACTGCTAGCCTCTATCCATCTTTGCTTATAACGACTGTTTATATTTACTCAAAAAGTAAATGTTTTACTAAATAAATAAAGTATGAAATAACTTACTTTCTACAACTAAACGAAGTTCACCAAGATCTTCACCAACTGGATTTGCAGCTATACATTGATATGTTCCTGTATCTTTAGCCTAATTCAAAGAGAAAACACCAATTATTTAAAAGTAAATTATCACAACGGATGGAAATATGTTCTAATCAAACCAGAAAGAACTTAATAAAATGTTTACTGGTATAGAAGGACATGAAGATTATTGAATTTATTGTTTTATTATCATGGATTGAGTTTTAAAATGTTGCCTAATAGATGCCAAATCAGTTACATGAAAGTTAAGTGTTTATCGAAAGTCATGACAATCCTGAGTTCTATCCCTGACAAGCAAATGAATGTGTGCCACTGGTTTCCCATACAGAGAACATACATCAGTTCAGTTCTTTATGTTTGTCATTGAAATGTCAGTCAACCTGTTATGTAAAACCAAAAACCTTCCAACTTACACTTATGTATATATGAGATGGTGGTGAAGATTTGTAGCTCAGGTGGATGATTTTGATGGAGTTTTGTTCCCTAAGCTGGATGGTTTAGTCGTGGAGCTTTCATCGTTTTTCTGAACGACATAATCAGCACAAACTTCAGATAGTGTTAACAAATCTCTTTGCATTTATAATAACATTTTGGAGTCAACCACACCATTAAACCTTAAGTACCAATCTAGAGGAACGAACTGATAACATGCTAAAAGTTATCCTACTTACAAACGAAATGTTGATGCTTAGTAAGAGTAAAAATTTATTTTTAACTTGTGAAATACTTTCTACAAGTTTCATTTATTGATCTGTGGCTAATAGTCAGGTTTTTCACTAGTTCACATTACGGAATGAAGACATGTGTAACAGTGAACGACTTCCGAGGACTACGACGGAGCCTTCAGAGGCCATAATGGAGCAGAAGAGTTTCCATTCAGTCATGACGTGATGGAGCTTTCTAGAATATATAACGTAACTGAATTATAATGATGTGATAACAAACGCTAATATCCATAAATACACATGATTATCTGTACATTTTGATTCTTAATCAACAAACACTTCTCCACCAATCTGTCTTCCGATTTTGTGATTGTAGAGTTCTATACGTTCGAGTGCCGTAGTTGTTTACCGTATCCTGCGTTAATCAAGTAGCTAATATGCACACCTCTTTTAAAATGTAAACATACTACTTCCTTAAAGATTGAACCTAGAACCATCATATCTACCAGCGAACAATAGATCTGTAGATTATCAAGTCGAAATTAGATGGTTTACATTTCTAACTTCAATGGTTGAGATCATGAGTCAATTGAAGCTAATTACCATGGAATACCTGGAACCACTGACGGCTGTTTCGTCCTATTTTAAAACTCCTCAGCAGTGTGCATTTACGACCTCGCCTCACGAGATTCGAATCCAGGACCTATCAGTCTCACGCGCGAGCGCATAACCACTAGACCACTGACCATTGACTCATGATCTCAACCATTCAAATTACTATAATATCCACAAAACCCCTCTGAAAATGTAATAGAACTAAGGTATTTTCTATTGAATACAAAATGTATTACTTACTTTTGCCATTTTTATAACAAGACTTGAACCTCTATCTAGAATACGAAAACGACTTGAATTAGAAATTATATTTCCATCTTTTAACCATATAACTGAATCAGCATCACCGCTAACTTCACAACGAAGACGTGTTGTATCACTTTCTCTAGGCGGTTCATCGGACTGATATACATGCACTTTAGGACGAGCTATATCAAATAAAAGTACATATATGTAAATACATATCATGTACATTCAATATTAAAAGTTCTGGAAAATATTTATAAATGAATTAAACCTATCAAGCTATATAATAAGATGTAGTTGCATTTCAATATCCCCTTTTATTTGAAGCTTTCATTTGACCTATTAACTGTTGTTATATGTTATTACTGTGGAGAAGATTTGTGGCTCAGGTGGATGATTTTGGTGGAGTTTTGTTCTCTGAGCTGGATGGTTTGGTCGTGGAGCTTTCATCGATGAAAGCTCCACGACCAAACCATCCAGCTCAGAGAACAAAACTCCACCAAAATGTTATTACTGTTCACTGATTATTACTGGATAATTATGTACTGTTTGTTCCCCCCTCCTCTACTACTCATGGTTTTGTTGTGCTTTAATATATAATTTCTTATTTGCTGTACGAGGTGATTTGGTATTTTAAATATATTACTGTATTCATTTCAAATGATAATTGAATTGGGTACAATGGAGAATTAGGCATTTACTAGTTATTGTCTTCTGATTGGCTTCCTGGTTAAAAGGGGCTCGTGGACCGATAAGCAGTGAAACCTTGGTTGGGATTTAGTAGTTGGTATGACAATTCGTGAAATAAGTCATCAGTTCAATTGACGTGATATCGATTAGAATTTATGGCCATAGTAAAATGAACGTTTCACAACAAAAAAAACACACGCTTCCTACTGCCCCTACTTAGAATTAGGTATTTAGGGTGAATATTATGAGTTTAATGTTAGGGTTTTCGTGACTGACTTGTATCAGCTACTAGACAAAAGTGTTTTATAGCATTATGGACGAATGAATTTTGAGCAAATATACAATAGGCAGTATCTGCTAGTATCACCTGGTCAAGCCTTGTTTGAGGATTAAGGGTTTGATGTTAAGATTTAGGGATATTGTCAGTTTACCTGTTTTTTACATATTTAACAGAAAGATTTAAGCATTTGATGCGATTAATGTCATTATTTTTAGCGTATGGTGGCTAAAGCAATTCTTTGTTATCATTTTCAATGTTCTAACCACTAATGGAAGATATTTCTACTGTTTGCTACACGTGGTACAAAAAGTCATGTTGTCAACTTTAAATGACTTATCACAACGATATGCTTTCACTTTAAAACTTACTTTTGACTTTCAATTCAAAATCGTACTCAACATTTCCAGCATCATTCTTTGCTACACATGTATATCGACCAGCTTGGTCAGTTCTTAATGGGCCAAGTACCAGTGAACCAACTCCATTTTTACTTGGATTACCTACATGAAAATAGAAATAGAAAGAATTATAAATAAGATCGAATTAATATACTTGGGAAATTTAATGTATAAAATAATGTCATGTGTTTGAAAAATATATATATTGAATGTTCATTATGGGAATTTGTGAAGTTTTAGTATTTTCACAGTTGAATTAGCAAGTCAATCTAAGATAAACTACCATTGAAAACCTGAAATCACTGGAAGGTCGTTTCATCATAGTATGAGATTTCCCAACAGTGAGCATTCATTGTCCCACATGTGGGACTTGAACTCAGGACCTTCGCTCTCTCCTGCGAACGCTTAACCTCTAATCCACTGAGCCAAGATCCAACGGTGTTAATATCTAACTTCAATCAATCCATGATCATATATTGTTTGAGGTGGATAACTGTCGCACATCTGATACGGATTGGACTCCACTGATCACGGCTTCTCACAAGAACTCCAGGAGTTACATCTTGAATCTAGTTACTATTGAGCACATGATTATTATCAATGCTTCCAGGTTTTCAATTGTGGTGATCGACTTGTGAATTCAGTTGTTAAAATATATTGAATTGTCAGTTGCAGTCCAATCATGTTTGCTTCTTAACAAAACTGTCTGTACTGATAATAGTTCAAAGATAAGATATTCATCTTCATCATCTCGCGTTCACGCACGAGACTGATAGATCCTGGGTTCAAATCTCGCAAGACGTGATCTTTTTGTTGGGGAGTCACATGTTAGGACGAAACGGCCGTTCAGTGATTCCAGGTTTTCCATGATGGTCTAGCTTTATTGGACTCATGAATTTAACTATTAATATTAGTTCACTTGTTACCACCTGAATTCAGATGTAAATAAGTCATCAAGCGTAAAATTAGCCGTCTTCTAGTTAAACTTATGTCTTTCTGTATATCGTCTTGTTAGTCAGCATGGAAACTACTGGATAGGTAACCTGTTTTTACACGTTTTTTTCATGAAATATATTCTTTAATAAGATTATACGTACTTGGAATAAGATTTCCATTATGCATCCAACGAATTTCTGGTTTGGGATGTCCATTAGCAATACAACGAAATTGTATCCATCTTGCTTCATAAGCTTCAGTGGTTTGATTAGGTGTTCTTTCAAATTCCGGTTTAGCTTTAAAAAGAAAAATCATTCAATAGAATTTATTGATTTAAAAAAATGTTTTACAAAGATGACTGTTATTGATTATTGAATGGTTATTGATTATTACCACGAATAAAAATTCAATTTCACTAAAAGCAAACTATAGTCACAAGATTATATAAACATATTTCAATGAAAGGATTGTTATGAACTATTCTCTTTTCTTTAAGATTTAAGTAGTATATTTTATCTAGATTACTTATTGGGTTGGGTTCGCTTATGTAATTCCAGTTTATATATAGGGTAATCACAAAACAGGACCATATGATACTGTAGTGTGTAGTGGCTGTGGTTCATTAACCAATCACTCTCGTAACCCACTTGGCATTGTTTTACTTGAATCTTCCCATTGATGTTTTAGGACTGCAATTGATTAGTCTGTTATTGGCATATGTGCATACTGTGTGTATGCCTCGATATTGCCTTAATTTACAAGCATTATAAGCAAAGATGGATAGTGGTTAGCAGTGGAATCCAGGACGCGCGTTTCGTCCTATTTGGGACTTGTCAGCTGGATGTACCTGAATCTCAAAGTTGATGTTCACTCTGGGACTCGAACTTAGTACCGTACTTCTAGCCACTATCCATCTTTGCTTATAATGCTTGTAAATTAAGGCAATATCGAGGTATACACACACTATGCACACATGCCAATAACAGACTGATCACTTTCAGTCCTAAAACATCGATGGGAAGATTCAAGTAAAACAATACCAAGTGAATTAAAATTCACCCCATTGCACAAGTAGTGGCTATCAGGACTCAGTAGGTAAGTGGATAAAGTGATGACGTTTGAAGCGAATGGTATTGAGTTCGAGTCCTAGAGCAAACATCAACTCAGATGCAGGTACATTCAATTTACGAGTCCCAAATAGGACAAAACGCGCGTCCTGAATTCCACTGCTAGCCTCTATCCATCTTTGTTTATAACACTCGTAACCGTTACTATATAAACCTCAACAGTATTTGAAATCAGAAGGTAAAGAGATGCAGAAATTATAGTTTATTAGCACATAGCTCAGATCACAAAGCTGAGAGGTGAATGAGTGTGTCAGTGAGTCGAGTGAATCGGATTAAAATGTACATTTATATACATAGGGAAATGAATGAATCATCGAATCAATTAAGCGACTGATAGTAAGGTTAGTAGAATGAATATGTGCATAGGCAGTAAGCATGCTCAAGCATACATAATCATACATTCACAACAATAATAAAGGTACAGTGATATAAGATAAGTTGCTATTGTACGGATGACTCTGTTCGTTAAATAATTTAACAAAAGGTCTTAACCGAATTCAATGTGAACAAACTCAATTGCATGTGAGCTGTTATAAGTGAACGAGAACTCAAGTGGGAATAACCAAATGTATTACAACACAAAATCACAGAACCTTTTAGTAAAATCATACAGTAAATAGTTCATTTGCAAAAGTCAATCAATTGTATCAAACTTGACTGATTTTGGTTTACCACACCCATCACTCTTTGTTCTCTCCTCTTCGATCTTCTCAATCTTCTACTGTCAGGTATTTCACTTTATACATTAGTAGCACACACCATAATACAATTTAGGTTGAAAATGATAGATGGCTACGTCTAGATTACCTGCATAGATCTTTATTTTTCTTTTCAATAATCTCTAATCATTCAATATCAAATGCATTTCCATACAATATGAATGATATGATTTGAAGGCTTTCTTGTTGTACTTGGATTGTTAAAGTTAGGACTAAAACACTCATCTTTTGTCCACCAATTTTATACTGATCTTCACAATATCTGTACATTTCGTATTACACACCAAGTGTACCTTCCTGATGAATAAACACTGACTTTTCCCTACTACATGAAGCTTCTTAAGTGTTCGTAGGATCATTTATGACAAAACTTGACAGATAATAATCTATGACTGATTTATTACATCAGTTTGACTTTACTTTTAAAAGATTTTTGACTGTCTTGTTTCGCTTATTATTAGATTATCAGAAGTTGCCGTTTATGATTATGGTTGCTTACGAAAATGCAAAATCATTATATAGGAACGACTCCAGAATGCATCAAGACAGTAGTAATCCATGAAACAATGAGATACCCAGTGAGTTTGTCCCTTAAAGACTCTCAGCGACTTTTTTGAAAAGGTTAATAGAAGATAGGAGAAGTGTATTGTTACAAATCGAAGTAGGCGTATTCTCAAGTACATAAGTCTAATATACCATACATTTTCTAAAATAACTTCACCGTTTGTCAACCTAGGTTGATTCAACATAATATTGACTGTTAACTTCATCAAACTGATGAATAATAGTTACGCTTTCCAAGATCTGATCCATGACATTTTATGATCATTTAAATACTTATTATTAACCTAACACTAATATAAATAGTTAATTATAAAACTTCTTACTGAAAATTGTCAGAAAAGTAGAATCCATAGCCATTTCTTGTCCAGGAGAACGAGCAACACACGAGTATGTTCCACCATCTGACGGCTAATTTTTAAAAATAAATATTAAAGTAACATTTGAATTACTTGAACATTAATAGTATAATTAAAGATATATAGACTTATCACCATGGAGATTTAAGCTCATTAAATAAAGATCTTGAAAAAGTAATGAGTGAATTGATTCATGAAATAAGTAAGATTAGTTCAGCGAAGAGTTCTCCCCTTATGGGTGAATTCATTTTCAAAGCTGTACAATCGCAATTATACATATACTTATTTTACAGGATGATAATAATACTGATAATAAACTTCTATTAGACATGGTGACAATGAGGTTAAATAAACAAAGGTACTTTATCCAAAAGAACATTATTTAGCGTGGCTAAAAACAGGAGGTAATGACTCAATAAGAAGTTCAATAAACGAAAACCTTATGAACGCACATCACTCAATCAAGACAGATTCTGTGTTCAAAGTCATCTATAAGGTAAGTGGAAGTCTTTCAAAGACAGTTAGATTACATCTTCTTTGCATTACCGAAGCATTAGCTATACATCTGGAAAAACCCGAATTGTGTATGCAAAAGAGATTGGTACAACCTCTTCTTCTACCATGATTTTAATGCCTTAGAATTTATTTTTCATACTCTTCTGCCTTTATAGCCATTTGCTTCCCCTTTCATCTGCTCCCTAAATATTCTGCCCCCCCCAACTGGTTTATTTCTGTTTCTATGATCTTCCTGATTACATTTCATCTCAATTTCAGCATTTTATCTTATCATGCTGAGCCATGCTTTCTCAATGATAATTTCCCTATCTATCATTTGATCAGTACTTAAGCCATTAACAATTAAACGATTATTAAACTTTCCTTGTTTTAGAAAAATTTTTAAACACCTTTGCTTATTTAACCTGATTATCACCATGTCTAACAGAAGTTTATTATCAGTATTATTATCATCCTTCTCTGGGAGAGAACAAACCAGCTTCCAGCTGAACAAGAAATTCGGAATAGACGATGAAAATGGATAAGACATACATTACTCAAATCATCAAACTGCATCACGAGACAAGCCCTGACTTGGAATCATGAATGGAAGCGGAAAAGAGGAAGGCCAAAGAACACATTACGTTGGGAAATAGAACCAGATACGTAAAGGATGAAAATAACTGGAAGGAGCTTGAAAGGATTGCCCAGGACAGGGTTGTATGGAGAATGTTGATGAGCGGCCTATTCTCCTTCACGAGGAGTAACAGGCGTAAGTAAGCAAGTAATTATTATCATCCTGCAAAATAAGTATATGTAAATTTGTAATTGTACAGCTTTGAAAATGAATTCACCGATAACAGGAGAACTTTTCACTGAACTAATATTTCTTATTTAATGTCTTAATGAGTGAATTTAATTCATTCACTTCCAACATTACAGAACAAAAGTTCGTTATATGACAATGTTACATGAATACTGCCTAAATGAATAGACAATTTCAAAACGTGCGAAGAAAAGCCATATCCCTTTAAATTGTTATATGTGGTAGTGTTATACCATGCCAAGTCATTAATTTTAACGATTTTATAGATCTTTTCATGTTAGTATAAACATTTACACCCAATTCACAATGAAAATAAAGGATCCAATCTGGAATGTTTTCCGTTTTAAAGTGCTTTATCAGTCGAGACTTCAAATAGCGAAGAAGATTTGTAGCGCAGGTGGGTGGTTTTGATAGATTTTTGTTCTCTGAACTGGCTGGTTTGCTTGTGGAGATTTCATCGTTCATCTGAACGACATCATCTGCACAAACTTCAGGTAGAAGTGAAGTGTTCGAATTTCTCCACATGTAGTTTATAGGTTGTCCTGTACACCTCAATGTTGATTGGTCCTTGTTGACCTTAAACTTGTCATTGTTTACTTCATTGTTTTGGTTGTATCTCCCATTGGTTTGATTTTTGTTCCTATGTTTGTACATAATTTTCCTGATCGGTTGATAAATTGGATCGACTTCAATGCGCTTGTTGATTGCTGATTGACCTGAATCCCAAGCTTTTAAAAATTCTCTAGTGTTTTTGGAATTTCCTCTGTCCAAGATTTCCACATTTTTCCAGTCAAATGAGTGTCAGCAGCTCACTTCAAATAGCTCATGATAATAATGTAGGTTAGTAAAAATAAACTAGTTTCGTTAATTGACATAACTTCCATTTTTATATACAAATTCCTCTGTCCAAATTGAATCACTTCAAATATGTTTTCATTGAAACCAATCTCGTATAAGCAATGAACAGACTATACCATATGCAATTCATAACACTATATATTACTTCAAACTAATGAAACTTATGCATTGATGACTCAGAGAGTGAACATCAGTAAGATGCATGAATATAAAACCATAAAATATCTATCCAGTGATCATTCCAAACCATACAGTACAGAGAGAGAGAGAGTTCCACGAGATATTCCGAATTCAGTTGTCCTGTCTTATTTTTCGGATAAAAAGTCATGAAGCAATTCAGTAGTATGATAAAATATTGATAATATGTATGTTGCATTTTCTTTTAATAATCTTTGATTCAGTAAATTCAAATGAGATAATAAAGCAAATTACATTCCTTAAGTGTTATGTTGTCTAGAGGTTTAGCACTCACGCACGAGACTGATAGGTCCTGGTTTTGAATCTCACAAGGCGTGATCATGGATGCGCACTGTTTATGAGTCTCATAATAGGACAAAACGGCCGTCCTATGCTTCCAGGTTTTCCATGGTAATCCAGCTTTAATTGACTCATGATCTCAACCATTGAAATTGCTACATATTCACAAAAACCCTTCTGATATTATATAAATAACTTGAAAAATAATTAGAAGAACGAATAGAAAAGTTCAAGTCTATCTAATGGATTAACAAATGTAGTGTTGGTTACTATGTTCAGCAGTCCATATACCTTATTCTAGCTTCTAGATAGGCCAATATGTTCATTCTTCTTTAGTCAAATTTAACCTTCTTAATTATTCACTTCTCAACCCTGACTGTTTTTATATGAGCGTATGTGTGCGTACTCATCTAATCCTATTCATCACATGCCTGTAGCTCATTTTTGTATGATTATAAATATTGATCAACACTTGAGGTGGCTCACACGCCTTCTCCACCGCGTGTCATTTCGCTTCGCTCACTTCCCTTTGTTTTATCTCCCTGATTGTCTGGTCAAATCATTGAATGTATAAAATATACATATTCAAAATTCATTGTCGTATTCGGCTTATTTAATTCTGTTATATTCATTAATGAGGATTATGTCAATAATAATCTACGAGAATAATCAGGATGTATATTTCGACAGCAATCACTCAATAACAATCAAATAGTATGATATAACACGGAGATAGATCTAGGTCCACTAAACAATAACGTTCTCCTGTATTCTGAATGTAAATTGAATTCGCTTATCTCTTGCGCGTAAAACAAGATTAGTAATAGATTATCTTAAAAGAATTGAACTAAGCCATCTTGAGAATATTCAAATTCATTAATAAAAAGTATATATTTATTACTTACAATCAAGTCATGTATAGTAACTTTTGTTGGTGTTTCAAATCGTACACGATCACCTAGATGACTTGTCATTGGTTGTCCTTTAAATTCCCATATAATTTCAGGTTTTGGACGACCATCAGCTTCACAATTCATTGTAACCGATTTACCTTCATAACCGATTGTGGATATTGGCAATGAGACACGTGGTGGAACTGTAAGAATAAAAATATTGATTTATTTTTGCTGCTTTTATTTACATTTGATATCTACAATAAAGTACTTTCAGTGAATTAAACAATGGGATAACTATTTTTTTGTATTAGATACCAAAGAATAAAAGGTTTCAGTATGGATTGTAGAAATTATTAATTTTGTTGATTAAGATTATGAATCGATTGATGTTAGACTATCATTGCAAACCTAGAATCAATGGACGACCGTTTCGTCCACCAAACATCAATCAATTTATAATCTCAATGAAAAGCATAATAATCTCCACAACCCCATACTGAAAATTATCATGTACTCAATAGTGACTAGCTTTGTGAAAGAATTCTCGGAGTTCTAGTGAGAAGCAGTGAACAAAAGAACCAATCCATGTCAGGTTGAGACAGTATCTACCTCAGTACTATGTAAGATGATCACGCAATTTCGTGGACATTAACACTGATGGATGCTGGCTCAGTTGTCTAGAGGTTAAAAGTTCACGCCCGAAATCGAAGGCCCTGGGTTCGAATCTCGTGAGCGGGATCGTGAATGCGCACTGCTAAAGAGTTCCATAATAGGAGGTAACGGCCGTCCAGTAGTTCCAGGTTTTCAATATTGGTCTAACACTAGTCGATTCATGATCTCATTCAAAATGAATATGAATTTTTTAAAATCTCATTACTGTGAAATTTTTTTTAATGTCTAAACAATCATTATCCGTTCGAGATAGATTTCAATCTTGATTTCATTGAGAAATCTTGTTAAGATCATAGACAGCTACTTTAGCCTAATGTTAACCCACATCGATTATCTCCCTTTTATTGATTTCCCTGCAAAGGATAAATATGTCTACAAATTTACCAATGAATTAATATCCTAGGCGAATTTTTAAATCAAAAATGTGTACTTTTTGGTATAAAGTGTACTAAAAACTAGTTGATTTCATACGTTTCACTACCTGTTCAAAGGTATTTAGGAGAGACTATAATTTATGGACGAGCCAATGAGATGCGTTTGGAGATTTCAAGGTCACGGCGCCAATTTCAGTACCTGATGCTCAGGTGAGATCGATTCACAATAGATTTTAGAGAAAACATAATAATTGAACGGCTACAACAAATGGGACTTCTAAGAAGTTCCTTTATTTGTGGCTGTGGTAATCAAATGACTTGTGGACCTTGTGCAGACTACCGTGATGATGTTATCTTTCGATGTCATATGTATTGGAGGAAGAAGTTTGCTAGAATAGGATGTTTTCGCTCGATCCAGATTGAGACTATGATAAATTATAACAATTGTTGTGAACTGGATGGTAAAAGTACCAGTAACACTGGCTGCAGCTGGGTACTACAATATAACGGATGATTGTAGAGGGTACAGATGCCTACATACACTTGGTTATGTGCATCGTGTTGTTATTTACAGGCGGAATTCTGTGGACTCAACAACCGGAGTGCTTACAAACAATATTGAAGCTGTAGCGAGGCTGAAAGAGTTTTTGTGACCTTATCATGACTACAGAGGCCGACTATTATGGAGCCATATACATGATTTCCTTGTTAGGATAGTCGGGAAAAATATACCAATAATTATCGTGTTAAGTCTATGGTGGCCTTGAACCATAAATGTACATTTCTTATTGGTCGATGTTTATTTCACTTGTTAAATATTTTGTAAATGTTGTTTCCTATTTTATGGTACGATGTGCTATGCTTGATTGGTATATAAACAAAGTATGTTTGAAATATAATGATTCATAACTCAGAGGCTGTGACTTGTGTTCCTGACTCAACTGGCTGGGACAGACTGCGAAGCGGGACCAATCAGGGCACTAGGTCGTCCGTCTGTGTTTACGTGTCCACTGTCACAGATCGATAATAAGACGCTGCTTATCAAAACCTGCAGTCACACACGTTACAACATTCCTCTACTGCATTTATTACGATTTTAGAACCTCTGAACCACTTTCTAATCTTGACAAGTTTTGAACCATGTAAAAGAAGTGTCTCCACTTTAATTCTTTGGTTTTGTATAATATACTTTTATTGTATGCTATTTTCTGATTGATCAATGATTCTCAGGGTCACTTAAGATTCCTTCAAAGGCCGTCCATAAGTTATATTCCCGCCAAAATCTGCGTAGATTTTGACAAGCTGTGTACACAAATCGAATGATTTATGTGGCGCATATCTATTTGGTGCTTCCTTGTACCAATGTTTATATATTTAAATAAATATATAAAAATTATACATACATACATAAGTCACAAGACTATTCATAAAACCTTACATGGATTAAAATATGTTTACATATAATATGATAATAATTCCATATTTATGTTTTGCTAAAAGTGTGTTTTCTTAGCCAGGAAACCTTGCTTACCTTGAACAAATACACGAAAGTAATACGATCTTCACCAGCTGCATTCTTAGCGATACATGTAAGTTCTCCTTCATCTTCAGGCCTTAATTTTAAAAAATAAAGTAAGTGCATTTACGTTAAGATTAACCAGATCACAGAAATTCTAAGTAAATATATGAAGTCTATGTTTCTATAAAACTCACCTATTATTATTAACATCAGAATAGGTATTTCTGGAGATTATAGTAATTTTAATAGTTGAATTCATCAGTCGACCTAAGGTAGACCACCATTGAAAACCTGAAAGCACTGGACAACCATTTCGTCCTAATATGGACGCCTTAGGAGTGCTCATCCACAATCCCACAGGAAAGACTCAAACCCAGGACTTTCGGTCTAGTGAGAAGCCATGACCAGTGGAATACAATCCGCATCGGTTGGAGACAGTTATAGACCCCAGACAATAGATGAAGAGTTGCACAAGATCATGGATCGATTGAAGTTAGACATTAACACTATTGGACCTCGGCTCAGTGGTATAGAGGTCAAGCGTTCGCGTGCGTGACCGTGGATGAGTACTGCAGTGATTCGTCATAAAACTTATTTTCAACATTTATAGTTTGAAAATTCAAGATAAACTTTAAGTATGATTTCCATAAAGAAATGATTTTACTGAAGAATCACTGATGACTGTTGCATCGTGACTTTAGGTGACTTAAAATTATGCATAGATAACACCATAGGAGATAGAGTTTAAGTTTTACTTATGATATGCATCTTCACACTAACTAACTAAAACTGCTTTTCTGCCGACTAAGTGATGACTGAAGTATGAATAAATCATCACCGATCAACGAAATTTAATAAAAGCATATTATTCTAGCTCTTTAATGCAAAGAAACAGGTTTCATATACTGACTAAGTCAAGTCAATTACTTAGTTTTGGGAGATTTCAATTGTATTGAAAGAATTCAAGAATGCATTTGAGTAGTCTTAACCTAACAAAATACGACTCTTTGATTGTGAGAAGCTTATAGCATGTGGATGAATGGATTTTAGTAATTTTAAGCAGTTTCTACCTACCCCGTCTAACTACTGCTATTATATATCGTATAAAACTCTCTTATTTAAAACCACGATATTCTGAACTATAATGAATCATTACGCATTTGTATTTTACATTTTCTTTCTTCACTTCACTTTTGTTGCATAATATTAGTCTAGTTAAAGAGATAGTAGAATTCCTTATAATTTACTTTATAATTAACCTATTGGCTGGTAATCGGTTAAGCGGATTAGTTGATTCACTAAATAAATTGAATTATTTACATTTTCATTGGACTTCAATATTTAGAATATAAATGTAGTAAACATTATCTTCACAATAACTTACTTCAGTGAATTAAAGATAAAGAGACCGGATTCTGTAGTAGTGTAATAGCTTTTAGTTCGACTAAATGTTACACCATCACGTTCCCATGTTAATGTAGGCGTTGGAGAACCACCTTCAACTTCACAATTCAATCGTAACACAGAATTCAACCGACCAGACACTTCTAAATTAGCTGGTTTAACCAATGTTGGTGGAACTAAATGGAAAAGAAGTGAATTATTAATTGAAGAATAAAATATTCAAGTAATAGGTCTTATTTCAATATTTTCAGAAATTTATTCCTCAGTTTAATTTTGTTAGCAAGAATATTTGGTAAAACATTCTCGACCTTTTCGTAATCAATGATGGGTGGTGGTCAGCAGTGGAATCCAGGACGTGGGTTTCGTCCTATTTGGGACTCGTCGGCTAAATGTACCTGCATCTCAGAGTTGATGTTCACTCTGGGATTCGAACTCAGTATCATTCGCTTCAAAAGCCATCGCATTATCCACTCAGCTACTGAGTCCTGATAGCCACTTATTTGCGCAATGGGGTGAATTTAAATTCACTTGGTGTTGTTTGGCTTGTATCTTCCTATTGAGGTTTAAGGCTGCAATTCATTGGTGTGTTATTAAGGCAGTATCGAGGCATAGGCACATTCTCGAGTCCAAAACTTCTAACTTCCATTTTATACTACTTATAAAATATTAAAGTAGGATTAAGTTTTTCCTCTTAATATTCGGAAGTCATTATAATTTGTAAGTAAGAAATATAATTATGTCAATCTGTTCAAAAATTAAATGGTTTTGTAACAAAAACTAATAATAAACTTACTTAAAACTTCTAAACTGACAACGGCATTCTGGAAACCAGCTTCATTATTTGCTGAGCAACGATAACGACCAGCATGTTCTGAACGTACTTTTTCAAGTAAAAGACCCTGAAAGAACAATGAAGAATCAATCAAAGTTATTATTTTTTTATTGAAATTGTAATGGTTTTTTGAGAATTTTAAAAATTGTTGGAACAGGGTTACTTTTTGGAGATAAAACTGAATTCAATAACTACCTACGAAGATTTAAGAGTTATTCATCCATGACTAATACAAATGATGATCATTGAGTAATGAACAGTGTCATATGTCTTTGATCCATACTGTTAATAGAATTCATTCGATTAATTTTCAGTTTAGAGACTGGTTTTAGTCCCTAAGTACTACAGGACATCGGTATCACAGAATACAACTTAGTGATGATCCACGTATATAAACTCGTAAAATGTATGATAATGTAAAATATAACAGGAATGTTTTTTTTCGAAATGGTAGGAGTGGAGACAAAATAACGAAATAAGGAATTCATAGTATAAATTCTAAGTATCAATATTTGATTTGTATTAGGTTGGTTCTATGTGGATCATTATAATTATGGTGAATACATCTTTTTCAGGTGTAAGATTTTGGTTGAATGTATTTTATAGGAAAACGTGGATCGAGGTTTCATGATGTTTCGCATTTGAAATCTTGAGGAAACTGATCCTCACCAGTGGATGTGACCCCTTGTCACCCAGCTTCACAATCAGAGACACCATCACTGTGCTATTTGAATCACAACTGACTTCTTGTAAAACTGGGAGATAGTTACGATTGATTGGTCACTGAGTAGTGACCAATGTCATGTATGTGAAGTCCATAGCGCTTATCGAATTCCATGGATAAATTTTTCAGAGAATATTTAAAATATTACCTTGACAGCCGAAAAAGATCTTTGCATCAGAATGTAAACCTTACTTGGAATACATCCTTTTTCAAAAGAATAAACAATATGCTGTTGAACAGTTAGCTAAAAAATTCTATAAATATCTTTGAGAAACCTATTAATTGGATGTATCACCGAACATAAGAAAACCGTTGCTCACCTAAAGATCCTCATTCTCTTAATATAACAACGTAATCGAATGGGCTATTACTAAACTCTCTCTTGCCATTGATACCCCTCTATTGATTTGAAAGGAGTTCACTGTCTTATCATTAAATAACAGTCAATATTATTCTACTCAGTCTTCACTGATGATCAATTCTTGCGAATAAATTTTGTAATCCATAAATGGATAAGTTAAGCATCATTTAGTCGCGGCCCGGATAGCTCAGTGGTAACGTCTCTGACTGTGAAACTCGGTGACATGGGATCGAATCCGTCAGGGAGCACCAGTTCCCTCAAGATTACAGGTACACCTTGCTGACGAGTGCCAAGTAGCACGAAACCCGGGTCCAGGATTTCCTGTTGACTACCTCCAACCACCAACTAATCTCAACATAGTGCACGCAATTTCGATTGGTGGCCACATTGTAACTTGGTCGATAGCATTCGATCTGCACTAAGAATGACTTGACACACATAACATTGATCACCACCGAGTGATCAACCAGTTGTGGAAGATAACTTCATGTGTACTTAAAAATATTATTATTATTATTATTATTATTATTATTATTATTATTTTATTATTATTATGGAGCGTTATAGTCACGTAAATATGACACACTTGTTCTGGAAGTAATCGAAATACACCAGGTTGATCAGTTGTAATTAATTGACCAGACGGTAAAAGCCATTGAATACGTATTGGTTGTGTACCACTTGTTCTACATGGTAATAAAATTTGTTCATTTTCTCTAGCCAAAATTGGTTTCATTGATGTATGTATTGTAGGTCGTTCTTAATAAATAGAAATCAAAAATACATACAAGTTTATTGTAAATGAAATAAAGAATTTCAGAACTGTTCTAATTTTAACCTATTTCTATATTAATCAAAGATGGATAGTGGTTAGCAGTGGAATCCAAGACGTGCGTTTTGTTCTATTTGGGACTTGTCAGCCGGTTGTACCTGCATCTTCACTTCGAGTCCTGGAGTAAACGTCAACTCTTGGATGCAGGTACATGCGGCTGACCAGTCCCAACTAGAAAGAAACGTGCGTCCTGGATTCCACTACTAACCACTATCTAATTTTGCTTAAAAAGCTTGCGACTTCAGGCAATATCGAGGAAATCAGTACAGGATATATATATATATTCCAACAAGAGACTGATCAATTGCAGTCCTAAATAACAAAGGGAAGATACAAGTAAAACCGCACCAAGTGAATGTTTCTATATTGTTTCATCAAGTTAATATGAAAAGAAGAACAGTTTGAACAATCCATTCTAAATTACTCATTTAAAAAGTATGAGAACATAACAAACTATTTGTGAAATCATGACTATTAAAATGTATGAAAACATTAAATTATTCAACTAGTTTCATCCAAGACTGATCTTCACGTGTCAAATAACTAATATACCATTCAGACATGTTAGTTAAGAAATTAATTGATAAATAATATTTATGAGTCAGTTGAAGCTAGACCATCATGGAAAACCTGGAAGCACTTGAGACAATAGTGGACGATGGCGCAATTTCGTGGATTGGTTGAAGTTAGACATTAGCACTGTTGAATGAGGGTTCAGTTGTCTAGAGGTTAAGCATTCGGAGGAGACGGATAGGTCCTGGGTTCGAATCTCACGAGGCAGGATCGTGAATACACACTGGTTAGGAGTCCCACAATAGGATGAAATGGCCGTCTAGTGCTTTCAGGTTTTCCTTGGTGGTCTAGTTTCAATTGACTCATGAATTCAACTATTTTTGAAAAAAAATTACTATAATATCCACATAAAACCCTTCTCTGATGAACTTTATTTATTCCCATATAAATAATTATCAATGATAATAATAAGTGAATTTACCAATAATCTCAATCATAACTGATTTAGAATCCTCGCTGATTTTATTGATCGCTTTACAGACATAACGGCCACTATCTTCTTTTTTAGCATCTGTGATTGTTAAGAGTCCAGTGCTGCAAGAAAATAAATTTTTTTGGTTTTAATCAGAAAGAGATCATTATCTAGATGTTTACTTTAAGATTAAAGAGTTATAAATGCAAGTTCCACTAAAATACAAAGAAAGAATTAGGAAACTGTTTCGTCCCAGTATAGAATTCTTCGACAGTGTTCCTGTGACTCTGGTGGGCGATCTATGCTGCACGTGAAGAAACGCGTTAATAAGTAATAATTAAAGGTCAACGATATTAACTATCATTAATTTAAATCTAAACATAAATCAAATAAGAAACTGTAGAATTGATAACATTCCTGATTCGAATATAATTTACCTGACATCTACACTTGTTCCAAGTCTAAATAATCCACCTGTTTCTCTAAACCATTCTAAAGATGGCATAGGATGTCCTTCAGCTGAACAATGTACAGTAAATGTAGCACCTTCTCTTTCACGTACTTCAGTTTTATCTAGTCTAACTAATGGGGGCACTAAAATAGATATAAAAATATAATTAGTTAAAATAATAAAATAATACAATGAAATGATTCGTTGTCATAACTGATATGAATAGAGCTTAAGGTGAGACTATAAGTTATGGACGACCTTTGAGCGACGCTTCACTGACCTTGAGAGTGTTCACCAGATAAGTAGGACCAAATGAGGGTTATAAACCAGTGTGAGAAAATAGAAGTATAATTTACAGTTGATGGTTAGGGTTAGGAATTACATTTAGGTTTTTCATCATGAACTGATATCAGCTATAATACCAAAACTCTATTTAGCCGAATAAATGGATGAATTTAGCACCGAAATCCGCAACCTGTTATCTAATACCTGATTAGTTCGTCCATAAATTATAGTCTCGCCGAGTGTAAAATTGTAATATCATTTACAAATAATTTGATTAAGATCAATTAATACAATAATAGAAAACTGGTCAATATATATATGACGGTGTTAGATCAAGTACTTTGATCACTAAGCTCTATCAATCTAAATTAGTAAATAAGTGAATTAATGCTGGCAAAATATACCACAATGTAAAATGGAATATCATTGCGGTGTGCACTACTTATATACACAAAAGTAGTATATAACGATGGTCAGGAATAGAATGCATTTCAATAGAAGATTGAGAACGGAATGCAATTCGAATGAAATCTGAGACAATGGATTGATGTTTGCAACAGGAACAGTCAAGTTTGAGACGATGGATTGATATTTTGCAAACTAACTATTTACTATATGGTTCTCAGATTTTATTGAGATGCTCTATAATTTCGTGTCAAATACATTTGATTGTTTTAAAGAGAGCAAGAACAAAGATTGGTGCAGAATAATAAATGGATTCATTTTATTCGTTAGGTTCTCATCAGCTGCTTACAACCTAAAATATTTGAAATTCAAAGTTATTATAGATATTGACATACTTATACAACAGAGGGCGATGAAGGATGAATATATGTAACATAATGTAGCAAAGATTTCGTTAGAGTTAGTGAGGTCATAAAATTTTGTTTCGAATATATAGAGTTTGGGAGGGAAAGTTCCAGGGAATTGAGATAGTGATTGATTGATTGATTGTCTCCACTTGTTTTCTTGTTAACTACTGTCTAAGTTAGTCAGTTCATGATTTCAATGTAGTTTAAAAAGAAAAGCTGAAAAATGTATGAGAACTTTCATTTGAACTTTCATATGAACGAATAGTTTTACAGTAGTTGAGCACTGAGTTAAAGCATGACATCAAGGAGGAAAACTATATTTTTGATAAAGACCATGAATCAATCAGTATTAGACTAATATTAAGAACCTGAGAGCACTGAATGGCCGTTTCGTCCTAGTATGGGACTCTTTAGTAGTGTGCATCCACGATCCCGCACGCGCGATTCAAAACCAAGATCTTCGGTCTCGAGCGCAAACGCTTCACCTCTACATCACTGAGCCGACCAGCACCTAACGGTGTTAATGCCTAACTTCCATCGACCAATGAATGGAAGTGCAACCATCCATCCATAGTCTGAAATAGATACCTGTCTCTAACCGGCACGGATTGGACTCCACTAGTCAGTGTTGTAGAGGTGCATCGTTCAAGCGTGAGACCAAAGGTCCTGGTTTCGAATCCCGCGTGCGAAAACGTGGACGCACATACTAGGACGAAGCGGCCGTTCAGTGCTTCTAAGTTTTTAATTCTGGTCTGACACCAGTCGATTCATGATCTCAATCAAGAAATTACCAATCCATATAACCCCATACTGATAGTTTATTATTTAACGCAAAAATCACGCAGTGGCTTAGTAAAATATGAAAGTCACGCATTAAATACATTATTTGCATATCTTCCATCAATTGTCCTTTACACACTTCATGATACTTCCAATTCTGCTGTTACTCCAGTGGCTCTATGTTCTCCCTTGTATTCTCTTTAATTCAGTCTTCTGCCAGGCATTCCATTTATGTTTGCGGCTACATACTACTTACATCTATCAGAATATGTAACATACAACACACAATATTGTCCAACGTAGACACTACAATAGTATTGTGTTTATAAGTCTCAAGAAGGTTTCTTTTCTAACTCATCAATGAGAGTCCATCAATTGAAACAACATTGAATCTGGCAAACTTTAAAAGAAAAAAACACCTATGACCTAAAATGTAGCTTCTCCGTTGCCTAGGTAATAATTACTTGAAACTAGTGAAAAAGTAGTCAAACAAACAATTAAGAAAAAGCATGCCTATTTAAATAAAACCACTCAACTTATGCAACAATCAAATAACACTTGACGGAGAAGATTTGGAAGATGTAAAAACCTTTACATATCTAGGCAGCACCATTATTGAACACGGTGGATCTGATGCAGATGTGAAGGCGTGGATCGGCAAAGCAAGAGAAGCGTATTTACAATTGAAGAACATCTGCAACTCAAAACAACTGTCTGTCAACAAAAATGTCAAAACAGTCCTACTGTATGGGGTGGAAACCTGAAGAACTACGAAAGCCACCATCTAGAAGATACAAGTGTTTATTAATAGTTGTCTATGCAAAATACTTCGGACACAATCAGCAACAACCTATTGTGTGAGAGAACGAACTAGATCCCAGTGGAGGAAGAAATGAGGAGGAAGCGTTGGAAGCGGATAGGAAACACATTAAGGAAAGCACCGAACTGAGTCACAAGTCAATTCCTCACATAGGATCCTCAGGGTCACATGAGAAGAGGAGTACCAAAGAACACATTACATCGAGAAATGGTGACAGACATGAGAAGAGTGAACAACAATTGGATAGAACTGGAAAGGAAGGGCCAGGAGAGAGTGGGTTGGAGAATACTGGTCAGCGGCCTATGTTTCATTGGGAGTACCAGGCGTAATTAAGTAAGTAATTAAGTAATTCAACTTATAAACTATAGAAAATTTCAATATTATCTAAAATTTTGCTTACTAATAACTTCTAATTCATAAATTTTTGATATATTCCCAGCTTCATTACGTGCTAGACATTGATATTCACCCAAATCTTTACCAGTTGCTGAAATAATTTTCAATTTTTTTCCATCATCATCAAAAGTATATTTAGCTGGTGCGTTATATTGAGATAATGGTGCCCCTTTATAATACCATGTAATTGTAGGTGAAGGTGATCCATAAGCTGGACATTCAAATTCAATTTCAGCACCCAAACGTACAACAAGTTTTTGACGATAACGAACAAAATCTGATGGAAATCTAGGAGTAGCTAAAAGAGAATATATGAAAATTTTTATACTACCATAAAGTTTTATAGAAAAACATTACTAGGATGAGTACAGTAAACTACTTATGTTGAATATTCTTGTGATTTGCTAAGTTGTGACATTCGCCACTAATCAATGTAATCTAGAAGTTAGGCATTCGCACTCAAGTTTGAAGATCTTGGGTTTGAATCCCGCGTGCGAAATCGTGGATGCGCACTGCTCACTAGTCTCATACTAGGATGAAACGGTTGTCCAGTGATTCAGATTTTCAATGGTGGTCTAATATTGATCGATTCATGATCTCAATCAAAAACTTAACAATCTTCATAACCCCACACTGATAATTTAAAATACTCATAATTGTTCAAATTTGATTCAAATTGAGAAATGGTACCTAAGTTTGAAAATTTGTATTAATCAAACAGTAACCCAGATGGTTTATTGTTGGGATTTCTGTAAGCGGTAGTAAATGACGCTTGTCCGAAATCCAATTTAGTACATCTGTTCTAACAAGATTTCGAGTAAGAATTACTGACAACTAGCTTGAGATTAACATTCATGGTAGCATACCGATTATCCCTAACTGACTGACTTTAGAAAACAGTATGCTCGATATTGAGTAATCTAGATTAGCAGGAAAATTACGACTTCAATGGAAAAATTCTTTCCGCCATATGAATAGATGAGTAAGAATGATCAACCAGCCTACTGATATCTGCTTACCAATAACAGATAATTGGAAACTATGACTGTCTTCACCAGCTCTATTCTTTGCCAAACAACGATATGTCCCAACTTCATCACCTGTTGGACGAACAACTGTTAGACTTTGACCTTGATCTTGTATAACAAAATAATCTCCATCCGGTGACATTAATATTGGTGAACCATCTTTAGTCCAAGTGATCTCTGCTTTTGTTTGATTAATATCATGCAGTAAACAATAGAATGTGATTGGAATGAATTCAGATGTACGATGTTCTTCTGGTGATCCATAACGTTTGATAATAACAGGTGGAACTGTATAAAACGAAAAAAACATATCAAGTTTATGCAAAGAAAATGTTAGGACTATAAGTTAAATATTTGTAAAGATCATTTCTTAATTTTAGTCCATAACCAGTTGGATCAGATAAGACTATTGGATAGTGAAGATTTGTAGCTTAAGTGAATGATTTTGATAGTTTTTTTCTCTGAGCTGGATGATTTTGTCGTGGAGCTTTCATCGTTATTCTGAACGACATCATCAGCACAAACTTCATGTAGAAGTGCTGATGTTGATGATGAAAGCTCCACGACCAAACCATCCAGCTCAGAGAACAAAACTCCATCAAGACTATTGCATATTTAAAAGGTTGTATTAGATACTTCCGTGTAAGGTATTTACAAATCATTATACAATATATTTTGAGAATTAAATTTTAAAATAAGAAGTAATGACGATAATTCTGGTCGTTCATCACATCCTTGCAATCTTCACAGCTTTCAGTGAGACATAAACCGCTTGTAAAGATCTATATTCTTCAATGAATCGTCAGGATAAACAGCTTTCCTGATAAACTTTTTTAACAAATTTCAACAGAAATTTGATGTCGAGTCATCAGCAACTTATTAGCACTTTTATAGGATCCTTAACAGTCTATCACTTTATCTGTTTGTCCTGTTCGCAGACTAGGAGAACTCGTAATCGATTCAAACACAGCATATGCTGAGTACAGGAATAGGAAATAAATTAGTATCGCATATACTGAACCGGACGATATATTTCTCAACTTAAAGTATTCAGATTCAGTCTCATTTCAATATCTTTTTGATATTATTAATTAGAGCAACTTGACGGTCGGTAATAACTAGAAGAGAGTAAACCCTTTAATCTTTCCTTAAGGCTAGGCTAACTATCGTCTCCAAACACTAAAAATTTTGAATATCTAAAGCAGTGTTAAATCTCTTACTTAGATCTATTGAAAGAAATTCTTACTTTAAGACCAATCTATCCTACATGTCACACTACTAGCAATTAAAGAGCATAAAATGAAACGTACTCATAAACAAAATGAACTATCCAGGACACACTGCAACACACTTACAGCACGAAAAAAAATGAAGAAAAATACTTGAAAACCATCTTTCAAAAGAACAGTTACGCGATCAATTTCATCAAGAAATACCAGGCGCACGCATCATCAGAACCAAAGTCAAGTACAGAAATCAACAAAAAGATCACCCTACCATAAATAAAAGGCATATCAGAAACGACAACCAGACTGTGGTGCGTGCTACTTATATTGATATAAGTAGTATATAACGTGAGTCAGAAGAACGTAACGTCTGGCAGCAGAAGATGGAGAAGATCAAGAAAGAAGAGCGAGAAAACAATGGACTTTGTAAGAAATCGCATGAACAATGAAATGCGAGACAATGGATTGATGTTTGCAAAAGCAACAGTCCGGTTTGATATGATAGAATAATATTTTGCAAATTAATGATTTACTGTATGGTTTTTCTATTTAACCAAGTAATTCTGTAATTTGTCCTAAATACCAATTTGGTTGTCCTCACCCGTGTTCTCCTTCACTACAAGACTACTAAAAGCCTTAGGAATAGGTGTTGCACACAAACCAACAAAATCCCTACAATCAATCTTATGCAAACCAAAGGGTGAAATGACAAAAGAAGACAAATCAAACATCATCTACGAAATAAATTGTGCCAACTGTGAAAAACACTACATCGGACGGAGCGGACACCTTCATTTTCGCCTGCATGAAAATCAATTAGTAGTCACACGCCATGACATGTCCTCACTTATATCAATGTACGTGGACAACTGAGGACATATATATTCGACTGGAAAAATGTGGAGATTTTGGATAGAGACAATTCCAAAAACCCCAGAGAATTTTTCGAAGCTTAGCATTCAGGTCAATCAGCAATCAACAAACACGTTGAAATCGATCTAATTTATCAACTAATCAGGAAAATTATGAACAAACATAGGAACAAAAATCAAACCAATGGGAGGTAGAACCAAAATAAAGAAGTAAATAATGACAAGTTTAAGGTCAGCGGGATCCAATCAACATAGAAGTGTACAGAACAAGTTATGAACCACATGTGGAGAAGACTAAAATAAAATATAACAATAAACAATGAAACCTGCTTACCAATTACGGTCACATTGAATTTCTTCTCTATTGTACCTCCACCATTACTAGCTGTACATGCATATTCTCCTTGATCAATTGGTTGTATATTTGATATTTGTAATAATTGATCACCGCTTAAAATAGCTAAACTAGATACTTGTGAATGAATATAACGTGGATCCATAAATTGTGGTTGAATTATTTCAATATCTTTTTTAAACCATGCAAATCGTGGTCTTGGTTCACCAGTCGCTTCACAAGCTAATTGTATAGTTTCATTTTGAACAGCCTGTACGTGAATTTTTCTTATTGGATCAATAAATTTTGGACGAACTAAAATGAGAAAATAAGAAAAAAAAAAGTATAACAAGAGGAAAAACATTACCGATGACATTTGAGTAACACCATTCCAGTAGCCTAATAGCGTTTAAAGAGATGAGAATGGGTTTTCAGACTCAGAGTAATCATTAACACTGAGATGCAAATATGTACAATGGATGATTATTATATGGAATGAAACGTATATCCTGGATTCCAAATAAATGTAATAAACAGTAATTAAAAACGATGAGCACTAGGTAACAAAATTATGAATATGACAATGTCTCTGAATTAACCAACCCTTTGTCGAACTTCTAAACTATATTACCACTCAGTAAATGATTATGAGACACCAATTTGAAACTCTGAATAACAAGTGGTGAAAATTCTACTGATGTGAACTTATTGTATCTTTTTTTTATATGGGGAAATTCCTTTAGTGCCGTTCTAATATAACAACAACCCTTTATACCACCCTAAAATCACTTTATTACTACTAGTCCCTACAGTCACGTATATCTCCCTTATTTTTAGTTCAAATGGGATTATAAGCATGACATAGGGACAAGTGTGGTTTATATATGTTATTCTTATTCACCTGAGTAATAATAAACAATTTCTCACACTTTCTACCGTTGTTCACCTCGATCTCATCTCCAAGTTATATTAATAATTTTAAAACGGATCTCAATTTTTTCTTGTTTTAAAGTGGATGTAAAAGCCGTTAGTGTATACAATGATTATATTATCAATAACAGTAAATTCTAGTGATCATACTATCTTCATCAACTGAGTTGGTTGTGACATGAATTACGACTGCCTACCCACCGCTCACCTTAATTGGCGATGCTATTTGGTGAAGGAGCAAGTTGGAGGAAAGCTAGGAGAGACCAAACCAATACGTGGCACTAGTCTACGAAGTCGATGGAAATTGAACCGATTCATATTAACTACCTTGATTTGAGTTAGTGAGATTATCGTACCTAATTGTTAGAGACCTTCAATGACATGGCTCTAAATCGTTTTTAGTGGCTCAGATGCATCCGCCATTTATCTTTCTTTAAATTTTAAGTTTCTAAATTCCACAACTTCATATTTCCCTAAATCGCATTGTTGATGACGAATCTTGTTTTTTGACATTAAAAACGTTACTACGTCTACATCTTTTGGATCCTTTCTAACAATTTCATCTAGCTATACAAACAGGGTGTGGCAACTTGAACTGATGCACACATGTACCAGTTTGTACGTTGAGTTTGATCTAATAACTTATTCAAACGTGGTTACAGCCAGAAATCTTTTTCAAACATACCATATCTTTATATACTTGGTTGACAGAAAGTTTGTAACCTCTCTAAAAGGTTGAATTTATTTGCCGTTTTTTGAGATTGTTTGATGTACGAATCTGGATAAACAAACTAAATTTTATCGAAAATATACTCAGTTGGTCATGAATTTCTTTCACTTAATTCATTGAAGAACAGACTAGAGAAAATCAAACTGATTTTCGACCTGGACGTGGCTGTATAGACCAGATATTCACACTATGTCAGGTTCTAGAACACAGACACACATTCAGACCTTATGGCAGCATTCGACTCTGTTGATCGTGAGGTTCTATGGCAGTGTTTGTCACTGAAAGGAGTACCAAAGAAGTACATTAACCTTGTAAAGGTTCTCTACTCGAACACAACTGGTAGAGTGAGAGCTTATGGCGAACTGTGATCAGAATTGATTACCTCAAGTGGTGTTCGTCAGGGCTGTCCACTCTCTCCATTCTTGTTCAACTTTGTCGTCGACGTACTTTTAGAGATGACACTTTCCTCATCCGACTTTGCAGGGGTTGAACTTCAACCTGGAGATTCACTTGTTGACTTGGAATATGCTGATGACATAGTTTTGTTTGGTGGAGACGCTGACAAAATGCAGAGTCTTTTGACCACTCTAAGCAACAATGCAAGCATGTTCGGGATGCGATTCTCCCCTTCGAAATGCAAAATGTTGCTTCATGATTGGGTTGCATTGACACCCGAACTAATGATAGGGAGTGAAGTAATTGAGTGTGTCGATCGCTTCACTTATCTTGGAAGTCTCATCAACTCTTGTGGTCTGGTGTGTGACGAAATCTCAGCAGGGATGCTGGTTGTCCGAGGGAAACACCTTACTGCTGTCACACCTCTCTACAGTCAGCAGTACGACTTCGCCCTCAGACCTTGAGTTGCTGCTTTTAGTCTTGCCGTTCTCCAATCGACCTGCCTGGCATGGTAGAACCTAAAAGAACATATGTTCCAGCCAATATAGCTCGGTTGGGTCATCACGATAGGCAAGCCAGACCACCGCGTCAAGGTAGCGGCTTCGGTCGGGAATGCAGTTGTTAGGAAACGGCTCGAATAGCTTTTGCCAACTTGCGTCATTTATGGCGTAGGCGAGATATTCGTCTATTAACCAAAAAAAGTGTTTACTGCGCAGCAGTTCGTTCCGTCCTACTTTATGGCAGTGAAACATGGCTGGTAAGAGTAGAGGATATTCGTAGGTTACTAGTATTTGATCATAGGTGTCTTCGAAATATTGCTCGTATATCCTGGAACCATCGAGTAAGTAATGCAGTTGTTAGGAAACGGGTACTAGGTAAGGATGGCAAATCAATTGATGACGTAGTGAAACTTCATCATTTCAGATGGCTGGGACACGTGTTACGTATACCCAACCACCGACTGCCCCGACGTGCGATGTTCAGTGGTATAGGAGTAGGTTGGAAGAAAGCTAGGGGTGGCCAGACCAAAACATGGCACAAATCCATGAAGTCACCGACAAGTGAACTGAGTCATGTCGGTAGGTGTAGAGTACCTGGTTGGGGACGGCGAGATGATAGCAACCGATGGTTAGAGACCCTGAATGACATGGCTCAAAATCGTTTGCAATGGCGCAGCTGCATCCACTCTTTGTGTTCTCCCAAATTCTAATCTCCTGAATCCTCCTTGTCTCTTTTTCTCTTTCCAAATTTATTTCACTGAATTATACTCTTTCAATAACATCTTTAAACCCTAATCTTTCCGATTACTGCTGATACTCTTACTGCCTCTACCACTACGGGATTTGAATCGACCATTGTATCTCTGTGCGAATGTGGTGTGGCAACTCGAACTGATGTACATACATACGAAGTTCTACGTTGTTACTGACTGACTGACTTAATTCAGTTGTATTAATAAAATTAATAAAGAGCATTAACTCACCAAATGACAAATCAGATTACTATCTCAGATTAACGATTTTGCAATGACTTGAAAAAAATTCAATCTATAGAATTAATATAATAAAGTTCCTTCAAGATTTCTAATGGTGAAATGATCCAAGAGTTTCAGTATACGTTATATCATTTAACTGAACTCTTAGAAATTACATCATGATGAAAACAATATAGAAAAGAAAAAAAAAGAAAACAAACTTACCATATATAAGTACATTAAATATTTGTGTAGATTTACCAACTTCATTCTGTGCATGACAAATATATTCACCAGCATCACGTGTTTGTACAAGAGGTACTGTTATACGACTACCATCAGTAGATATTTGAATATCTGGTCCACTAACTATTGGCATATTATTTCTTTCCCATTTAATTTGTGGTGGAGGATCAACACCATCCATTAATGTACAATCTAATGATCTAGTTTGATTAACAAACCAATGAACTTCAGGTTGTACATTGGATGTGTCAAATGTTGGAGGGACTATAAGATATAAGTTTGGAATAGTGAAATATAGATGGATATGAAACATAGATACATAAATTATAAGAGACTTATCAATTGAAGTCCTAAATAACAATGGGAAGATTCAAACAACCTATACAAAATGAGTTTAAATGTCACCTCATTGCACAAGCTAGTGGCTATAAGGATTCAGTAGCTAAGTAGCTAATGTGGTGGCATTTGAGCAAATGGTACTAGATTTAATTCCCGAGTGAACTTTAATGTGCAGGTAAATCCAGTTGACGAGTCCTAAATAGGACAAAAAGCGCGTCCTGAATTCCACTGCCTGTCACTATCCAGCTTTGATACAAATAATAGTAATGATGATAGTAACAATAGTAATATATGAAACAAGTTCAACCCCTTTTCTTACCTTCCTCAACCTGATTGCTTAATAATCTTCATGTATATATCTCCTCCCACCCACTAGATTATCAAAATGCCAATTCATCTGAATTAATTTATGTGTATTTGCACTGTGGGACAATTTATAGATCACCCACTCAGCACTTTTTTCCTCCCTTAATACATATAATTTCGCGCATCACATAATCTTTGATCAAACGTATGATTTTCTTATTAATTATCTTATTATTTCTTTCACCTTATGTCTGTATTATTATCCTGACAGTGTTATTGGACATCTGATCTTATTCAAATATACAGACCATGCCAGTCATTTGAGTATGCATAAACAATGTTAGATTTTGATCAGAATGGGGTTTGGGAGATTATAGTAATTTTAATGGTTGAATTCATGAGTCTATCTATTGAAAACCTAAGAGCACTGGGCGGCCGCTTCGTTCCAGTATGGAACTCCTCAGCGGTGCGCATCCACGGTCTCCCACGCGCGATTCGGAACCGGGACCTTTGGTTTCTAGCACGAAACTTTCACCTTTACACCACTGAGCCGGTCGGCATCCAACGGTGTTATATCTAACTTCCATCGATTCATAAATGGCTGCACAACCATTTATCCATTGTCTGAAATAGAAACCTGTCTCTAAACGACACGGATTGGACTCCCTAGTCAGTGCTTCTCACTAGAACTCCAGGAGATCATCTTTAAACCAGTCATTACTCAATGGTCTGGAGGTTAAGCATTCATACATGAGGCCAAATGTACTGGGTTCTAATCTCGCGTGTAGGATTGTGGACGAGCAGTTCCGTGGAGTCCCATACTAGGACGAAGCCGCCACCACATGCCCCCACGTTTTCAATGGTGATTGATCTTAGATCGATCCATGAATTCAACTACTGAAATCTTAAAATTTGTTTATTCGATTATTAAAAACAAAATTATCCTTAAAATCATATAATAATAGTTTATAACCTTTGAAAGTAGAACATGGTGAAAATACTTTTCAATGGTTAAGATCATGAGTCAGTTGAATCTCAGTTTCGTGGATTAGTTAAAGTTAGACATTAACACCGTGGGATGCCGGCTCAGTGGTCTAGTGGTTAAGTGCTCGCGCACGAGACCAGTAGGTCCTGGGTTTGAATCTCACGATGCGGGATTGTGGATACGCACTACTGAGGAGTCCCACAATAGGACGAAACGGCCGTCCAGTGGTTCCAAGTTTTCCATAGTGATCTAGCTTCAACTGACTCATGATCTTACCCGTTGAAATTACTATAATATCCATAAAGCCCATCTGAAAATACTTTTATCGTTGTTTTAGCAAATCGAAAATGTTTGAACCACTGAAAAAAACAAAACATCAGTGGTGAATGTGAAAAACAATACCCATGTTCCCAACAATTAATCAAATATATACAAAGTATTACCAATTAGATGTTTACAGGAATATTCTTTATCATCTACAATATTCAAGTATTTATTCCTAAAACTTTTGAGCGTAGTTAAACTTACCACGAACTCGAACACTATATTCCATGATATCCCATCCAACTGCGTTACTTGCATTGCATTGATATGAACCACTGTCACTTTTTAAAGTACGGAAAATAGTAAGTGATTGACGGTCCTAAAATTAATGTTTCAAAAAACATGTTGAAAATAAGAGGATGTAAAGAAATTATGTGACGTCAAGTGTATATTCAAAGACAAAATAGTTCACGATGATAGATCATTCAGTAGTCACCATTTCAATATTTGCCTAGTCTTCACCACTGGTCGAATTGAATCGATTTAATCTCAACGTATCCAATCAATATAAATAACTCAACATCATGTAGACTATGTTCTGATGGTAAATAGTTAAGGAAAGTTGGAACAAAACACTGGATTCAGATCTGTTGAGAGATCTATTACTTTGTGTCGCGCCTCAACCCTCAACTTGATCAACAGAATTATCATCAGACAAATTATGGTGGTGAAATTCAACTACAAGCTGTTACAAATCTTTACAAACAGTACTATTGTAGAAGATCACAATGGAAATTTAAAAATCACTTTATAAAATAAACAGTTAAATTTAATAGTTGAGATCATGAGTTAATTGAAACTACATCACTATTGTAAAACCTGGAACCGCTGGAAAGCCGGTTCATCCCACTGTGGGACTCCTCAGCAGTGCGTATCCACAATACCGCATCGTGAGATTCAAACCAGGATCTATCAGTCGCGCACGCAAGCGCTTAACCTGTAGATCACTAAGCCAGCCGGCATCCAACGGTGTTAATGTGTAAGTCCAATTAATCCATGAAATTGAGCAACACATCCATCATTGTCTTCAGTGAGTTACTATCTCATAACAGACCTGTTTGAACTCCACTGGTCACTGCTTCTCAATAGAATTCCAAGAAATACCTTTTGAAACCAGTCACTAGTGAACATATGCTGATTAATATCAGAAGAGGTTATGTCGATATTATAGTAATTTTAATAGTTGAAGTCATGAGTCCATTGAAGCTAAACCACCATGGAAAGTGTTGAAGTAATAGATAACTGTGATTAGTAAATAAAACTCTTTATTCTGATTTTCCTCATCTATTTATATTTAGATCAGTTCATTTAGTTAATATACAACATCATAATTGTATTACACAAATTATTTGTCATCATTTAATATTAGTAATTATTACCTGTGATATTACTGAATGTTTGGGTAAATTATCAGTTTGTCTAGATAATTTAATAACACCAGAACTATCGTCATATCTACTACCTGGACGTGGTTCACCAGTACGTGTGAAGTATAACTTTGGAGTAGGTGATCCAGTAGCTGGACAAGGTAATACAAGTTCATCACCTTCACGAACTGTATATTCTGTACGTACACGTCCACGATCAATACGAGCCGGAGCTATTAACAAAATAGAATTAAATTCACATTTTATTAAAATTGTATAACACTAAATAGAAAAGAACGTACTCGTGAGTTCTAGCAACAAAAATAGAATACTCAGGTGGAGATACTATAGTGGCTTATACATTTTCAGAGATACGAGAAGTAACAATATTGTCTCCTTTCTGTTCTATCAATATAACTTCTTTGGCAAATACATGTAGATTTGTATACCCAGTTGGTGGTAACATGAAAGGGATACCTATCGATCTTCGATTGTGTTAAACAACATGTTGTTTTGGCTAAGATAATCAGTTTAGTTGTAGGATAAGTTCTTGTCAATGAATTTTTTAGTTTTATACTGATTAACTCTATCAAATCATCACTTTTGACTGTATTAACTCTATTGGAATCTTCATTACATTATGATGCACATATTCATCTCTAATCCCCCTCATATGTATGAGTATGTCAATATATGTAGTAATATTGTAAGTAGCTAATGCGAACCTAACGAAATAAAATGAATTCATATTATTCTACATCAATCTTCGTTCTTCCTCTCTTTAAGATAATACAAGGAACTATGTGTATAAAAGTTTGCTTAGTTTTGAACAAAGATAAAACTCTGCAGTTCAAGTTTATGGCCTACAAATGCCTTGGTACGGTCGAGAGTGGGGAAAGTCCACTTTCCCTTGAAAAATGCTCTCACATGGCCACGCGTATATAGCCTCTGCCAGGGAAGTCCTACTTACTGCCTTCTCGTGGTGGGTGTATTGTTTTTGAAATTGAGAGGACGAAAAGCGGACGTCCGGCGCTTTAACTGGGTTGGTGAACACAGAGAGTCCATCTAGGGGAGTTGAAAAACTCTGATTCCAAACCACTGGTGCACATGGGCTCCAGTATCCTGAGGAACAAATGGCATATGAACCAATCGTTGGTCACCGGCTACCATGGACTGCATCTCCTTACTTTGCTCCATTGCCTTTTGGATTACACCTTCAGGTCGAAGGCTCCGGGTGTGGCCCCCTAAGAAAACCACGTGCTTCGGTTTGAGCACCCGGGCAGTATCACGGCCCTCATACATATCGAATTAGATCTGTGTGGCGCATATGTATTTGCTGCCTCCTTGTACCAATATCTACGCGTCAAAATAAATAATAAATTAATTATAATTAAGCTAATAAACATTTAATTATGTAACTTTTAGTTGAAGTTGAGTAGTTAGAAGTAGTCCATAGAAACTCATTTATTTTCTTGCATGTTGCCTCAAGATTTATGGCTAATTCGGCTATTTGAGACCATAATGTTTAACACTACTATCAATGATAATATTCATTGATTGACTAGAACCATGATTGATCATTTATCGAAGTAAATCAATCAAAGGTAATTTCATTCAAAATTAATAGAATTTACCTCCAACTGAAACATCTGTATTTATCTCTAATTGACCATAATTATTTTTTGCAACACATCTATAACGACCAGCATCTGTTGGTTGCATAGATATTATTTCTAACTGACGATCTTGATTAATTAATCGATATCTAAATAAAAAAAGGGAAAAGTAAAACAACAGTCTTTTTTATGACAGTTAGAAATGAATGAACTAATATCTGGACAACCCTATACTGATAATTATCATATGCTCACTAGTGACTAGCTTCAAGAATGATTTCCTGGAGTTCTAATGAGAAGGCATGACTAATGGAGATCAATCGTGTCTGTTGTGAGGTAGTTACTCACTGAAGACAATGGTGGAAGGTCGCGCAGTATCGTGCATTAGTTGAAGTTAGACATTAACACCGTTGGATGCCGGCTGGCTCAGTGTTCTAGTGGTTAAGCGTTCGCACGCGAGATCGAAGACTCTGGGTTCGAGTCCCACGTGAGGGATCGTGGATGCGTACTGTTGAGGAGCCCCAGATTAAGATAAAAAAGCCCTCCAGTTATTCCAGCTTTTCAATGGTAGTTTAACATTGATCTATTCATGATATCCATTTAAACTCAATAATCTCCATAATACTCAATTCATTTAAAACTATCAAATCCAACCTTGGTATTGATACTACAAATGGCAAATATGAAAATTTTATCTATTACTAACCTATATGAAAGTTGATCAAGTGGTATACCATCCTTGAACCATTCAATTTTCGGTCGAGGATTACCAGACACAAGACATTCAAGCAGAGCACTAGCTCCTACGGTACGTTCGACACTGTATTGCAGCTGACCATCGGGATCCAGTCTAGGTCCATCTATTTAAGCATTCAAGAAAATAATAATGATAATATATTTAAATGCGAGTCTCGGTAAATGTATGCATCATTATAACTTTTAAATAAATTAGTTGCTATTTCGGCTCAGTAGCTCAGTGGATAAGTCTAGCGTTTGAAGCTAAAACGAATGAATAGGCTTGAGTTAAAGTATGAATCTGAAAAATTAGGATGCAGGTACATCCAATTGATAAGTAAAACATATGACGAGGTGTGCCTGATAGATTCTACTGTTAGCAGATATGGTGAGGAGTTGATTAAAGTAAGAGTGACGTATGAAAATAATTTTCTACAAAATCCTATGACATTTAATCACATCTTGAGAAGTGGTAATTACATGACTTTGGCTAAATAGAGTTTCGGCATTATAGCTGATGTTAGTTCGTGATAAAAACACTCAATCTGATATCTAACTTTCATCATAATTCCAGTTCCCCACACTAGTTTATAACCCACATTTGGTCCTAATTCTGAGGTGGACACTCTCAAGATCAATTTATCTCAAGTTATATTATGCAAAAATAACTATACTTTAATACGTAATTTTGTAGTGTCTTGTAGCAAATAAGTTATCGGTTTGAATCTAAGTTCACCTTTTTCGATCTGAGCAACTGGTTAACGTTATCAATTCTCTTACACAATCTCGATTAAAGTCTTAATCAAAAAGAATAACACACTTTATTGAATAAATATAAAATAGCTGAGATCATGAGTCAATTGAAGCTAGACCACCACAGAAAACCTGGAAGCACTGGACGGCCGTTTCGTCCAATTTTCGAACTTCTTAGTAGTGCGCATCTACGATCCCCCCTCCCGCGAGATTCGCACTCAGTTTTTCCATGATGGTCTAGTTTGAATTAACTCATGATCTTAACTATTAAAATGAATATATTCTCTACAAAACTCCTTCTGATGAATAATTATACAATAATACTTACATGTTATTTTCACATCGAATGTTTTAGAAACTTGACCATATTCACTTATAACATGACATGCATAACGACCATTATCATTTTCTTCAACATTGATTAATCGTAAATGTACATTATCTTCGCTAATTGTAAATTTTCTATCATTTATAGATTTTCCATCTTTTGTCCATGTAATTTTAGGTAATGGATGACCAGTTGCAACACAAAATAATGCTAAATTAGATCCAAGTGCTATATTATGTTCACCTTCTTGACTTGAAAATCGTATTGATGGTGGAGCTAATAATAAATAGAAAATAAATTTGAATAGATTCATGAAATTGTTTGTATGATCTAATTACATTTTATTAGAATTACTACAGTCAGACAATTATTGTAAACTAGTGATCAATGTCTGTTTTATCTTGGTTAGGGACTCTATAGCAACACTCACTAACAGTTTCGTTATGAAGGAACAACTGTGTTGTAGTAAACTAACGTTGAATTGTAAAATGTCAACAAGAACAACAACAACAAATGTACAACTCAAATATACAAGTTAATTCAAACTGTATAAAAATAACAGTCGGTTAAACATAAAAGATCTAAATAGACTGCTGATATAATATAGTGATCTGAGATCTGATTCTAATTTGATCGTGTGATTAAATGTTATTGAAATAGACATAACGCCAATTCTCGTGTATAATTATCGACTCAACTCACGTTGATGAATACCGGAATCAAATAAGTCGAATACGAGAATGAATGTTTGAATACGTATTCTTTGTACACTCATTGATCTGGATAGACAATCAGAGGGACGAAGTGAAGAAAGCGAAGAGAAGAAGGAGAAGTGAAATGACGCACAGTGGAGAAGATATGTGAGCCAACTCGATTTATTCAAACGTTAATCGACATTTATAGCCGAACAAAAATAAGTTACAGACATGTGTTGAGTAAGATAAGAAATGACCACACATATGTTTACATAAAAACAATCAGGGTTGATAGGCGAATAATTAACAAAGTTAAAATGTGACTCAAGAAGAATGAATAAATTTACCTGTTCGGAAGTTAGAATAAGCTATGTGGGCTTAATATAGTAACCGACATTATAATACGGTTTATATGCTCAACATGTTCATTCATGGTGGAATTTTAAAATTTATTTGCTTGCTTTGGCTTTTTAAGGTAATTAGTGTTTTTATTGGGTAATATTTATTGCATTCTACATATTAACTTGCTACTTATTCAAATGAATAAAACACTGGATATAATTAGCAGACTCATAACTTATATCACTAAAAAATAATGTTTTGATCTAACTATAAGCATTTTATTGAATTTCAGTAATTGAGATCATGAGTTAATTGAAGCTAGATCGTCATGGAAAACCTGGAAGCACTGAAAAGCCGTTTCATCCCACTGTGGGACTCCTCAGCAGTGCTCATCCACGATCTCCCCCTGTGAGATTCAAACTTAGGACCTATCAATCTCGCGCGCTAGCGCTTAACCTCTAGACCATGAGTGATGTGAACAATTTTATGTTTAAACAATATTTATCGTAACTCATTTATCAATCAAACGTTAGAATACCTCAGTGATAACGTCTCAGACTGTAAAGCTGTGTGATGGGAATTAAAATTTAACAGGTAGCATCACAGTGAGCCTAAGACTTCAGGTACGACTTATAAACGAGTTCCAAATAGTACGAAGCCTTAGTTCAAGATTTCCTGTCAAATATCTCAAACAACTCAACATAACGTACATGATATTGAGTAACTTAGACTAGTGGCTATATTATAAACTGATCGATATAATCTTATCACAGCGCAAAGGATTAAACAGAGATGAATATTTTTCACTACTCAGTGATCAGCTAACTGTATAGGTCTATGTTCTCGGCTTTAAGTTATTCTCTTTCTATAAAGATCAATGATAGTACCTGATTACTTGAACCAGCTAAATTAAAACCGAATTGATTTAAACCTCTAACCTACCGACTGACAGTCAATCCTTATATTTATTAAGCCATCGCTGCACATCAGCTGAATAATCAGCCATCAAAAGATATCAAACAAAAACAACAACAAAAAACACGAATATCTTTCCAAATACACAATTTATTTAAATGGAGATATTCAATATGATCTGTTCATTATACAAGAACAGATAAATATTATCTTTTAATGTGAAATCAAATCATATAAAGTTATTACAGTTGAGTAATCACTGGGTGGTGATCACTGTCATGCGTGTCAAGTCCTTCTTAGTGCAGATCGAATGCCATCGACCAAGTTGCAATGTGGCCACTAGTCTAGGTGACTCGACACTGAGTGCACTATTTCTGCGCTAAGATCTTCTCTGACAGAAATAATGAAAATTTATCAGATAGTTCAATGAGAACAGTTAAGTCACAATCTATGGGATTGTTTGAACTAAATGATTTATTCCCAACTATCTGATGAAATTTTATATCATTCCTGAAAGATAACTGTGTAAAATGACTGATTTTTCAGTAACCATTATAAATATTTATTAGAAAAATTTTGGTTGAGATCATAAACCGATTGATTTTAAACCTGAAAGCACTGAACGACCATTTTATCCTAGTATGGGACTCCTCAGCAGTGCGCATCCACAATCTCGCCCGCGAGATTCGAACCCAGAAATGTTTTTGCTTAATTCATAATTTATCAAACACCGTTATATCCATAGACTGGAATCAGAATCAAACAATCAACACAAATGTCATAATGATTACCAGCCAGGGACCAATTAATGTGATTATCTCAGTATTACAAGCGTTTAGTCATGCCCTACTTAGCTTAATGGTAACATTTATAATTACGACATGATGTTATGTACATTTATATTCCATGAGGAAATTAGTCATAACATTTCTGGTAAATAGCATTGCTGAAGAACATCACCTGGAATTTATGTTTAGGGATTCCTGTCAACTATCTCCAATCATCTAACATCAATTTCATCAATTATATCAAATATTATAGTTGGTATACAATCAAAAGTACAAAATGTTATAACAAATAAATTATACCTTTTAATAAACGTTTAGCCTTACTTATTCTGAACATGGGAGTTGATTGGTTAACAAATAAGTTGAAGCGAGTGGGTTATTATCGACAGTTAAGTATAGTTTACACTTAAACCTATGTAAACTATTCTTTACGTATTAAAGCTTAGAGAATCTGACTTGTTAACTAAATATGACTAATAGGATATGAAGTAATGAATCAATCAGAGAACTCAATAGTCACTTGTACTGTAATGTATGTTACATTTACTGGCATAATATGTAGAATCAATGGAAAGTGAAATGCTTGAAAATAGATGGGAGGATGAAATGAAGAGAACCGGAATGAAAAATGAGAGAAATTATAATAACAACAGAGTTGAAAGAATTGTGAAGTATGTAAAGGACAACCGAAGGAAGATTTGCAAATGATGTATTCAATGTATGATTTTCATATTTTGTGAATACACTCTGTAATTTTGCACTGAATAGTAAATTGGTTCCCTCTATCCCGTAGTCTTTCACTTCAATACATTAAGTCACAAATCATCAAAAATACATTTTTTCTACATATTGGGATATCACAAAAAATCATATCTGGGCAGCATCATTGATGAACACGGTGGATCTGATGCAGATGTGAAGGTGCACATCGGCAAAGCGAGAGAAGGTTATTTACAACTGAAGAACATCTGGAACTCAAAACAATTGTCTGTCAATCAACACCAAGTTCAGAATTTTCAATACAAATTTCACAACAGTTCTACTGTCTACTGGGGTGGAAACCCGGAGAACTACGAAATCCATCATTCAGAAGACACAAGTGTTTATTAACAGTTGTCTACGCAAAATACTTCGGATCCGTTGACCAGACACTATCAGTAACAACCTACTGTGGGAGAGAACAAACCAGATCCCTGTGGAGGAAGGAATGAGGAAGAAGCGTTGGAAGTGGATAGGACACACATTGCGGAAACTACTGAACTGCGTCACAAGGCAACTCCTCACATAGGATCCTCAAGGTCAAATGAGAAGAGGAATACCAAAGAACACATTTTGTCAAGAAATAGTGACAGACATGAGAAGAATGAACAACAATAGGATAGAACTGGAAAGGAAGGCTGAGGAGAGAGTGTGTTTGAGAATGCTGGTCGGCGTCCTATGCTCCATTGGGAGTAACAGGCGTAAGTAAGTTCTAACCAATCTCCAAGTTATTTGAAACTATCTAGTCAAAGCTTTATAAGCAAAGATAGATAGTGACTAGCAATGGAATCAAGGATGTGTGTTTCATCCTATTTGGGATTTGTCAGTTAGCTGTACCTTCATCTCAGATTTGATGTTTACTCTGGCATTATGGTATCTGCAAACTGATTGTTAAACGAATTAAATCATCTATGTTGACTAAACGATTTGAAAAAAAAAACATAACCATTCCAATACTCTCCAAATTTATTAATATTTTAGATAATATCAGTTTATGTTAATAGAAATTAACTTCAAGTTGGATAATTTACATAAGTCTTTCATTCATTTTATGCTGTAACCTTATTGTCAGTCATAAATAACTTATGCAAATGTCCACTGTACACTCATTTGTATTGTCTGTTTGAATCAATTCTGGAATGTAGGTACACTAACTGACAAGTCCTAAATAGGACGAAACGCACGTCCTGGATTCCACTACTAGCTACCATTCATTTCGCTTATCCACTTGACGTTTATAGATAATGGATTAATGAGAGAAGTAAATAATTTTGATATTTGATTTGAAAAAAACGAAGAAAACGATTGAAATTAAGTTAGATTACTGGATCTGATTCGCTAAATAATTTGATAATACTAATATTCATAATAAACAATGATATTTTAGTTTATCTTCACTGTAAAACACATTAATGAAGGTATCAAATATCGCCATTTAAATCTTACATTCATTGTAGGTATCACTGCCAAGGTTAGACCATATCGTTTGGTAAGACTATAATTTATGAACGAACTTTGAGCGCCTTGAGAATGTACACCTACATACTAGGGCTAAATCAAGATCTTAAACCAGTGTAGAGGATAAGGATTGTGGTTTACAGTTGATGGTTAAGGATAGCGATTAGATTTAGTGTTTTCATCACGAACTAATATCAGCGAAATTGTCAAAACAGTGTTTAACTAAATGGATGAATGAATTTTGCGCCGAAATCCAAGACCTGTTATTGTAAATGTGATTTGTTTGTCCATAAATTATAGTACCTCTGTGGAAAAATTG